CCAAGGATGAGGGTTTGAGGCACTTCCATGGTAACCTTAGGACTGGGAAAAGTTTTGTGCCCCAAACTCAAGTTGAAGAGGACAAGCGATAAGTACACATAGGTACACAATCCTCATTCCTTCCGAAAGAAAACAAGCCACGAGATTCCCAATGCCCTTTCCCTTTCCCCGAGATCTCCTTTGTTGCTTCCCTCCAAAACCGAGCAAGAGTTGTGCGCGTACATAAAATTATTATGAAGTTCTGAACACACAATGATACCTTCTAATGTCACTGATAGTTTTCTTTCTTCACATACAGCTCTGGAATCGAGACAGCGAGGCAACCAGGTTATGTGCATGTAGCTCGGCTGGGGTTGTCTGTTGTACGGCGTGGATCGACTCCCTTTTTTCGCTTCTTTGTGGCTGTGCTGAACCAAATTCCATTCTACTTGGAATGTTCTCAAAGACTCCTTTACCACTGTATGTCCTCGACGTTTGTCGCATAACAAAGCTGAAGTGCGTAAGACAGGTGTTCAAGGGACTACAAATCTACGAAAACTTCAGAATCTCATGTTCATATATGGTTGCGATTGACAGTAGGACGAATATAGTCCGGCTGTCTGTGTATATTTTGTTAGTGCCTTTATGTCAAAGAGTACCATCGTTGGACGTCGGTATGTGACTGTGTGATGTGACACCATTGCTACAAACAAGGTGTCTGCACCAGGGCCAAAGATTGTGAAATCCGTGTGAACGGTACGTGCTGTCTTCCTCTTTACAGGGTCCTCCGCAATAACCGTCGGAATCTTTCAAGTCTCTTGGACATATTCAGTGTGGTAATCTAGAACCCTGCCTTTGTAGTTGACTGTTTAACAGCACGCTGGTAAGTGTGAGCTGTAAAGGACGCCAGACCGTAGCTATAGAGAGGGGAACGGAATCTTTGCGAAGACGGAAAGGGCCCGCCATTTTTATGGCCACCAGACCACCAGATCAGCGCACCCGTAAATGTTCCCTAGTTCCCTAAGTTTCCCTACCCGTAAGAGATTCCCCCAATCCCCCCCGTCCCGAGTTCCACTGAGTCCACAAAGACCCCTACCCAGCACGTACGATCTTCACATGCCGATGTGACCAAGCGCGCAGGGGGTCCTCAGATATTAGTCCTGCGCCGGCGCGTGACGTGCCCTTGCCCTACGGACTTCCGGTCTAGACAAGGGGAGGTGTGGGAATAGCTCCACCGACCACCGTCCACCGAACGGGCCATCGAGTAGAGAAGTGGATGTGCGCGACAACATGACCGGTGAATCGAAATCAAACGTTTTCTTTTGAGTTTATTCACATGTTGGGGTGGTTGTAGGGGTTGTCTTGGGCATGCAAGGGACAGGTATCTGGTGATGTTCGGTATCTTGGGAAGTCAAGTGTCGGTACATATAGTCTATGGTCTTGTCAGCGGGCTTCCGTTTCCCAAGAGAAAGATTTGAAGATGTATGATGCAATAGTCAAGTTAAACTAAGGATTCTTGCTCGTATATGGGAAGCCGAAACTGTCTGGAGGCGTCTTGAGTGCCTGGGTACATAGTCACTGGTTACTTGTATTCGTGGGTTGGGGTTGGAAGAACATCACTTCGAAGTTCCTAAAGTAGCAGGATTTACCATACGTAGTGACTGTGACAAGTAGAGAGATGCGTTATTGCGAGCCATCAGAGCATTTTTGAACCGTCTCCGACATAGTCTTACTTGCCCTGTCAATTTTCAGCTCTCTTTATGGTTGGGCAGAGTGGCGGGCGTCTCTCGATCATTCCAAAACAACTTTGTCAGTCAGTGTAGATTGTAGATCAAGTCCAAGTGAAATAGCGGCGCTCTTATTCGTATGATGGCGCGATACGTGTCTCTTGAGGTGGAAGAAGTCAAGTGTAGTTTTGTCGTTGAAAATCAAACGTTATCCGTCTCGGTAGTATTGTCAGAAACCTGTTACATGTATACAGTCTTAATCATTAATAACACTGTACTTCCAGTAATTTTCCTTACGTCCCGCGTACCGTGACGTTTCCTGTGGTGGTTCTGTGAGTATCAGATGTGGAGACTGGAAAGTTCTTTGCCATGCAACGGGTACATCCGCCCTTCCGCCCCGAGAACGGGGAGCCCAGCGTTACGTACTCTATGTTTTATCCTGGATTCACGCTAACTGAACGCTTGGTGTAACCACCCCCGCGCCTACTTCTGATAGGCTGACGAGGGCTGTAAAGAAATTTGAATGGTTAAAAAGACAAGCCGAGCGGCCCCGCCCAAGTTCTTCGCTTGCTCTCTTACGGAGCCGATCGAGCACAATCCGGATTGCGATGGCATGGAACGTCCCCTCTTTCTGGGACGATCGCACACCCCAAGTCCACTGCAGTCACTTCGATCTGGCCCACCGATTACGGAGATTGTTAGCTTTCCGTACACGCCAGACACATGTATTTTACAGAATGCATCGATTCCATTACATGTTCGTAACATTTTCAACAATTACAATACCTCACTGGCTACAAGTTGCTTATGACCAAACAAGCGACAAAGATGGGTGATACCAGTCACAGTTCTTTCTCATCTTACGACTCCGAATGTTTGTCGGTTCTCAGAAAGAAGAGTGGATTCTTTTCCACAGTTTAGCCATAGCAGGTAACGGTCGCCGACGCATCCGGCACATTCTCGCAGCCACTGGGTTCCAAAGGGCTAATATGCACTCCCTTCCATTGCTTCCCTTGGCGCTCAAGTACCAACCTCAAGGCACAATGGGCAAATGACCGAATTGTACATTATGAGCGCATAAAGAGAACAAGGCTTCTTTGTTCCACTTCTTGAAACCCTTTTCTTTGCGTCGAACCATCCCCATGTTGATCGACCCGCGACTGGGTCACGTCTTTGTTTCCTTAACTTTTAGCTTTCCCCTCAGTTCCAGCTGGAGGCCCTATCCTGCTGCCAAGTAACGAGGATGCCGTACGGAGAAAAGGGGGTCCATCGAACCGTCAATTGAACGTTCAATATTTTACGGACAGGATCTGGATCGATGACCAATGATAAACGTTGGCGCTTTTTCTCTTTTTCTTCCTCTTCTTCTTCCTCTTTTTTTTTTTTTTTTTTTGTTGGGGGGTTTTAAGGTATTGGGACCTCTACTGCATAGTAGACTAGGATCGGACAGTCAATTAACAGTACGAAACATTCGGATGTTTGCATTATCAGATGTTTCTTATATTTAACAGTCATTTGACTGGACTTGGATTAATCCGAGCGGCCTTCAACGTCTAGGGGCCTCAATTTTTCGATTGAGGGCTTGCTGGACCACCTCCTTCCCGTACGGTGATGGAAGTGGATAGATAGAAAAGAACATTGACCTAGCGACGCTTTCAATAAGGTGGGCACACAATGAGTTTTACATCGGATGCTCCCGTCCATGTACATACGTCGCGAGCAGACGGGAAGGGAGGGAAAGAAGCGGAAGGGAACTCTCGGCCGTTGTTGTACACCCACCTACGGGAGGGACCACGGGACCGAGCCGCGCCAGGCAGACGGGATTCAGTCCGCGCATGTCCCTAGGAACTTAGTCTGTAGCTGAAGATGGCACTGCAATCAGACAAACATCTTGTAGCCTATTTGTGGAAACGGGTTGTGGTCGGACTGACTGTGGTGATCCTGAGAACGTCCAACTGCGTGATGTCAAGCTGCCAAGCTGCCAAGGTAGCGAACATCAACGACGATATACAGATCAAAACACTTCCCTAGAATTCTGAACCTTGACCCAGCACATACACGATGTTGTCACTTATCATCCTCCTCCTCACGTATTACCAAATAGTAACCCCGTTTCGTCACACCAAATCGACCTGTTGATCTGACCGCCACTTACTCGCGGAGTTGCAGAAGTGGCCCAAGGGGGTCAGAGGCAGGTATCCGTCATTTCTTCCACAGACGGTATAGACCCGTGCTAGTGTGCAGGATCTATATGTAAGGGTTAACCGCTTACCGTATTAGATCTAGGGGTTCCAGGTTACGTATACGATAGAAACTGTTGCGCGTGTGTCGTTACCCGGTACTAGGCAGGTGGACGGCTACATATCCTGAGGAAAGTTTGTCTATTCATCCAGGTATCATACAGAGAGGGAAGAAAAGGAGGCTGGAGATCCGAGCAGGGGACACCAAGGGGGAAAAGGGGGTAGGGAGAAGAAGGGGGGAAAGGACTGAGGTGCATAAACAATTGCAATGAATAGACACTCAGAGAATTGTGAGAACTTGCATTACATTACCTTAATGGTGGAATTTGCCTAGATTGGTAGGAAGCATATCTGAAGTGCGGTGGAAGTGAAGCACAGCAATTTGATTGACAAGACGAGAACGACGGATGCACAACATGATGTCCTCCACAAAGTGCACCACATACTTGTTGTGTCATATATTGTACGCAAGAGCAGAATCTCAAATAAGGCATTCCTTCCTTTCCTTGAAGAGGAAGGGAGCAGAGGAGTGAAAACAAGTGTTAAGTTATTACCATATTTCCGGTTCTCATGTGGCTGGAGGCACTAGTTAGAGGAGACCCTTTCTTGGGTATAGTGGTTGGCACTCAACGCATCTAGCAGCTTGCCTGTTCGATGTCTAAGACAGACAGTACCGAAACGGACACATACGGTTGCTCGCATGCTTTATAGTAATACGAGGAACGATTGCGGCCCATTGGTCGCCACATGTATAGTTTGGTCAGAGTTACTGGTGAGCTGGTGTACTGGATGTTGGCTCGCAAGAAAGCTTTTTGGGTGATAAACCTATGCTACATCTCGACGACTTGAAAGTGGTGCTGACGATGGCATATCTCATAATGGTCTGGCACAGACCCGTAATCCGACTCTTCCTTTCTTCAATCTGCTTGGCATATGTTGACCCGGAAATGTATAACGCGAGCCCATTCTCACATGGGCTCGCCATTCAAAGGCCCACAAAACATGACCGACTCACGAGGCAAGAGTAGACGACGCACTTTCAACGCTAGAGTTCAGAACTACAGATCATGGCTCAAAAGAGCTGATGCGATTGCAGTACATAAATAACTGATAAAATAGCCTCCCACCGAAAAGCATGCCGCTGACCACAAATGGTGTACCCGTTGCGCGCCATTATAAAAGAGAAGCGAGTAACATGTAACATACCAGACAAACGACGAGAGCCACCCAACACCCATTTTAGCCTTGAGGCAGCCGGATCTTTTCAAGTACAAATCCACCCGCCCTCTGCTTATGGTTCTTCGTTCCCGAGTCGTGCGTGAAGATAAAGCAAACCAGAGCCATACAAAAAAAAGCAACCTGCGGCAGACCTTAAACACAAAATAACACAATGAGATTAGATCATCAACTTTCCCCTCTCGCTCCCGCTCAGCGGGGCGATAATCATGCGGAAACATGGAAACCCAGCGTCTTTCCAAGCCCCACCAAAAGATTGGCCCAAGCCCTCTAAGCATCGAGAAGGGGCCGCTCTTAGCTGCGCCTGTTGAGCCTGCCGAGCATATCGCGGTCAATCCTATTCGTGTCTCTGTGGGAATCATTCTCCAAAAACCGATCCAAGCTCATCGGGTTCGGGGCGTTGGGAGGAAGAATTCCAGGACGCGCGCTTGGCTGCGACGGAATAGTCGGCGCGGGGTTACCGGGGCTATTCCTGTGAGGAGTGGGCGACCTATCTGGTTCATAGCCACCCTGAGGATATTGTTGCTGATAGATCGGCGGTGTTCCATTGCTGTGGATGGAAGCTGGGGACCTGCGCCGGGGATCATCGTCGCGAGCATTGTTCGGGGGAGGTAGCCGCATCGCATGTTCCTCATCTTGTGGGCGAGGTCTCCGGCGACTGGCATCTCTGTCATCGAATGGCGGGTAATGGAGACTAGGTGACTGAACTTGTGGTGGGGGAGGGTACTCTGATGCCGGGTGCGGATAGCCACGAGGCGGCGGCGGCTGCGGCTGTGGCTGCGCAGAAGAAGGCAGAGGCTGACCATATGCTCCATACAATGGTGTTCCAGGAGGAACACCGCCTGCCACCGCCGCTACGGGAACAAATGCCGTCGATGGATTGCTGCTGACAGGTTGAAAGATGCAGTCGATACGCAGTTTGTCGCAGTTGGAACACTTGCCATTCGTCGTGTTCTGATACCCACTGCATCGGATCTGTTGAGCCGAAGAGTTAGCAAAAGGCTTGTGGAAAGAGGGGCAGTTGAAACACAATCTCTTGTACTTGCCTTCCTTTTCCGACAATACTTGCACGCGATTGAGGTCCGTTGACGCGGAGCAGCTTGTTGCGGCTGCGGAGGCGGCGGGGCCGCAGGAGCACCGGGTCCGTATGGGTAGTTGGGCGCCGGAGGATAACGATACTGATATACGTCTGCACCATACCCGCCGCCGCGTCCCTGGTGTGGCGGACCCTGCTGGTAGTACGGATCCGACGGCATGCCCCTGTCTGGGTACTGTCCCCTCTCATCATAAGGCCTTCTGTCGTCATACGGCCTTTGATCTTGTGCGGCTTGAACTGGCGGCAGTTGGTACTGCGAAGTCGGGGGAGCAAATCCACCCGCGGGCGGATTCGAATTCGGCGGGGCGTATCCGGGGGGATGAGTCGCAGACATCGGGGGATAGCTACCGGGAGGCGGTGGATTTGGCGAGCCGTATCCATTCGTCGTTTGAGCCCGTGCATCTGTCCAGGCGCCTCTGGGGTCGCCTCTGGGATCCCCTCTTGGATCTTGGGGATACCTCTGTCCGGCCGCGAATCTTTGATCTGGGTAGCGCTGATCGTGGGGATAGCCGTTGGCCGGAGCTGGGGCCGGGGCCGATGGGTGCATCGCCATGTTGGTGGTCGTTAATGGCGGCAAGGGATACTGTGATCGCCTCTCTTCGTCGTCACCCGGAGGCGAAGGATAGTTGGACTGCTCAGGTCCGTCTCTCGAGGGGTAACCTCTACCCGCCATCATGAGCTAGGTCAGTGCTGGCTTTTCGGACCAATGTCCGCTTTTCAAGAGCTTTCGTGTCGAAACAACTCTTGATAGAGGCTGCTAACGACTGTGTTAGTAGCTGCGAGGGATGGGGTCGTGCTAGGCACGTTGAAGAGCGTGTTGTGCGACGTAGTTGGTGGTGAAGGTAGAAGCAAGTTGGGTGTTGGACCTGCAACCCCGTCACCCAAGTGGCACATGGTGATAAGTAGCAAATGAAGCTGTCAAGCCGTCAAGGACAGCATATCGGCCATCGCGCTTATGTGGCGCAGGAAGTTGAAATGCTTTCGTTCGGCAGAGAGAAAAAAGATACCTTGGGTGAACTGACTTTGCGTGACCAGGCGCGATGACCTGGGAGGTACGACTCCTGATAGAAGGATCGTTCTGTCTTCAATCGAGTTTTTTTTCAGTCCGACTCTTTCGTTGTTTTTCCTCTCGCCCCAGCGCAGGCGTAAAACACAGATGCAGGCAGGGACAGGCCGTGGCCGTGACCGATGACGATGCGCCGAGGTCCCAACTCAGTATCACAGTCGAATTGAAGGCTTGTCAGAATGGCTATTCTGCACTCGCCGATGGTTCGTTGCGACACAGATGGTAGCGAAAGAGAAGAGAAAAATACGACGCAAGGAAAAAGGCAGCGAAGCGCGGCCGGCGACCAGTGTCTCTGTGTTGTTAGGTTTCTGCTAAGCGGAAGTTGCGCGCGGGTTGGAGAGGGAAATTTTGAGAGGTTGGATTGCGGAGGGATGATGGAAGAAGCGAGCTGATTACTTATTATTTCAAAAGGACTCGCCCGGCTTTTGACGGATTGGCAAGGTTGCCCGCTGCGTTGGGTCACAGGCTCAAACCACAACCAGTGCCACGGCAGCTTCCATTCCAACCCGACCGACGGTGGACTGGGTGCTTAGTGCCCGCTAGTGAGCTTTAGCGTGCAGGCTGCCTGCGTTGCATGCGATGGGGCAGGTAAGCCGGACCGTTTAGGTGGACGTTACCGTATGGTAGCCAGAGAAGGTAACACTGCAGCGCATATACGGCAGCAGATACGGTGTGCGCAGTCATACCTGTATGTAAGTTTCCGTATCCATGCAGTATCTCCAAGGTTCTGTCACGATGCCAGGGAGCGGGGCGGTACGTACCGCTCTGCCTTGGAACTGGCTGGGGGGTGCTTCCTTGGAACAGCTACCTCAAGACTTGTAGCCATTCATCCAAGTTGTACTGTGTAGAGGATACGATTACGACAATATACAGTTTTCGTAACAAACTCCACCTTCAGTTATCACACATGACACCTGTCCTTTCTTCAGATCCTACTTGGGTAGTATTGGGATATCATCGAAACAAAGAGGTCAGTTTCAAAATCAAGCGAGCAAAAAAGATACAAGCTGGGATGAAGTCCTGGGAGACAACGAAACTCGGCGGAAGGCGAGCAGCAATGATACGAGCGCCCTTTGAAAGATCAGTCCGAGAGTCGTCTAAAGAGGGGAAGACTGAGGAAACGGAAGGTTCTGGACATCTGGCATAACACCGGATTATGGGAAAGGGTTGAAGACTCGCTTTGCAAGCCGTCAAATACGTGTGAAGGCGGGGCGGGTGCTGCGCGCCGGGACTGCCCGTTTCGAATGGGGACGCCCAGGCGGTCCGATGCCCGTCGCGGGTCATTCCGAGTCACATCGGACAACGACACGGGGACCGGGCGGTATCGTGTTGTCCTAGGAGCATCGTGCTAATCCGAGATACCCACCGGTACACAGCAAAATGGTCAAGGTCGTGAACGCCATTCACGAAGCGGCTTGGGCCGTAGGCGTCCAAAGAATAAGGGAAGGCTAACGTATCGCGTCTGCCTATGTTGACAAAATGTTACGTATAGACTCTTAAAAAAAAAAAAAAAAAAACCTACTCTGGCAAGGTTTATTATAGTACGTTAGATCTCCGAAAGTCTTTACTCAAGGTTCCATATTAGTTCGATATACAATTACAGAATTGGATTATATCTCTTGACACCCTTCTGATACTCTTGATGGTATCTCGTGATTGTACAGTACTATGGACAAGATTGGCCACCACCAACCAGACTTGACTCATGGGTAGGTTTTAGAGGGCCGCCCGCCATACCCGCCCATCATTAGCAAGCCGAAAGCAACAACATTTGCATAACAAAGATCGTATGCCTAATAGGTTCTCCCTCCACTCACTCCCATCCTTGTTTTCAGCCCACTTGAATGGCAGCAGCCCGGTGTAGTTAATATAGGCATGACTGATCGCAAGGCAAAGATTTGCGGTTAGCAGGTGGTTGCAGATAGGGCCGCAGCTTCCTCGCTTAGTCGCTTTTTACCAAAAAAATCGAGTTCTCCTCTTTCCAAGCACGCGATTACCTCTAGGCCGCGAAGCAAGGAGTTACTTGAAATACCCACCTATTAACGGCAGTGCGCGACAGATAACATAACGCCAGATTTGGACCCGCGCTTCCAAGGATTCTTGAATGATATAATGCATCTGAGAAGGACGGCAGTACAGCTCGTATATCTAGGCACCTCTACCTTCCATGTGGGTAAACGATCTGCCAAGGTCTGGCAGTGAGCAGCACCATGCTGTTTTTCATGTTCCAAGAATTGGATCATTTATGTCCACTGGTATTTCAGACCCCAGAACTCGGCCCGTTAAATCGCTGTCGATCAACCGGTATTCCTGCCCATATTTAGCACCAACAGAAAGCTGATATACCTTTCCAAGGTCAATCTTACCTGTACAGCCCTTCATGCGGCGTGGTGATCATGATCGTTTGATATCAGCTGATAAATTTTGACTAAGCCAAGTACAATGTGTCCCTACATCACTCCCCTCATGCCTTCCCAGGATCAGGGTTCCATGTGTTCCAAACTAACCTTCGTGTTGTGAGCAGGGGAGCAGAAATCACGTCCATGCAAACGATCAATAGCATACCCAAACTTTTAGTGGCCGTGTGCTTAGCGCGATATCCTCCTTTTTTTTTTTTTTTCGAGAACCAAAAGAAAAAAAAAAAAAAAGAGGTCTGCGAACTGGAGGCAGGAAAAATCAGGCGTTAGTTGACTGGTAGTCCGATTCGGAATATGCATCGGAACGTCAGACACTGGCACCAACAGTCTCGGGAATTTCACTGTCATGGCCCGAAACATGGAGGCACTCTAGCAATCCTCTTGGCCATTCTCATCAGAAACACACGTCCACTCTCGGCCCAGTGTTGGTGAGAAACGGCGTACAAAGGCGCAAACAGACTATCAGACGCACAACTACTTCACTGTCTTCATAAGGCCTGGTGTACAACATGTACAGCGTCATGCGGTGTAGCCTCGAGACAAGTCTCCTTTTTCCTATCCCATCTCTGCGAGACAACGCCAGATGGGAAGCGGCCGGGACATGAGAAGTACAATCCACATTCAACACCGTGGGATATGCATCTTCTCGGGACAGTGGCTTCGGTGGGCTGGTTGCTCGCTCTCCTCCGTCTTTTAGGGATGTGGTTGGGCCGTCATAACAGGTAGTTCACACCAAGGTGTGCGATCCATTGCCCTTGGAGATGAAGATGTCGCGGGCAAAAAGGCCTGAAATATTACGCCCAGAGGGGCACTGTCTCAGCAGCATTGCGAACGGCTTTGAGCCATGCCAATGTCACAACCGCTATCATTTCCAAGCCTCCGACGATCGCAACCGCTCGAGCAGTCCCCGAAGACTCTATGTTTCTAGTCGGTCTCAATCTCGATGACTGAAGACCGGACGGCGCTGGACATCCTGAAGTTGGGTGGTAGACGGGCGCGGACTTGGATAGGCTAAATAGGGGTAAATGCTCCTTTACACTAGATATGGCTCTGTGATTCTCAGAGCAATCTGACCGGGCTGTCCTTGTCAGTGCATCTGCCTCCTGTACAGAGGTATCATGGAGCCTGACGCTGAATGCGTGGCGGCCCAGAGATGGAACCCAGGCATGGAAATGTGGCCGACAAGCAAGTGGATGATCGCACATTGTGCATTGCAGCCGACATAATCTTGAGCATGCCTTGTCCAAAGACAGCAACTCGATGTCCTCCAATTCGCGAACTCCCGTTTCCCGTGACTATAGTGCACCGGGTTCACCCGTCCGTCTGTCCTGCCGTCCTGTCAACTGAAGGGAGGCGCCTCCGCACGGCACGGTCGCAATCCTGTTGATCGAGCAGAAGTAACCAACTCAGAAACGGTGGTCGCGTCCCTTGCTACACAGTGACCAAGCTCGAACCCCTTCATTGGGCGTTACTAACAGCACAAACACCCTGTTCACCGCGAGTGTTGCTTACTCTTGTCTTTTCATCGGTGAAGTCCACTCTGCCAGTCCGCTTCGAGTGTCTCTCCGGAGATCGTAGTGAAGGGTCTAATGAACAAGATGCTAATATGACAGCTGAAAGCGAGATTACAAAGGCATTAAACCCCTCGGATCATGGCATCCTCTTCTTTTCGCCCCCACTTGGTAGTCCTAGAGGTAGACGTACTGCACAAACACTCGTTTTCTGAACCATAGCTCCTTCCTAGCATATCAATATCCCAGGTGCAGTTTTGCCACACACCCCGAAGTACCTACCATTCTTCACACTGATGTATTTTATGGTGACGGTTGCGCCGAGCAACATTTCCATCTTCTATCACTGTTTCCACAAGATACAATTCAAGGTAAAATGATGCCCATCGTCCAACGGGTGATTCAACTGGTACTTTGATAGGTCCAACGAAAACCAACAAGATTTGCTGGGTTCGAATTAGCACCAACGCAACGGCAAAGCCTTCCAGCTGCTCAAAGTCAGGGCAGCTGGCATTTTACAGCAGCACAGCAGTACAACAGCAAAATGGTAAACTTGCCTCACTCGCACTTCCGCATGTCGAAACACGCTGCCGAGGTTTTGAAGATAGCGACGTTCTTCAGAATCCCAACACAATTGGATGCCTCTTGCTCCGGCCTTTCACACAGGTTTTCAGCGCACTGGAACGCCTCAGCGGCAACGGCCTAGCCAAACGATGGTAATTACGAGCCAACGAAACATTATCCTCCACACTCCTACTCTAGGTAACGTAGGCTCCAAGATACCTTCGCTCAACATATATCTCGTGACGATGAGGACCCGTGAACTGGCGGAATATCCTGATTGTCTTTCTCAGATCCTCCCTCAGCAACATTCCCCCGTCGCATATCCGAAGAGTCATGCCCCAGGATGCTGACGTCCACTAGCCCCAGATTCAGAACATAGTGTAAGCATCCTTGTCAGAGCGTCCCAACAAGCCGCTTCGGATCTCCACTATCACAAAAGGGGGACCACAAAAATGCAAGTTCCAGACTATTTTCGATACGGGGCCGTGTGTGCGTCGGCTTTATGCCACCTGGTCTCTCGAGACAAGGTGTGAGAGATCTTGGACCACCCCCCCCCCCCCCCCTTTTTTTTTTTTTTCTTTTTCTTTTTTTTTGGGTGTTCCTCTCCCCTCGAGAATACCGATGGGATGTCAGCATCAGAGGCTGCCTCCCTGAACTATCCAAGCCATATGTAGTCTCGTCGCCGTCTCCAGATTCCCCGCCATAATGGAATTGCGGCCCAGGACGGTTGACGCCGCTTGATGCCTCCGAGGTAATGCACTCATTAGTCTACATGCTGCAACGCTTCCAGGGCCTCAAGGATGGAGGGAGCCACCCAGGAATGGCGCAAGATTGCACTACCAGATTTTGACAACTTGGTTCCCGCCGCCATCGGTTCGGGCAGACCCTCCCCAAGAAAGTGGACACGCAGTGCTTACACTACTTACACTCCCTGCTAATGTCATGCCTCCCTTCCCGTTCCCGTTGTTGGCCCGTCTGCTGGATCCATGGGGACGGGTTCCAGGCCGGTCGTTGTAGGTAGTACTGGTACATAGCTCCTGACTCGTTTGGCTGACCTCGGTTCCCATATCTTCATCGACGATGATATCTGCGAATTATCTCGCAGTGAATTCGAATGGCAAGGTGGACTGCTGTGCAGCCGCCAACAACCGGGCCTGTGGAAAAAGGGGGGGCTGCTTTCATCATTATTGCGAACAGAGGCAGGAACAATGCTCATATCTAGAGGTAAGGTATGCACTAAGACGAAACGTCTACGATTGGCAATCGTTGGACCTTTTTCTTCTATTCCCCGGCCTCCTTCCTCTAGACTCATCCCGCTGTTGTCATCTTCTTCTGCACCTTGATGCAGTTTAAATAGCTCTTACAGGAAGTCGGAGGTCCGTGTGCGGAGAGGTAGCAATGTTGGGTTGGGTTGGTGGCCCATGCGGATTTTTGACTTTCAAGCGCATCATTCGTTGCAGAGCGTCCACTGGGTGGCGGCGCTGGCGGGAGATTCTGGGTTGGTCACAGCTTGTCAGACTCATAGGCAATTTGCATCTCGACCCCCCTCACCCGCTCACCGTTCTGTAGCCACAACTCTTGGTTTCTCCGTCATCAATTACGTCTACAGCGCGGTGTGCTCGCAGGATCAAACTGAACCCTGGCGGCGCCTAGAAACGGAACTCTTGGGTATTGGTGTAACGACACCCCGGCGGCTGAGCGCATGCACCGGGCTGTGTTTGCTTGCGATCCCATACCGCGACAAGTCCAAAGTGAGACGGGACGGGAGGCAGATTTTCACCCAGCAGGACACTGTGTATTGGAGAGTTGAAAGCAACCAGCAAGGCGCCGGGCCCATGGCAAGGGTACGTACTGTGTGCCCAAAATCTCACATGTACTGTATACTTGTAGAAAACAATTTCGGTTTGCGCATTTCAATTTGGCGTGTTGATCGCTTGTATGTACCAAGATATCTTGAGTGTTCTCCTGGTGTACCTGCTCACAGTTCCTGAGTCCTTTTTGACAATGGATTTATCGAAGAGTTACGTCGAACAGCTTATGGATGCCTTTACCGACCTCCCGGAACTGCCTGATCGATCACAGCATGTTGGTGCGTTCTAGGAGATATAAGTGTACGTTGATACCCTCAGCGAAGGACGATTTTTCTTTTTTAGATTTGTTTGTTTATTCTACACATTTCCCGATGCCATGATACATCACCCAAGCTGCCGAATGTATGTGTGGATGGTAGTTTTGGCTCCTGATTTAACTACATTCACGTGAGGAAACAAGAATTGTCAAATGCCTTACACCGAGCGCCCGAGGAGAACAACTTGAACAAAGCTACAGAATGTGCCAGGTTCAAGGTAGCGCCTTACATACGTCAAGTATATTGCGCTGCAACCAAGTGTTGGCCTCTTCGAACACTAGAAAGATGGAACAAGAAGTAGGGAGATGCTCCGGTTGCCAGATGACCACCGCCCGCCGTGTCTAACAACCACCCAACCTCCTCCACAATCGGATTTTGAACTTACCTACCACCCCATCTATTCCTCCGTTAGACGACAAGCATTTTTCTACCGTTGCTTTCACTGTGACAAACGACAGGAAACTTTTATCGCTTGGGTACGGCTGCTCTTACAGATCTCCATTGCGGTTATGACATTGTGTACATGCAAACAACATGTGTACGTGGCCGGAATGGCAGTAATCCCTTCTGACAACAACAAAAGCAGGGTGGCGTTCGGAATGATTCATCTCTCCCGTTCCTCGTTGCTCCGTACTGTTTTTCCCTAACCGATTTCTTGTTCCTGAATCTCAAGTGGCACATAGGTACTATTTTGTCTTGTGTTGGGGCCGCACTCGTGATTTTGTGTTATCTCTGAATGTCTTTTCTTTGTGTCTCGGGGGCGTTGGTGAGCACAGTGACGGAGCAGACCACACATGCTATAATTGGGAAAGTTAACAAAAAAAAAATACATATCGAAACAGTGAGTTGACGACCGACGAAGGTGAGCACTTGCACAGATCTTACATTCGCGTCATTAGATTAGCAAGTTTCATTACAGTTCTCAGCAAGCCTTTACATGTAGCTACTGATTTCTTACCTCTCGATGGTTAGATGACGGCCACCAAGCAAAGAAAGAGACCAAACGTGGTTAGCGTCGCGGACACACGCGCAAACAGCATCTTGGTCGATCCTGCTCGTAGTGATTGAGGAGGGCCAACACCTGCAGGTAAGCGGCACAGACTAAAGCAAGGCCTGCCCAGTTTGGCTGTGGGCGCGAGACCAAGTTGCTCTCTTGTTCCCCATCACGGCGCTTGTCTGAATGTCTGGCGGCTGGAGAAGGCGGTCTGCATGTCTGCAACCGGCTCAAACTGACCCAGCTAGGTAGCAACCTATCGAAGCTCAAGTCCCTGGTAGGTTTGCGGAGGATCGCGACTCTCGAGAGTGAAATTCCTTCATATGTTAACAAAAGGTTATACTTAGGTCGCCGTTAAACAGTCACGTTGATGGACATCACATCTCTGGAGGGAGGATTAGAGACAGAGGGTGATGATGCAGTTGGAAAGAAACCAGAGAGGCCTGGCTCCTAGTTACTAGTGCCCTTCTTGGCAGTCACGTGCAGAAACAGTCCTGTACTCCACCATTCTTTCCGCTCAATCTGGCGGGCCTGGCGGGAACACCGAAAAAGAATGTGTCATTGCTCCGTCGTTAGTGCACCCACTTCGTCACGACACCCTGTCTCCCTGTGTGCCGCGAGCATCGGTTAGGAGAGGGTGTGGCGTCAATATTCTTTGTTTCCTGTTTCCTAACTCTCCTTTTCTGGAGATGACCATGGCCCATCTGCTATCCCGGTATCTGGGGTCAGCCTGTCAGACCTCGTTCCTTCTACCCGGGGCTGGCTGGGCGAGTTCGAGGCGTTCAGGCGAAAGCGTTCCGCTATTTGCGTTGATCCACTTCATCTGACTGGAGCTTTCACGTCCAGGGCGAGCCCCAGGTCCCGTCACGGCCCGTCGGGCCACGCGTGGGTGCTCGTCAGGCTCCATCTCCGTCTTCCTCTCCGTATTGAGAGCATCTCCTCGCCTAAAGTTGGTCTGTGTCGTATGTCAAGTCGGAGTTCTGCCCGGTAAGTGCATGCGGCACTGTGCGCTAAAACAGATACTGATTGGTGAAAAGCTACCAGATATAGTACGTACACTGCTCAGTCGACACAAAGGCCCGAGAACGCACACAGCGTACCAACAGACTGGGAATCATTTTCTGCGTGAGCAACAAGCCACCAACTTATGGCGTCTTCTGGTTGGCGTCCGGTTGACGTTCCAACGCCGTACCGACCACCGCCGGGAATTACAACGAACGAAGCTCAGCCAAGACAAGACAAGCCATGCCCCTAACACGTTACCTACCTGACCGAGCCAACTTCGAGTCCGAGTTGGCGCTCAGGGCGCTGTGACCTCCACGACCTTTTGTGCGGCCCACGCTGGCGCGGATGATCGAGCACCACAAGGTAGCAGAAACGTTGGAGTGCCCTGTTGGGCCACGTTGCATTGGGGGCCACAACTGTACCTTCCCGTTCCGCTTCTTCCCGGACGTGCTGCATGTCCGTCATTGCCTCTTCGCTGCAGTTTTTCGTCCTCGCACGGAGAGGAAAGAAAACTGTGTGTCTCGGCCGAAATGGAGATGGAGACTTCTCCCAAGATTGATGATGTACAGGCAGAAAAGAAACCACGGTATCGTATTTACGGGTAACGTAAATCATGTCAAGTGAATGTACTTCGTAAAGCTGCCTTGGGTGGCTTGTAAGCCCGCGCCCGGGCAGCACTGTACCGCAGCACGCCGCGTGGCTCCTGTACGACCGTCACCACTACCATTCCTTCTCTCGCACGCCCGACCACATACAGCAGACGGGCTATCAAGGCCATTCTCTGAGCATGCTCACAAAACAGGTACCTTTGCGATCCAGAGAATATTACACCGGCCGTGATCAGTGGTCAGAAGACTGTCTCCACGCGCCCCATGCGGAGCGATACTGTACTGCGTACAGTACAATGGCCTTGACGACACTAGCGAGAAAGGCCCGATTTCGCTATTCCTCGCAGAAGCCCGAGAACCTCAGCTGCGACCGGGATGATGCCACCCTTCGTGGGGCTGTGTCGCACACTACTGCAACCCGTCAAAACGTCAGCACCCTGCGAGAGATGTGATTGGAACACCCGGTAATAAGCGTTATCAAATTCCTGGTTCAGCGAGGAGCTTCTGGTGAAGACCACTGCAGGGAGAACGCGTTGGGACGTGCGGTAGGACGGACGGGTAAGAAAAACGGGCGGGTTCGCCCGCCGTTCAAGTGACGCGGGCAAGATGCGAGCCCATGCATATGGGGGAGTGTGTATCGCCGAGTCTCGGGGATGGTAGTCCCTGAAAAGATTTTTCTGGTCCCCGCCTCTTTACACGGTGGTCGTCATGCATTCAACCTGTGCTACGCCGTGCAGTACACACTTTGGACACTCAAACCTCATGCGACGGCCGGATACTGGAGCGCCCAGATGTGACGGAAAGCCGTCAGCACAACTTGGTCACCTTTTATGAATGTCATGTCCAACAACCTTCGGCTTCACACAGGTTTCCTTGTTGCAGTTCGATATTTGAACAATATGAGCCGTCACTCAGTTCAGTTCGACGAGTCACAAGCCAGTCGCTGTCCTTCCGGCCTCGTTTTTCCAGATTTGTAACCGATCAAGGTAGCAGAGAGCGAACGTCGGACTGTACAGTTGTACGGGGATTGGCGCTCGTTTGCCTGGCTGATGCTCAACTCGAGCTGAAAGGTGGAGAGAAGATGCCAGTTTTTTAGCCCACCTGACTGAGAGTCGTCTACAAGTGATGGATGGGAAAGAATGAAAGTATGAAACTGGCAAAATGGTACGGTACCACTTGATGCGCATGCCACGGCAGTACATGAGGCAACCAGGAAGCGCTCGGACTTGCGAGGCAAAACGACCAGGACCTATCGGAGGATGCAATGCACCTTCTATCCCCATTCTGAGCGGACCGGACGGGTTAGTGAACTGTGACCATGGACTAGTGTGAGGAGGACAGTTTCATCGATTGGTACCTAGGCTCCTAGGGCCAGAGACGGAAAGACTCGCAGGCAAACGGCGGTGAGCTTCCATCATCTCCGCCTGTCCATCACCCAGCATCCATGTAGTTTTTGTTATTTTTTTTTTGTTTTTTGTTTCCGGCGCTTGCCATCAGAAATTCCGCAATCGAACCTCTGAATTGATATCCGATACCATAGCGGAAAGGGGGAAAACTGGTTGACCACGGCTGTGCGAGGAACCGAATGAACAGGAGGATCCCAGGTGCAGTGAGCGCATGCAGTCTACCTAGTGCATGTTGCTGACTATTTCTTAGAGGTGGCCAGAGCAAAGATTTTCTACTGACATCCTCGGCAAGAGGGGTCATGAGAGGTGATGGGGCAGATCTCAAACAATGGGGATCCTGGACTCTCACTCGCATGAGCGAGTTTTCGACGCATGGGGAGCCCAGTCATCTCACTGCTCATGAAGCCCAAAGGGACAAAATTCCCATCGCAAGCCGCCCACCCGCCCGCCTGTTTTCCACCACTATCGTCTGGCTGAAGCTGGGTACCCGCCTACCCGGAGGTCGCCTGTGGTTGCACTGAAGGGAGACATGGCTTGATGCGGTATTCTTGTCACAGCAGGAGTTTGGCACCTACCGATGCGCTATGGGGCATCTCGGGTGCCATCCTCAGACCTGTCACTCAACCAAGGCAAGCGAGCGGCAGGCCCGAAATGTGAAATCTGACGACTCCCGCTGAGCCGTCCGGAGTGGGCGCACGCGGGAAAATAGCATCCATGGCTATTTCCTTCTCTCGTGGTATACAAAATTGGTCAGCATAAGACCAATTCGCCAGCCTGGGAAGCACACAAGGTCGAAATGGGAAGGATGAGTCTGATGTTCAACGGATTAATCGATTAGGTACCCTCCATCAGATTTCTGGTGAAGCCCAACCGAAACTGTGAGAGTGTGGAAGGACAACACTGCAGGCGTCCGCGCAAAACCGTGCTACCCAGAGTTCCACACCACTCACAGGCACAATAGTATAGACCTCGGTGAGTGCGGAAAGGTGGCTGGCGTTGGGAAAAGGTTCGGCGGCTCGGCTCGAGACGATGAATCTGGTCTTCTGCCTTAACCGCTCGCTCGCCCAAGGCAATCAACCGCGTGTATCCCTACAGCGCATTTGCATACAAGTGGCATAGCGACGCATTATCACATCAATGGATCTATTTCGGCAAGTGTACAGACGGCCAGCGCTCTGCAGCAGTTGGTATGGAGCAGCAGGTACACAAGCAGTGAGGCCTAAACGCAATGGAAGCAAGGTCACTGACTGTTTAACTACCTATCACGACCTAACCAACCACTTGCGAGGCCTGCCCATCATGGGCTCCGTTAATGGCTAACATGCTGCAGTCATGGCCATGCTATTGGGTACGACTAGGAGAACGGAACTTTGCGGACATCCAAAAAGGGCCACTGATCGGTTCCCCGTCTACTGTTTGATTCTCTTCCTGCAGGTGCTACACAGCAGTGTGCAGGAAAAATAGGTGTGGGTGAATAGCTCAGGATGCAGTCTACTTAGACCGACTGTAACTGGAGCAAGGTGTAGTGTACCACTGCTGAAGTTTACGGCACGCTTCTGCGGTTCTGTGCGTCCAGCGCCAGGGTCATATTCATACATTGCGTTGTGTGTGATGCTTTCTGTGCCATTATCAAGGCTTGCCAGAAGTGCAGAAACAGAGAAAACCGGATGACGGATTGGGACTCGGAACAGAACGGACATGGCTCAACCCGTGTGCACGTCTTGCTAATACGGGGAAAGAACACACGTCCCTTATAGCGAATACTTTTGTGACTCAGACACGTAGTGTTCGCTCACAAAAGCTCCCCAACTTCACTTCGTCCGACACGTCCGTCGGGTTGCTGTTACTGTATAAGAGGCGCCCTATACCGGGAGCCTGGCCCGAGCCAGGATTACCGAGATCAACTGGAGAACAGCGTAAGTCCTATTGCGAGGAGCATCAGGGGCTGCTGGGCCGGATTCCAGGTGTACCCAATCAAGACAAAAACAAGACCCAAGGAGTCGGTCCTAGGCTTCTACGGACCGACGCGAGGGTCCATGCGATGCAGCTAGTGGGGACCGAACAATCCTCTTCCATTCAGTTGTCCCCATCGATCACTCAATCCCTTCTTGGCAGGTGGCCTTTCTTGGCTTCGTTCGCTTCGCTCCGCTCCGTTTCTTCGTTGGAGCCCAGCTGACTTGCGACCCGCTTCGTAATACCACGCTTCGTAACGGAAACGATGCGACATCGTATCGTGGTATACGTAAGTACGCACATCAACAGGTATCGTACGACGGTTATTTTACAGTTTTTCTACTCAAACGCCTTCGCTTTTCGCACGGTACCCGAGAACTCATCCGGCGGGCAGTACCGCAGTTTCCAGATTGCTGGAATCGCCGTGTTCTGACAGGCAAGACCACCTGATATGTCATGGTTGCTGTATGCGAGATGTCGGCGTTCACAACTCATCACATCGGTTCACAACACCCTTCTTGGCTCCTTGAAACCGAAAGTTGACCAAGCCCACATCCTCTTGTTCAATGTGCTAACATGGTGGCACAAAATACATTCTGCTTCATGGTGCATCGCGGCGGGCTGCCGAAGTTGGCAAAGCAGTTGACAATCGCTCACTCACATGTTGCCGTCGAGCTAACCAGTACATATTACCACCAACTCTCCTACCTCACCATCGAACTTGACCAAGCTACATAGCAAAGCAATTCGAGTGCGCAGCGCGGTGAGGGCAGGATCATGAAATAAATGTTACCCTTTTGGGGTGAAGCACTAATGTTCCTTGTCTAGGTCCCGGTCCATTATATGCTGCTGGTATATCCATTTCACAAATAGGGGTTGTATCTGGACGCATAGTGTACTGCGACTTACATGGATCTAACTGACTACTAGTCTAGGCGTCCTAGTGAATCCCATTTGTTGATTGTACACTACTGGTTTCATTGCTGCTCCCGGCGCCGGGAAGAAACGTCCTCTTCTTTTTTTTTTCTCTTTCCTTTTTTCTCCTTCGGCTTCTCTTCCATCTGACCTCTTATTGGGTGGATCACAAGTTTCAATAGGTTACCGAGAAACCAACACCCTCCCTTCCTTAGCTCGATTCGTAGCTTTCTCCGTCTTTACGAACTGCCCCGGCTTTACTCTACTCCACACAAGTACGGCCTATTCTAGTATCCTGCATAGATCGGATCATAGGTACCGTGTTCCCTAAAAAGTCATATGTGCTGAGAGGATGCGATTCCTTCATTGGTAAAGAGAAATACCGTCATACACTTTTGTTATGCGGAGGTCCTTCCCCCCTGGATTGCCAGTCATTTCTGCGCTTGAAGTGCTCAAGAAGTGTAAATACGGAGTACCTACATATGGAGCATGTCTTTGCCAAAGCTCACCGGCTCGATCTGGCGTTGCCTCCATCAGCTACTAGGTACTTGTAAGCAACCGACGTGAGCGCTACAGTGGCGCCTATGCACTGCCATCAGTTGGGATTTGGATATCATGTCTGATCAACGCCCTCTCGAGCCTCTTTTCATGATGAATCATTGCTAATTAGCTTGCCAGTCCCGCCATGTTTCGCAACGATCGGTGTATATACAAATTTGGATTACTTTGCAGTGCCAGGAATTACAATACTACTCAACCCTCAATAAACGAGTCTTGTCAAAATGTGACGGTACGAAGTCATCAGACACGTGTGCCTGAAGTTGCACTTTGATCTTGCCGACCCTACATTTACATCTCGTTTGCAAGTTGAAACCTCGAGCTTCTCTGCGGCCCTCTCGCTTTCTCCCTCGCTTGTGAGACGACTGGCTGGGAGCCCTTTTGGATCCTGGAGGATCGAACGCACACCAACGGCCGGTCACGTCGTCAGCGGGCACCGCAGGTCAGCCAGCATTTTGGACAAAACCGGGTGCGGCGGGCAGGCGGGCGGGCGGACGGGAGTCAATGCTACCGTGCTATCATGTTGAGACCACGCTAGTCAAGCTAGTGTTTACGGTTTTCAACAGGCTTGAAGGGGTCGAAGATGGCCAGAAAGGTTGTGTCTTGCGGCCGTCCAAGATAATGGTGGTGCGCACCACCTTGTTCACTACTGGAAATATGAGCTGACAGACCTGGGCTGACTCCCCACCCGTCTATATTAGCTTACATTTATATGGTGTACTGTCATTTTTTTTTCCCTTTCCATTCTCCCCGGAAAGTTCATCCCTTTTAGTTCCCCGAATCTCCACAGCTTGCCGCTTCCGCTTCTCCCAGATAGTGGAGTGAAACAGGATCGTAAAGCCAGATGACGGCTTTTCTCCTCAACAGCAAAATGAAGCCCATACGACCATAGGATAGGCGCGAGTGCCGTCTCCGGTTGAGCCGGTCAATCCAAACCTGCTCTGCATCCCCCTCCTCCTACTATGGCACCCTATGTACTGCAAGTGATTGTATTTTATTGTTCAAGCAAAAAAAGGGCTCTGTAGTATCTGATCATTCGGGTCGGGCGGGGGTGGGGGATCTCATTGCTGTAGGTAAGACTTAGCCCAAAGATCAAGTGACGGATTCGGTTCACAGCTCCGGTACACGTTTCCTTCAGCTCGCAATGATTGTTGATCTTGGTCCCTTTTTTTCCAAAGTCAATCACGTCGCTTGTGGACACGGAAAACGGTACAAGGTTGTGGATATGATGGAGAGACTATGTCCGTACGACCGTTTCGCTTTGAGGAATGACAACCGTGGAATGCTTGTAATAGCGCTAGGTCAGAAATCTGACCCTAGATCACTGCCTAGGAAGGCACGTCGGAGATTGATCTCGGAAAAGACCTTGGTCAGCCCGACAAAGTGGTTTTTTTTTTTTTTTTTTTTTTTTTTTTTTTTTTTTTTTTTGACAGCGCTTCAACTTCAACCAGCCTCTTAAGTCCCGATGGTGGCTGCAGCTTACAAGGAACCAAGTTCATCACGTTCTGCTTCTAAGATCTTGCCCAAATAATGGTTGAAGAACATTGGTGCTCTAGCGGTTATTGCCTGCCTAAATCACAAATTGCTTACCATTCTTCTTCCTCGCTTGAATTGCCAACCCAGTGTCATACGCATTGACACTCCCCGGGTGCCCCTTTCTCGCGGCCAATAAGACCCGAAGCGGCTACTCTAACCGTAGAAGTTTCTACGGATAAGGTGACTCACCACATATGACGGGACATCACGCAAGAGAATGTTGGTGGTTGGTTTTGGATGGGCCAGGACAAATCAACGCTGAGCCTGTTGAACTCTATCATCGTCAACCCGTCAGCAAGCCCTTGACAGGAGACCTTCGGTCCGGTTGGGTTGGTGTGATGGGCAATCTGCCATATGCGCATGAGCCATGAAGGTTTGCAGCTGTTTGCCATTGGCCTCTGTCATTTGGCAGTATAGCACGGCACGCGGCATCGTCACGGCACGGCATTAGAAGGAGTTGAGAACATCAAAATTTCATAGGTGGACGATGCCATGCGTGCACCAAATAGTAGTGTAGTATGTGCTCCGGACGGGGTCGGCTCGTTTTGGAAGCCGAAGCCGCAAAGGTCCGGCAGACATGCCACTCCGTGTAGCGTACGAAGCAGGATGTAATGCGGTACCAGTAAAAAACGAGAAACGTTCGTTACCTCTAAAGGTCTTTCGATCACTGTCATCTATCCGTAATGTAGCGTAAGCTTACGTTCGGTACGTGACCCGTACGGCGGTGGGTCGGCGGCAAAACCCGCCCGAGTCCAACGGGCCGGGGCACGCTTCTCGTGATTGTCTGACAGCTTTAATAGACACCATATCCGACAACGCTAGGAGGCTACTGTAGCTACCATACTGTCAACCACATCGGCGTAGACCAGACTATCGACGAGGCTACTTTGTCTACCATGGCTTCAGAACAGAATAAGGAATACTTCAAGTAAGACAGCCGAGGTCCCTGTTTGCTGGGTCAACAGACGCTAACGCCATCTCCCTTACAACAGCAACGAAGCTGCAACATACGATGCTAAGCACGCAAAAACCTTGGACAGGATTGTCGAGGAAATCCGGGCCAGACTTGATTTCATTGGAGTCGAGTGGGTAGATGAGGACGCCGATTCTGGAAGCGTGCGGCTTCTGGATTACGCCTGTGGTACTGGAGTTGGTGAGTGTATCCTTGGTGGCAAAGTGCTAGTTTCTTGCAGTGTTGGGGTAAGGAGATCTTAGCAAGATTTGGGGGGCTTAGAGGCCTGGAAAGTTCAATGCACATGTGTGGATTGAATTTCTTGAAAGCCTCTGAGCAGGTAGTTAGGTTTGGGATCTTGCTCCAGTGGCTTGCTGTTGGCTGTCTATACCCGGCTTGCCGCTTTTGTCTTCTCGTTCTCTGTGCCACATCGCTAACCAGACGTAATATTGTAGTGTCTAGAGTAAGTCATCCTACTTCGGTCCGCTCAACACGGTTGAAGAGCGCAGAGATTTGCTTTATGAAGACCGAGTTCCCGATAGGCAGTCCCGCTCTCCTTCCCGTTCAAAGTTTCGACATGCAGTCATCACATCTACGCCCCATCAGGATGATCGCAGATTGAGGTCTAACAACTTCTCTAGGCTCTAGCTCCTTACACCACACAATGCGTCGGTATTGATCTCTCAGAGAACATGGTCGCTCAGTACAATGCCAGAGCTGAGAACCAGGTAAATAACCTTTTTCCCTCTCGATCTGATGATATATGTACGCAACGGAGAACTAACTATCAAGTACTGATAGGGCCTTGCTCGCGACGAAATGTATGCCTACCAAGGCAACCTGCTAGACCCCAACGATCCTGATCCCCGGGAGTTTTCCGGCTTCGATTTTCACCACTTCGATGTCGCCGTTGTCGGGCTAGGCTTCCACCATTTTGACGATCCCGCTCTTGCGGCACAGAGGCTGGTCGAGCGGCTCCGGCCTGGCGGTGTTCTATTGATCTTGGACTTCTTGCCTCATGGCAAGGTTGCTGATGTACGTCTATTTTTCTTCGACTTATTTGAGGTTAGCGTCAAAGCTGGGGCTACAGACGCATTCAACATGGACTGCTCCAAGTACGATGAGATACTGATCCATGCGACCCACATTACAGGACGGCCATGCTGCTTCGCATACCATCACGCACCATGGCTTCTCTGAGGAACAGGTCAAGAAGATCTTCCAAGATGCTGGCGCCGGAAAGGACTTCGCGTTGGAGACAATCGGAATTGCCTTTAACAAGGCCACGGAACAGAGGCCTGAGGAGGTCCGTAGACAGGTCTTCCTTGCGCGTGGTACCAAGGAATAAGAGTAGGGAGGGCTCTATTTGGTAAAGCCATTTATGATAAGATAGGTATGGTTGATGTTAAAGCTTCAATGAAGTCATTCGCATGATGCCACTAGTTATCAGTGGAACTTTGATGATATGGAAAACTTCTTGAATAGTGTGTAGCGACGTGCAAGCAGGTACACAGGACATCGGGAGGATTGTTGGTAAACCCAGTTACCACGCCGAAGCTGTCATCGAAAGCAGCCAAAGTAGCCAAAATATACGCTATAAAGAAAGGAAAAGAAAAAGGAAGTTAGGAACAATGAGTAAAGAGAAAATCACAATTGCAAATGCTAACTCATCTATGATAGAGGACGAATCTCAGTTTCGATCAACCTCGCAAAAGGCAAAAAAAAGAAAGTCTCTCCCGCCGGGAATTGAACCCGGGTCTCGAGCGAATCGAGGCTGATGTTCAAACTTGACAAGCTCACATACTGACCACTATACTACGGAAGACTTGTGGATGTGGACATCCACCGTAGCTAATTGTTGGTGGCGGACTTTTAACAGAGCCTTATATATCCAGATCATGATGGGTCCGCTCACCTCTACCGTGAACATTTGGCATCCATCCCTCGTTACCATTCCCAAGTTGAAGAATAATTTACATCTTCTCCAGCTTATCTAACTTCGCATCATCTAGATCTGCTGTCAGTACAGAAAACAGTCTGTTTCGTGATGGAATAAGAGAAAAGAATGTTACGGCAACGCAGCGTTCAACCACACGTTCATTTCTGGCAACATAGACTTACCCTCAAGGTCAACATGAAAAGCACTGCCCAAAATAATAGCAGGCTCATTGATATTGTGATGTTCGTAGCTTTGACATTGACCCTGTCAGCTTCCTGCAATTGTGACAAGGCATGGATGAATACAACGCCGATTGCACTCACCTTAAGGTACCGACACCCCCAGCTTCCAGCAAAAACGAAGGTCCCTCGTGCAGAGAAAGCCCGGTCCATCGCTGTGCAAACGCACGAAGGATGTGTCCATGGGCAACAATCAACACATCGGCGCGTTCCGCATCAGGATCTCCCTTGGGCTTATTGAGCGCGGGAGCGTGAAACCTCTCCCGAATTTCTTTGATCAGACGATCGCAGCGCTCGTTGACATCTGCGGGACTCCTGCAGACGAGATTTCCCTATAATCAGCAACCGGATTATAAAGAACAAAGAACGAGACACAAGCTGGAGCATAGGAACAGTGTTGACAACTCACTCTCCTCCAGGACATCCATCCCTCCAAATATCCCAATTGGGATCAAGGCCTTGTCGCTTTCTCTTCTCCCTGATTTGCGGACTAGTGATACCTTCGTATTCACCATAATCCCACTCGCGGATGTCCTCGGTGACTTCAACCTCGGCATCGCATGGAACTGGCTTGGAATCGCACTCGCCATGACGTTCCCATGGCAGCGGACCTTTGACACCGAGGTTTAGAAGCTCAAAGGTACGCTGGGCTCTTTTTCGCGGAGATACGTATCTGTATGCATAGTAGGTAGTGTTACTTAGTGTGCTGGTCATTGTTGGCTCCAAAAAACGTGGTGTTTGAACACCGCGAGAGGCCAAAGTCAGCTGAACAGTACCGACCGCGGACTGTTTGGTTATACCATCGTTCATCAGCGCATCTTGGCTGTGTATACATTCGGACTTGTCTTTCCCAACCCTTTTTTCCTCAATTTCTTTCTATTTTATTTTTCATTTTTTTTTTTTTGCAAGGGGGAACCGAACCGATTGGGCAATTTGCAAGTTCACTCACATATGAGCCAGCTTCTTGGGAACAATAAGGCGGTCATCACCTATAAGCGCTTTCCCCGTCGCCTTGACGCGCTTCTCGCCATTCGCTGTCAACGGGATGTCGGTCGAGCCAGTGTGACGGCCATCAATAGACCATGCGGTCTCGCCATGTCTGATAATGAACACCCGGGGTGTTGACATCCTTGCTACTTTCGAGTGCTGAGTTGTTGAAGGTGGAACTTGAATTTGACCTGGGTTGTTTGGCCTTGATGGGAATAACGTGAGGAGTGGCGGAAGGGTGAAGTAAACAATTGATATAGGTAGTGAAACGTTGCTCAACAATGAAACTGCCGGAACAGCCGGGGTAAAGAGAGGTTTCACCTAACAGACGAGGCAGAGTACCCTGAGGTAGCTACTAATTTTCGACCACAGGACACTTCCAAGAAGCAATCTCTCTCTTGGATATCGTGACATCATCCGCTCTTATGTTCCCCAGCCGGAAATGGAACGCCATGATTACGCCATAATTTCTACCAATGACATTGCACCCTCGGTATCTTTGCCGATCTGGTGATTTCTCAATTAAGCCTAATTCGACGAATGGGAATCATCCCGAGCAGCACTGCGCCAGTGCGCACCAGAACTTTGCAGCCTGGGGATTGATTGATAAGGCCATCATCAGTTCTTAACAATCAAAATTGAAACTAGTACGAGGAGGTGAAGTTGACAGGGCAAAGGGGAGAAAAGAAGTTGTGATCCACTCGGCAGAAAAATTGCAAGTTACGTAAACGGAACTGAAAGTAACGGGGACTTTTCACGAGGCACGGACGCAGTCCAGTCCCCCCGTCCCACCGGCCGCCCTTGTCGGACAGAAACCTGAAGGACGCTAAAACATGACGGGAAGTAAAAGCGCGGCCCGCTCCATGAACGCCACGCCCGTGGAAGCGGGACGAACGCTCGGTACGTAATATTTCCCCGTGTAGGGCACTCGTTACAATACGCAGCGTGCATGGATAGGTAATATGTAACAATACACGGGTCTTCGCTACGCACACCGTTGCGTACGGAGCACGTAAAACTGTTCTCGGCTATGTCTCGGTCAAGCATGGGGCTGCACGGATCCTTTGAAAGATCTTGAATTTTACAATACAGTCCAATGCTAGGTTGTGTATTAGCTCTGTATCCCATGTAAGACACATGATAACCCATCATGAACGTCGCAACAGTACTTCAAGTGTATAGAATTTATGCGGTAACACATTATCAATGCGAAGTTCGACATATCATACTAACTCTCAGCCCCCTATCATCGAAAACGCGTCAACTTCTCATTGGAATGCATGGACAAGTTGACCAGAGGTTTCGAGCTAGCTGGCTGTAGCAAACAAACCAGCATTGGACTGCGTGCTCGTAACGTACATTCGATTCCCGTCAAAAAGGCAAGTAGGTAACTTCCGTCCACTTCTCAACCACTCGTATATCGTGGTGTACTCCCACTCCTTCAACCATCCTGTAGATACTAATAGATCAGTGTCGCGACGAGCAACACCGCTTTACTTGTCAGTCCAGCCGCCATCTTCTCTTCCTCCTCTTTCCCGCTCCCACTCCCTCTCGCGCTCCTGTTGTCTCCTCGTTCTCTCCTCCCGATCAATCCTCATGCACTCCAGCCTCAACTCATCCGCCTGAAACTGGTAATGCAGTCCTAGGCGCCGCAGCGTCTCCATAGGAGAGTCTCCGAGACATGCGAGAATGGAAGAAGGGCCCGCATCATCACTAACAGCAGCCCTGCCAAACGCTGTTGTATCTTGGTCCTTGCCAGTGTCCTGTCGCCCTTCACCTTGCCACAATGCCATCGCCGACCTGTTCCTTGTAAGGCGCATATGTTCAAGCCGCAATTCATCCGCTTGATTTTGGTAATGTTGCACTAGGCAACGCATGATTTCTACTGGAGTGTTGGGGGGAAGACAGGCAAGGATAGAATTGGGAGGACCGGGGCTAGGACTACCGATAGAGTAAGAGCGGTCGTTGGCGATTCGTGTCCTCCCCCTCTCCCTCTCCCTGTACCTATCTCTGCCGGTATCTGTGTCCCTTGCTCTGGACTCGGTTCTGTCCCTTTCACCGTACGCTGTGTGTTCGTACCTGTTTTTGGTTTCGGTACCCTGTAGGCCCCTGGTGTCATCACTTTCCTCCTGTCTTTCGGGGCGGGTGTCTCTCGGCCTGCATTCGCATCGTTCGCGGGAAGTTTGTACGTTACCCACTGATCCTACGGCAGCAGGGAGTTGTGCTTCGTGAACATCTGATGGTAGTTCTTGCCTTGTTGTTGTTGATGCTGCTGCTGCTGCTGCTGCTGCTGCTGCTGTTGTTGTTGTTGTCATGGTTGTTGCGGATGGAGGGCTGAGGGGTGTGTCAGGTTGTTGTTTTCGGCCAACTGTGGCAGTTTCTGTTACTTTAGTATCCTGCTCTCTTTGTGGCAGTTTTCTATTGCGCCGTGGCGGCCGTGGTGGCTGTGGCGGTCGTGGTCTTAGTTCTCGTCCGCCCTTCTGATGTTCCGGCTCCGGCTCTGGATGATGTTCAAGCCCTATCCCGATTCCAGGTTCAGAGAGCACGTCCGGCACTGATTTGGCATCCGGTATCGAAGCATCTTTGTCTGCGTGATGAGGGGATTCATTGATAGCTTCAGTATTCTCTTTCCCGGTTGTCTGAAAAGAGCAGTGAGCGTTGCCGCGGCCACGGTGACAGCAGTTGCCACACCTGTTGCTATCACCGTAGACGCAAAACTCGAAGGGCCCTTTACCAGCTTGGCATTCCTTACAGGGATCCTGAGTTTGTTGACCCGTAAGCTGAAGATAAGCTGCTCCGAGCTGGTACTTTTCCGTAAGGTCTATTGTGTCAACGCTTTTCCGTAAAGCGATCTCGCGCACCGCCTGTATTAATGTCAGGTCAGTTGGCTCCGGGATTGCTTATTACCTTCGTCCGCTGTCTTCTCTTACCTTGCGTTTTCTCAGTTCCTTAATCTTCGTATTGCTTGAACCAAGGCTTGCATGAATCTCTTCAAGGTCCTTGTCTGTGATGATACCCTGTGGTGGCTTCCAGTGCCTTGAAAACTTGACGTTATTATCATGATTTTCTTCCGTGACGGTCTGTGAGGGATCCTGGAGATTGTCTTGCATATCCATTTTGTCACGCTTCCTTTTAGCGGGCCGGCTGGCTGACACAAATCCAGCGATGTCGTCTGCCAACATTTCTATGCGCGGAACATTCAAGCCACTATTTTGAATAGTTGCGTCCGGGAAGTTTTCATCGTCTGAAGCCATTACCATATGCCATTTGTATGGCCTGAAGCTTGTGGAGTGTTGTTGATGAGTATGCTTAGTGGCAAAATTGCTAAGCTGGAAAGGTTTTGGGACTTATAGAGGAGAAGTGACGCGCACTAGAACCAAAATCTCTCTCACACGGTCTGGAAGACTATTATATATGGAACGTAGTCTTGGGTTGGTAGTCGGGGTTTGTGGTGAGGTGGTGTGTGGTTTTTCCATATCCTGGTCGCTTCACAAGAGAACAATGTCGAACCACACTCTTTAGGCTTTGTTATAGAGGTCCTTAGTAACGAACGTACAATTAAGAACATAGTACGACAAACCCACTTAAAGAAGGAAGCTCGATTGAGTAGAATGTAAGAGAGAAACAAATTTGTAGCTCTGATCCGCAGGATCTACCTCTAGAATTGACACGGCTTGATAGGAAGTGAGCAATGACGTCCACGAATCAGTTACAGCACTATTCAGTCAGTTCGAGTGACAAACCAGATAATAAGATCTCTTGGTTCTGTTTTGTAGATATCACAGTTGACAAAATGTCCTGGAGTGCTACCACCATGCCTACTATAGACCTATGGAGCCACGGGACAGTTTCCGACTCTCCAGAACCTTCCCAGAAACAAGACGGGCTTTTCTCATCGTCTACATGTTGTCCTACATAACTCTTTCATAACGCCTTCCAGATGTCAAAGCCATTGCCTCCTTTCAAGGCCGCCATGGGGTATACCTTATTCACGCCCGCTAATGCAAACCGGCCAGTAAGAGGGGAAAAAGAAAAGCAAATAATCAAAGCAAACGGGAGATATCTTCGTACTCCTAAATCCAGAGGATCGACAGGCGGATCGGAACACTCATTCATTCATATTGCGCTTGTCTGGCAGCCCGTGCTCCCCACTCACGCTCACGCTCGCGCTCCTGTCGCATCTCCTTCTCAAGCCTCTTGGCTTCCATGCGGAGGTCGTCCGCAAGGTCCTGATGGTACTGGGCAATAGAGCGCAACACCTCCGGGGAAACATTCCTGGGCAGGTACGCAAGCATCGGCTTGCTGGTATCGTGGTCGAGAATGTCATTCATGGTTCCTTTGAACGGCGTCGGGCTGGGGGCGTAGTCGTTGCCTCTCATGGCCACAGGTGCTTGGCTAAGAGTGTAGTTGTTGTTCTCGAGGAGTCCGGAGCTAGACGTATAGTTCCCGTTTTCGAAGTGTCCCGGGTTAGGCGCATAGTCGCTGTTCGCTTTTTCTCCTTGAGTAGGAGCTGGGGGAGCGTACTTGCTGAAGGCTAGACTTTTTAGCCAGTGGTCTGCAGCCGAACCAAGCGCTGTGCCGGGGCCATGAATTGGCGGCTCTGCCTCAGTATGTCCAGCCGTCTCAATTTCGATGGTCCTTCTTTGCTTCTTGACATTCTTCTTGGTGCAAGGTGGCAGGTGTACATTGGGGTCCTGCCGCTTGCGACTTTGAATGAGCGGGAGGTCATCACTGTCGATGTTCATCGAAACACGATGTGTACATTTGACTCCCTGACGCCTATACAGGCAATTTGCACATGAGCCATCGCCAACACTCGGGTGTTGAATACAACCGACAAACGGTCCCAGACTCTTCTTGCACGGGTCACATTCCGCTGTAGCCTTTTTACCATTGAGCTGTACAAACACGGCTTCTAGGTTCTGGCCCACTGCGAAGTTTACCGACCCGATATCTTTGCGAAGATTGATGTTTCTGACAGGCTGAAGAAAGAGTGTTAGCATTCGAGCATGGAAGAGAAGCTCAGGTCGGGAGGTAGTACTTGCAGGTTCCTTCCGCAAAATTTCCAGGTTTCTCCCGATCTTGTTGACCTTTTGTTCTCCAAACCTGTTCAGGGCTTCGTGGGCATACCCTGTCGTGATGATCTTGGGAGCGGTAGCTGACATTGCTACTGCGTAGATATTGCACTGAGAAAGGTTTGCGCTGACCCCGGCCACTTAAGCTTCTACTAAGATAGCGTGCTAACGTCGGTTATTGTAGGCGGTGATGCCGACAGGATTGCAGAGGCGCGACTGAACGCGATCCAATGCTGGGGTGATGGGTTTTGCTGCAAAGGATCTATCGTAGGTTCACAGCATCGGAAAAAGGGCCCAAAACCTGGATCATCGACCGTGACATGAAACACGCCCAATAAATTGAACAGAAAGAACTGTGGCTTTCGTGATCGTACCTCTAGGTAGGTATGGTTGTGAGGCAGAGATAGGTGCAAGGTGGGCAAGCGGGGTCGTTACCTGGTGATGCCCCTGGGAGGACGGGACAAGATGCTGGATGGAAGATAACGCACTATCAGCCTATGAAAAGAGGTAGGTAAGGTTAAGTAGGTATACTTGCCGTGCAACCTATGACAGCTGGTCCCAGCGCCAACTGCTGGCAAGGCCCGTTCTATGGAAGTCTTTAGTACGGGACCTGTCTGGAGTTCTGTACCTGACAAGGGTTACCCCAATTGCTGTTGAAATGATGAGTGGAATCCTTTGTGTGTATCGTCACTTACACAATATACGAAAGTTATTACTTCCATTAGCTGACATAAAATCGTGACGTTCGTGGCGTGCAAAAGTAGTCTCATAAGACGATATTCGATCTTTCAGTCAGGCTTGAAGTAACGAGTAGGCGGGGTAGGTTAAACCGAGGTCGGTTCTTGGGCCGAACAGACGAGCTAGACAAGCTAGAGCAAGCTATGCAATATTCCAACCTATCTTCACCTTGCAACGACCTCAATTCAAGACAGCAGCTAGCATAACGACCTTCAATGCGACACCTAGCCACTCTCTGAGCTTGATATCTTCTGAATCCTCGAAGATAACACATCATCCACCATGGCCATCGGACCAGTAAAAAGAGTCGCCGCTTCAGCGCTCAACAAGACCGCAAAAATAGCAAAAGCGACCGCTTCGAAGCACTCACCACTGCAATCGGCGCCGGCATCGCCAACAGGAGCAGCGAAGCCAACAGGAGTAAAAGCTTCGAACCCTCTATCACAATCGCCTCCGCCAGCGATCACAACGACTCCAGCATCGTCATCATCATCATCCCCACTTTCCCCAACAACGGAATTGACAGAGGGGGGTTCGTCAGGAGGAGCACCATCACCACCGGGAGGATCAGGAGGAGGTGGAACAGGAAGAGGACAACAACAAGGAAAAGGACAAGAAGAAGCGCCACATCAACAATCCCGTCCCTTTCCCAAATGGAAGGCCGCCGTCTGGACAGTAGCCTTTACGGCGGTGACTGTAACTGGAACCATTTACGGCGCAGGTCTCAAGACGCAGAAGGAATGGAATCAGGTATTTTTATTTCATTTTATTCTTAATTTTTTCCCCTTCTAATCAATGACGCCCAATAAACTAACCCTAGGGAAACAAAAAAACAAGGAAAAGCAAAAAATTCAAGAAGCCACCGCCGATGATAAAATTGAAATGCTAGTCAACCGTCGCGCTCAGCTGTTCAAAACCAAGATTGAGATTGAGCAGAAGCTGGCCGATGTGAGGGAGCGCATGAGACTGGAGAAGGAGAAGGAAGAGAAAGTGAAGAGCGGTGCGGTGGCGACGCCGAGGAGATAACATCCGCTGTTTTAGACAACTCCAATAACGACAAGCGAGAAGGAGAACGAAGGCAGAAGTACAGTGGGTGTGGTGTACATGGGAGGGGACGTGAAGCTTGTTGGGTTTACGTGGAAGTTGAGGGGATCACCCCCCTCGTTCTCGGCGTCCCGAAATCTGGTCGAGTGGGGTTTGATGTCGGCGTTGAAAGGGGAAATGGCAATGAAATTGCCGGCATCGGGGGCGAGTTGGACCGGGCGACACGACTGAGAGGATATAGAGGGATATGAGTGTCCCTCTTGAACCCTTCTCATTCGCCCCGGCATTTCGGGGGCCTGCTTAATCCACGAACGAGCCAGTATCGTGGGAAGGAAGGGCCGGTCGTAATTATTAAAGTCTTACCTATGTGTTGATGCCCGAATCATGTGGAGGAACCGGCGTGATAAGGCGTCGGTGTCCGCATCAGTCCTGATTCAAAGCTGGTTATCATATGGAGTTGGATATAGGTACGACGGCAGGAACGGAACGAAGAAGCTCAACGAGGGAAACACAGCACCGACCCGAGCCTAATGCGCAGCTATAGACATCTTCCCCTGCAACTTAAGCTTGGCTTTGCACAAGCACGGGGAAGTCTGATTCCCGTGTAGACGAGGGCAAGCACAAACCAGTCTTACATCTCTCGCGCGCGGACACCAAGTATAATATAAACAAATCAAGACTGATATACATCACGCTCATGAAGCAATGGCCAAAGCTTATACTACCTAGATACCATTACTGCAACTCCATCTCGCTAGCATAAAAACCTAATCCGAAGTTTCCTCGCGCCGAACCAGCAAAGGCTGTGATATGCCCTACTGGGTTCCGTCGGCACTGGGAAGGGGAATCGCGCGGTAGAGCAAGATCAGGGCCGAGTGTGATTCTCCACCGCCAGCCAGGGCAGCGATCTTTTCCGCCTCCACCTCAGAGACTTTGTCATCATTGAACCACCACCACTTGCCGTCCTCCTCACCGACCTTGCCAGTGACGGGATCCTTAACCCCTGTCTTCTTGACGTAGGCCGTATAATGACCGCTGTCGGCGCTGGCGCCCTGATGGGTGATCACACCGCGAAGCTCATACAGTCCGGACTGGTTGGCACCTTCGTCCTTGAGAAGATCTTGATTGATCAAAGTGTAAAGCTCCTTCTTGGCAGCGAGTACTTCAGCTTCCTTTTCGGCCTCGAACTCGGCGTCGGTCTTGAAGGTCTCCTCTGTGGTCATCTCCACGTCACCGCCAGTAGGCTTCTTCTCATCCTTCTTCTTGTCCTTCGATGACGAAGATTGGGATCCTTGAGCATTTTCGCCGTCAATAGGGTTCATCTTTCTGCGCTTGCGTGCTCTTTCAATATCATGCTCCTCCTTGCGCACCTCGCGGACCTTGTCCCTGACAGGAATGAGAGCCTTCCTAAGCTCATCCGTGCAGAACTCGACCACATCAAGCTCGTGGGGAAATGTGACCTTGCGCATAATCTTGGCCTTCTTCTGAACCTCGCGTTTCCAGAAGAATCGCATGAAGTGCACGGTTAGGTACTTGGGTAGCCGGGAGATCTGAGAACGCTTAGTGTACGTCGCTTCCCTGTCCAGAACCTCTGACTTCTTCTCGAGCTTTTCCACCAAACCGTTAACAATTCCATCCCTGAGATGATTGGTCTGACCATCGATATGGCAGTTGAGCTTGAGGAGACGCTCCTTCGAGGTCTTTGGTTCCTCTCCGGCTTCCTTGGCGCCGGGCTCGTCACACTCGAGGACGCTGGTGAGTTCGAGGCCCATGTACTTGTCGATGAAGGATGCGTCTCTGGCGGCGTCACCCTCAGAAATCTTGAGCTTCTGCTTGAGTTGTGTCAGGATTTGCGACCAAGCTTCTTCCGCATCCTGCTGGGCATAACCGTGGCCGTCTCTTTCCCTCTCAGCAAACTGGGGGAAGGCGACACGAAGAGCATTCAAAAATGCGAGCGGAGGAATGCCCTCCTGTGTTTTCGACATCATATCGTAGAGGTTCCGGAGCTGCGACGTAGGGTCCAGCATTGATTGTTCACCCTTGTATGACTTGAGAGCGTCGTTGAGCTCAGGAATGGAGCGGAGAACTTGAAGCGTCGAGTTGAGGTAGCAGGTGTTGCCGAAATTTTGAAGACCGGCCGGAGTCGCTCCCGCTTGTTGTGTTGCTTCGGCCTCCGTCATGTCCTCGACGAACTTGACCTTCTCGGTTGGTCGGACGATTGCGCCTCCACCCTCACCTGGCGTTCCCATCATCATAATCATCTGGCCGGGCTTCAGGCCCACCTTGCTCATATCGGTATCATCTTTGAGTTGGCTGCCCTTTAGGAGCACTTTTTGCCGGTCGGGTTCAACGCCAGTCAGGCTGTAAAGCTGGTACTTGAAGACTTCGCCGGTCGCGGAGGTATCGACATCCACGTCGTATTTCTTTCCTTGGTGTTTGACCACCACTGGATATAGTTAGTCATACAGCCCGAAGGAAAGTCGCTGTTTGTACAGTGAAGGGTCGAAAGGGTAAGAAGCATACCGTTGATTGTCGACATGTTGGTGTTGTTATTGTTGTTGTTGTTGTTGTTGTTGTTGTTGTTGTTGTTGTTGTTGTTGTTGTTGTTGTTGTTGTTGTTGTTGTTGTTGTTGTTGTTGTTGTCCTGAATCTTAGATGGAGCGTGGTGCTTGTGGAAGCTGTAGTCAAAAAAGGAGCAGATGTAGACAAACGGTAAGAAGGAAGAAGTTAAAGGCCTCCTCGTCGGCGACTTTGATTTTGATGTATTGGAAGGCAGATCCGGAGGCAACTTCCACAAGCTTGGTGATTTGAAAGTTGTCGAAGGTGACAGAAGACGGGACAACGCGGGGCTGGCGCAGGGGCGGGATTGCGTAGCTGGCCGTGCCTGGACGAGCTTACAGGTACCTAGCTTATGCATCTAACGCAGGAAATGCAACAAGCCACCTCAGGATGTCCCTTGGCATCGGGCCTGAGTGGACAACTGTGATGCGGCCCACTGAGATGGTCTGAATATACCCCACCTTACCCACATTAGGTATCCACCTGGCTTCCTCCGGACCACCTCACCTACCCACCAAGCCCCGTCTCCAGGCTGGAGCTGAGCGATGTCAGACCTGCCCCTGCCCTGAAGTGGCCCGGAAGCAGCTACAGCCTACAGGTACCTACGTAGCGTACAGGTACCGCACGGGAGCACTTCTTAGCTCCATTTGGGCGGGCCATGTCAGGCGTCACCTTGCGGGAACCTCGAGACGGGACCATACCAGACTGGTGCACCACCCGACATCCAAACCAACGCCGGTGACGACGGCGACGAGCTTTACCACCACAACACAACTTTACGAAACGGACCACCTGTATACCATTGCTTTTACTGGTCGGAGATTAGCCACCATCGGAGGGAACTGGTCGCGCAGCTAGGAAAAGCACAATGGTGAGCATGTAGCGCCCGCGCGCATCGACGCTGACTTGACCGCTGCCCCGGCTATTCCCACGTTATTAGTCCATCTGCTCACACACGCCCAACCCACAGTCGCAATCACTACGTCCCTACCTCCAGGCTGTCCGGAGCAGTTTGACGGCCGCCCTCTGTCTCTCCAACTTTGCTTCCCAGACCGCCGAACGTCACAATGTCCCCGAGGTCGAAGCCCGGACTTCCCCTGAAGTGCTGCTTACACCCCTGACGATTGCGCGTAACGAGAACGAGCGAGTCCTCATCGAGCCCAGTATCAACAGTATACGCATTAGCATCAAGATCAAGCAGGCCGACGAGATTGAGCACATCCTGGTACACAAGTTCACCCGGTTCTTGACACAAAGAGCCGAGTCCTTCTTCATTCTCAGAAGAAAGCCCATCAAGGTGCGCGATGCCCCGGGATCTACGAACGAGCCACCGTGATGCTCGGGACTACGTGGAACTGACGACTGTGCGTTCGTGCTTATAGGGCTACGACATCTCCTTCCTGATCACCAACTTCCATACCGAGGAGATGCTCAAGCATAAGCTGGTGGACTTCATCATCCAGTTTATGGAGGAGGTTGACAAGGAGATTTCTGAAATGAAGCTCTTTGTAGGTCGACCATGTCTGCCACAGTTATGAGCTCATAGAACTGACACTTTTCTTAGCTAAATGCGCGGGCGCGTTTCGTTGCCGAGTCCTTCTTGACACCAGTAAGCCCTTGAAAACCAGCCCTCACAATGAGTGGCTATGCTAACAAACCTCGCCCCAACAGTTCGACTAAGCGAGTATTCTGGAGATCACTGGTGTTGCGTTTGCTGTTTCCGGGATTTCCCCGACGTGAAATCATGTTGCACGCATGTGGATGGCGCTTTTGGGAGGCAAAGAGAAACACAATGAGATTACGAGTGCACCCAGATGCCATGGTACCAAATAATAATCCTCTACCGATACACCTCTACGGTCGGAATTGCCAACTTGTGCATAATCAGATTCGTCCACGCGGGCACAGTTTTCAGAATTCATTCTCGCTATCACACATCTCTCGCGATTCCCTCTCCGGTCTACACTTTGAAGTGCCGATTGACTTTCTCGGTCAATTTGCCTTGGTATATGCTGGGTGCATTCACCTCCAGTTTGGCATCGTGGACATCTCCCACATGTTCCTGACAAATTGCCCCTTACATGCCGTTTGTTCTTGCCTCTCTGCTTTGGGTGGAAGAGAGTTGTTGATAGCCCTGTGCTGGGAATGCGTGAAGGCAACTGGATTGCGGACATCGAATTGCGGCAATATCTTTGCGGTTGGGACATCATAACATGTGTCTACACTCTCCAAACACTCGTTCATGGCACGCAAAGGAAATGGGCAATCAACCGGTTCAAGCTGTTACAAAGACAGTTAAGTTCACCGTTCCTCAAGGGCATCCGGAAGACGCACCGGTAGGGAGAGCGTGAGGAGTGTGCTGTGCAACTGATCATAAGCTACTAGTTTTTCTGACGGTTGGCTGCTGACAAGGGCCTCTTCTTGAATGGGGAGTTCTTGTTAATGAACAAGATTTGGCTCACCCAACCTTGTCCTGCGAGAACACAGGCGGTAGTATGGTGATATATGGCGCCCTTGGACAATAACAACTGAACAGAAGTTGACTGATGGACCAGATCGAAATAGGAAATCAACCTAGTTCCAGCTTATTGTCAGTTATCCACTTCAAACCGCATCGTGACTTGAATTGACAAGCAAAACAATAGGCAGACACATGTCACTTCCCCTTCACTTGACATAGCCAAGGCTCACCATATTCAATCTATTGAAATCTTTCGGCGACCTCCATGCTAAAGTTCTGTCCTAGCGGCCTGATTTTTCTCTAACCTCCATCCAACACCCGCAGCAGGTCCTTCGTCGACGACCAACGAGATTCACTGACCCTTGGAACTTTCTACTTCCTCTCATCACCGAGCCTTCTGGGGATCTGGGTTCTGCCACCGGAGGTGAAGGGAAGACCGCCTTGGATTTCGTTAGATTTCCAGGTTCACAGACAAGGTTTGGTATCTAACCTCGACACATCCACACCTAGGGTCTTCGTCTGAACTCCTGGTGACGGGCGATAGCAAACGCAGCTGGCAGGCAGTGGTAGATCTGCGCAAGGCTTTTGTGTTCAACATTTTCTCGACTGCCCTGTTCCACTTCTGGAAAGCGATACCTATTTATCAGCATAGACACTGGGCGCAATACTGGAAGTTGTAACTGTCTTACTCCAACCAAATGACTTGTGCTGGATATTGGACCCTACAAGTTCGTTTGCTCATATCAACCATATAATTTCGCCAGGCATTCCACCCTCTCGCATACCTCGATCGACCCCGCGCACCGAAACTGAGCACAGTTGAGCAGCCAACTTTCTATCATCGCAACCACCATCCGTCACCTGCCATAACAAATATTTAGAAGACTTGCTGTCGTTTCGTGTGCGCCTAGAGGTACCGCTACCGGTATGTGCGTCAGTTAACCTCCATATCAAATGCGCTTCAGATGTTCCTTATATGCCATCCTCCTTCCTGACCGCTAACCAACCGTCCTGCCACATAGGTCTTAGCGACACGGCCAAGTGAATTACACGATGGCGGACATCAAACGCATGATGCCCAAGCCGTCGAGCATGGCCCGAAATGCAGTTTCCAAGATGCTTGAAAAGGGCCGCCACAACATGGTGAGCTCGTCGATCCAGTCTGTTGATTCCGAGGACCACGAGGGCCATGGTGGCGTGTCACTGTTGGATGACGACTCGCAAGAGGATTTCCCCGTTCAGACTGTCCAGTCTCCGAATGCTGTTATGGCTCAAGATGTCGACGCTACCCCCAAGGCAAGCGTTGTGCAAAGGAAGAACGGGAATGCTCCCAGCACGACTTTTCCTAAAGGTTTGCGCAGAAAGGATAAGAAGGTATGGATCCAAAAGAAACATCTTGGTGTATGTCTGTCTGATCGGTCTCACTAACTTCCATCACAAGCGTACTGGTACATTCAATCAAAATGGCAGCAATGGAAACCACGAACGTGAGCAGAACGGGTCTACCCAAAGCCACACCCAAAGCTGTCAACAAGGAACTTCTACGACCGCTGGAGTTGCCCCGTTTGACCATCAAGCTTCGATGGCTTACATGGTTCAGTATCCTCAAGCAACGCAATCTTTTCAACAAGGTCAACCTAGCCCAGCCCTGAGCAATGACATATCACCCAATCCAACGAACGAGATAATGGCAGGAGGTCAACCTGTTTGGCCGTCATCAAACAACCATGGCATCAACAATCAGCAGGCAGGCATCGTTTACCAGCACATGGGTATCTCTCAACTCCAGACTGGTCAGGGCTTCGTGCCTAACGGGCCTGGCGGCCACCCCGGTATTAGTTCACCCGCTGGTCAGACTGGATATGCGCCCATGGGCCTCCCTTATCCTCAACACCAGATGGCCACAATCACCGATACTAATGGTCTGACACCCTTTTCCCATCGTTCATACATTCCAACTAATGGGTCTAATGGTCCTCTAGCCTTCGCACAATCGCCCAATGCCCAGCCAGTCGCGGGTGTCACTCGGTTGGCACCTGGCCAGCTCTACTACGCCTACGGCCCAATGTTTGGAGGTCCAGGCTCCAATATGCAGCCTCAGGGCGACCAGAAGACCGGCGATGCTTCCAGGACTGAACAAAACCAGACTGTAAATGACCCGCAGACCGAGCTGGGCCAGTCTCAGGCTACAAAGACCCCTTCGCACACTAAGGAGATTTTTAATCAAACCGAACCTCGAAACTTTGCTCCCCGCGCAGGTTCACTTCCTTCTCAACCCCCGCCTCCGTTCATGATTGATACTGCTCATGCCCCGAACACCCACGGTACTCAAGCCGGTATCGTCACCGGCTCCGGGATTGATCCGTTCTCTCCGGCGGGCAACGACGAGCGTGCTATTGTCAGAATTCCCAACCACCATTCAGGGTATGAAACCCCGAACGAGAACTATGCGGTCATGTCACATATGCCCATTTCTGGCCCTCCCCCTCCAGAAGTGCGAGCTGTACGCTCAGAGCAGCTGAACAGGCTCACCCTCCTTGGTCCGTATGGTCTCCCTACCGCGGAGGTAGCTTTGCATCCCGACAACTTTCCTTTCATTGAAAGCTGTTCGCAAGCTTCGGCTTCGGATGCCGGAGTTGTTAAGATCACCAATCTTCCTTACACGACCACTCACCAAGAGATCAAGGCACTCCTTGGTCGGAACGCCAAACTACTGACTGAGGAATCCGTGCACGTCATCATGGAGCGAATCAATGGCAAGACTCAGGACGCATACGTTGAGTTTTGCAGTCAAGATGATGCTATCAGAGCTGTCCAACGCTTGAGCCAAGCTGCTGTACGGACAAATCGTCCTTCTCGTATTGCTGATCGCCCCGTTGATGTGGAGTTGTCGGGCCAGGCCAGTATGATGAAGGACCTCTTTCCTTTGGCTTCCGGAGTGACCTGGAGAGGCGCAGAACCGATAATCGAATCTCCAGTTGAGGCGAAGCCGTGGAAGACCTTTAAAGGCTTTATCATGATCGAGGAGATGGCGATGCTGGTCAAGCTTGTTGAGATGCCACAGCGTGCTCAGTATACTAAAAGCTGCCCCCAGCGTCCTTACGAGTGCATGATCTCTACGATCAGGAAGTTGCCCTGGCAAAAGTCAGACTGCATCACGATTCACCAACGCTGGGCCGTATACAGCGCCACGATTCGTCTCATCGAGCTGCTTCGCAATACCATCCAGCGCCGCGACCATGATAGCCACATCGCTCTCAACCAACTTCTTCTCAAGCGTCTGGTCAACACAGCCATGCTATGCCCTGGCTTCAGCGTCCTTCAAAAGGACAACATCGCCTTCACCGCCGGCATGGGTGAGATGAAGCAGCGAGAGTTCAACCAGCCTAGGTTCCCCGATCTCTGGACCCATCAGCTGTCGGTTTGCCCGAAGCCAGGAGTCCCGTTGGATGTTCTCGAATGGTATATTGCCATCATCCGCGAGGAGACCACTCGCTTTGTCAATCTCAAGCCTGTCAGTGAGAGATCTGAGATTCTGAGCAAGGCCACCAAGATGAACAGCAACGGCTACTTTGGCTTTCTTTGGCACGAGATCGGCTTCCCTACTGGCGATGAGTACGATAACATGACTCTAAAGCAGGCAATGGAGATGGAATTGGCAGCTATCGAGAATTGCCTCAAACGGGCCCTGTGTTATGGCTATCAACACGCAGACAACGGCAGGGTCAGGAAGCTTATGGCTGCTTAGGCTTTCGTGGTCGGGCCAAAGAGCTAATGACGAGGAGTATTTGTTGGTACCATCCCCGATCATTGCACCGCAACATATTTTCGGCCACATTCAATATTGAGAGGATTGCAGCATCATCGACTTTACCACCATTATCAGTAGTGCCACCATCAATCAGATATTCATACCAGGACGAAGTTACGCGGAATATCGGTGGACATGAAGGAAAACCATTTTATTGGGCTTCATACTTGCACATCTGCATTGGGATCACTGGCGTACCTATCATTGGGTCTTTTGTTCTCCATTCGAATTTCCGTCAGTGAGTATCGAGATACCCAACATCGCTAAGGCGATATGCGCATCATTTCGTTCTTATTCCATTCTTTATCACCATCACTTCTGCTGCTCATTCGAGGGTACAGCTGCACATCACTGTGGGTTTACTGCACAGCGTTGTTAATGGTGAGGTCGCCAGAGAGAGTTGATTTGTATCTTAAAAAGTCAGATAGAAAATGGTACGTCAAAACCATGTGTTCCTGTGTCCGTGAGCCCGCAAACAATATATCGTGAGCGTAAAGTATTGTACAATAAATACTGGTCTGTTTGTTAGCTCGAGACCTCGTGTCAACTTTCCTGTGCGTTTTCATAGCTAAGTAACGCGTGTTATTACCTTGGGAACGCCATTCCTGATGTCCAATGTCATGTCAATTCCTGTCAATCCTTCAATCATTCGTACTGAGCCATTTCAACTTATCCTTGAAAGGGATGGGAATATTCGGGATCGATTTCGTCTAGTATATACCACCAGAAGTACCTATCTAGTGTACCAAGCTAACAAACAAACCAGCATCGGACTGTAGAGGTCTGGAAAGCAAACAAACCCCTTTTTACCCCTTGCTGTTTTCTGATTGCCTAATAAGGAAACTGGTGGGCCTGCGGATTGGGATGATGACGACACCCGCTGATCCCTGGCACTAGTCAGGTCAGGGCCGGATTTTAACCGCACAGGGATGATGTGGGACTACCTACCGCTGAATGGCACCCGACTGGCAAAAAAAAAAAAAAAAAGTCGGGCGAACGATTATCGCTGATAACGATTTTGCTACCTTTACGGCCAAAGTCGAGCCACTTCGGACAAACGTACACAACACCCCCCTCAATCCGCACTCTGATCGCCAGACTTGTTCTGGGTGATTGCTGAATCCATTGACAGAGAGGAGAGGACATCCGTCGTCAAGAAGAATTACTTCACAATGGAGTCACTGCCGGCCACCAGGAGGGTACCCGGTCCCTCCGACCAGCATTACAAAGGCGACCACATTCCGCTCGTCGTATCCCGCGAAACAGGCGATATAGTACCAGAGTCACACCAAGCCGATCCGTTAGTACGGCCAGACAAGATCGAGGCAACCCCCTTTGCAAAATCATGGGCGCACTTTGTTGCAGGAGGGTAAGCAACAACAATTCCTTCCACGGACGGGAAGCCACTTGCGCGCCCCGTCAGCCAAGAAGAGCGCTGAGCTTAACACTTTCGCGCTCTCGCGCACATAACAGAATCGGTGGTATGACAGCCGCAGCCTTAACCGCCCCATTAGACGTTCTCAAGACGCGACTCCAGTCCGACTTCTACCAAGCACAACTCCGAGCCTCGCGACAATCGCACGTGGGAGTGCCCCTCAACCCGATTCGCGCCGCCTGGTACCACTTTAGCGAGACCGGCCAGATTCTGTCGGCTGTCTACCGGCAAGAAGGCCCCCGCGCCCTGTTCAAGGGCCTCGGCCCCAATCTCGTCGGCGTCGTGCCCGCGCGCTCCATCAACTTCTTCACCTACGGCAACGGCAAGCGGCTGATCGCCAAGTACTTCAACAACGGGCAGGAAGGCACATGGGTGCACCTCAGCGCGGGCGTGCTGGCGGGCATCGTGACCAGCACCGCGACGAACCCGATATGGATGGTCAAGACGCGGCTGCAGCTGGACAAGAACGTGGCGGCCGAGAGCGGAGGCGTGACGAGGCGGCAGTACCAGAACAGCTACGACTGCATCCGGCAGATCCTGCGCAACGAAGGGCTCCGAGGCCTGTACAAGGGCATGAGCGCGAGCTACTTGGGCGTGGCCGAGTCGACGCTGCAGTGGGTGCTATACGAGCGCATGAAGACGGCACTGGCGTTGCGGGAGGAGAAGATTGTGCAGAGCGGGCGCCAAAAGACTTGGTGGGACCACGCGGTCAACTGGACGGGCAATGCGGGCGCTGCGGGCGGCGCGAAGCTTGTCGCGGCCGTCCTCACATACCCCCATGAGGTCGCCCGCACCCGTCTACGACAGGCACCCATGGACGGCGGCAAGCCCAAATATACGGGCCTGATCCAGTGCTTCAAGCTCGTCTTCAAGGAGGAGGGCATGGCCGGTCTGTATGGTGGTATGACGCCGCATATGCTCCGGACGGTGCCCAGCGCCGCCATCATGTTCGGCATGTACGAAGCCATCCTCAGGCTTCTTGGTACCCCGTCATGAAAAAAAACCCAACGATTATGCGGGATCACAACAATTCAATCCCGGATTGAGACGGCCGGACAGATATTACCGAACCAAGACAAATAGGGAAACAGACCCCCCCTTTTATCCTCTGTCCCACCCTTTATACTCATCCCCAACATTTGGACAGAGAACGAACACGAGGTACATCCATCTCAACTCCTCAGAACTTGGCCAGCCACGTATGATTATTTGACCTTTCACGAGGGCGCTTCAAAGGCGTAAGCGCCCGCAACGACGCACCATCTCCTCTGCCCGCTTCCTGCTTGTGCCCAGCAATCACAACAACTACAGCAACACAAGGAACAGCGATGGGTGAATGAACCTTTCCAAGACACCCTTAACCTACTTGCTTGCTCAGCCATTGTTCAGAAGCAGCAGGTGCTGTGTGTGGGTTTCGTACACGGATGCCGGGTTCCATATCCGCGGTTCCTAATATAACACCCCCACTCCTTGTTTCTTTTTTCTTCATGATTTTTCTTTTCAATACAACAAACAGCAAAGCAGTCCAGGCATCAGCAGGGGAGAGAGATCAGCAGCGGAGGAACGAATTTCCAGTGTACGATAGTGTTAGAGCGGAAAGTGAAATGGAGAGGAGCGCAATGATCAGTGCTGGCTTGGAGGTTTTTGTTCCGGTCAATCGGTCGGGGATCAAGCGAGCAAGAAGTGGAAGGTGCAAGCAAGGAATCTCAGCTATTAGGAGCCTGAGGTGGGCTACGTGATGGTACATACCAAGGGCTTCACTCGGTGCGGATATCTGTGGGAAAACAAAAGGAACAGCGGAAAACAACCAGGCATTATAGGGAATAGACATAAAGTGACTTGAATCACGGATATTTCGATCATCATCCTTTTCATGTTCGGCCGTGTCTTGTAATCAGGCTGTGCCTTGTACTTCTAGTCAAGGTACTGAAAAAGAACCGAGGATATTTATTCGCAACGGCTGACATTATCAACACCTTCCATAATGTCGCTGACCTAAAATCCACGTATACTCTCAAACAATCATTCGACAGACAAACTTTTGAACATCTCTCTCCATCGATGGCCCGCCCATTCTTCCTGTCCGCCCAGCTCATGTTACTCAGAAACACAAACACGGAAAATGCCCTTCGTTTCAACCTTTTTCACTTCCGGGCAAACTTCGGCAAACTGTCATCCATCGCCATAATCACGACTCCTCGCCACCATCACCCACCGCAAGCTTATACAAAGCTTGCGTCTCGGCGTAACCCCGCGGAGGACGTTTGCGCAGTTTTCTCGGCGTTCGCATCGTCGATTGTGACTGGTGGGACCGTTGCGATTGTTGCGGCGATGATGATGACGATGATGTGGTAGAGTTACTAGTATTGGTATTGTGGAGGACAACAACGCTATGGTTATTACTGGCTAACAAAGATGAAAAGGCAGAAGATAAGGTTGATGTGGAGGTGGACGATATAGACGAAGGGGCGCTGCCCAAGCGCGGGCGCGGGGTGCCTACTCCCCAGCTTTCGCGGAAGAGGAGTCACCATGCGTTACGATCCCAGTTGGGGTCTGTTATTTTGTGATAGAAGGGAGAGGTTTCGGTGTTAGTCAGGTTCGCGATCGATCAGTCTGGAGAAGAAAATAAATGGGAAGAAGGCAACAAAAACTCACCCTGCACAAAAGCAGCTAGCACTTTACTCCCCGTTTGCAACAGCGGGTGCCCCACGACGATCTTGAGGAACTTCTCCAAACCCGCCCTGCGGCCCTCGATCACGTCGTCGCTAAACCGGTTGGTGAACACCTTGCCGGGAAGCGGGGGGATGGTCACGCGGGCGCTCTCCCGCTCAAGGATGTCGCGGAAGTACTCAAAGTCCGAATAGCGGCGGCGCACTGTCGACTGCCGCAGCTTGAAGGCGGGGATGTTGGTGCGACATACAATCTCGTAGTCGGTGTACATGTGGCGGCCGATACCGTGGGTTCGGGGGTTGCGGACCTATTCGTGGGTGAACATGTCAGTGAGGTCAGGTCTGGGGCATTGGGGGTAGTCGTCGAGAATGGACATCCGACTCCGACTAGGGTGACCGGGCCGGCTCTGTGACAGAGCGAGCCTACGGGCGACGGGGTGAAGACTAACCTCGATCTCCAAGAAGTTCTCGGGCGGACCGTAAATCTCATCAAACGACTGTTGTCGCGTGTCCGGTAGAGATTGCATGATGGGCCGGTGCAGACGGGCAGCTGCCGCCGCCGCCGCCTTTGCTTTATCTGACTGAGACCCCGTTGGGCTGACCGGGCTAGTGGGCGACGTTGGCGAGGTGGGAGAGGTAGCGCGCGCACCACCGGCCGCGGACCCCAAGTCGCTGGAGGACGCCGTTTTCGCGGTTTGGGAAGGACGTTGGTTTAGTGGTTATTACTGGACGCAAAGAGCTGGTTTCCCGGTTAAAATGACGGGAAGCAGCTCGAATCTCCTTGCTGTAGTTGGCGCTGGAGTTGTTGCTTTGTCAGAAGAGGGCTTGTGTGACAGCGTAGCTGATAGTCTTGATGGACGAGGAAGCAAGATAGCCTGGGCGCAACGGATCTGGTCGTCGTGCGTCGATGAAAGTGGATGAACTTACATGATGCAACTTGGAGAGACGAATGTGGGGGGTTGTCGATTGAAGTTGGAGGAAAACGACGTTACGAGGGGAAGCTACAGCTGGAAATACGAGCTCACGAAGCCGTAACCACACGCTATGAGGGGGGCAGGCTAAATGGGGGACCCGAAGTGGAATGTATTCGACCCGAATCCCGGTTCTAGTGCGCTCGATGACGATCCATGCTGGAGGTAGGGATATATTACCGTAAAATTCGTTATACGTTACATTACCCGCCCACCAGACAACGGTCGCCGATAGTCGCACTTGTTGTTTCTGCATCTACTGTGTAGTAGAGCGACAACATCGAGGAATGCCTGCTTCATGTTGTCTGTTAGTATCACGAACAAAATTGGGATCCAGAAAACACGGTTGATGTCGGTATATTATGTCCACAGCGATGGCTTAACCATTTTGACCGATTGATTATCTATACGACCGCTCACTATACATGTATAGAGCATGCTTCGAAGCTCCAAAAAAGCCTCGGCCCGTATCGCAGTCGCGAACTCTTCTCCCATACATCTCTCTAATTTACCGATGTATTTATACTCACAGGTGCGAGAGAATAATGATGATTCCTTTTTTGTTTTTCTTCTCCCTCGTTGTGAGTCTCTGGAGCCGCCTGGCAAGCTGTATAAGTGCAACAAAGGTTGGCATAAGCTTGGCAAGACGAAGAAGTAGAGATATTGGTCGACGAAACGATGAATTCCTCACCTGCGGTCCCGATCTCAAAAAAAACTCACAGTTGATACCCAAGACCCTGCATGTAAGGATTGATGTCTGGGTTTGGTCCGCTAGGAAACGCCCATCTTCTCATCCAGCAGGAATTCCTCGGCACGCCTTAGTCTGAAGAAAAATGCCCAATTGGGTTCAACCGTCAACCGCTCGACAAGACGATCTAGGGAACGTTCAATCGGTGAGGCACTTCACTTCTTGTCGGCAAACTTTTGGTGGATGGCCTTGATCTGCTCGTCGAGATTGAAGGTCTGCAACTGGTTGATGTGTGCCTGGCTCCTGCCCTCGGGATTTCCGTCGTAGCTATGCATGGCCACCTTCTTCCTTCGAGCTTGCTCTTCCTCGGATATGGGCTGACCGGTTACTGCATCGAAAACATCGGTACGTGCGCTAGCCAGTCGCTTGAGGTTGTTGGCAACATCCACAGTAGAGAGGTTAGTCGTAGCAAATCTCGCGTCCGCCTTGGCCTTCTGTTCCTTCCACCGTGGATCAAGAAGTTCAACTAACCAAGCTGTCAGTAAAACATTGCATGGGCACGGATTGGGACACGGCGGGGCTTGCTTACTTCTCATATGCTCATCCAGTTCGTTAAGTGGAATTTGCTGTTTGCAGTTAGGGCACAAAGCCATTTGTGAACCAAACTTGTTGGCCGCGCGCTGCGCTGCTCGAGGAACATAGTTATCCTTGATCTTCATCGGCGCCAGTCCACCAGTTGGCTGCACCCGTGTCCTAGCCTCCTGTTCCGCCCGAGCTCTCTGCGCCGCTTCCTCCTCTTCTGGTCTTGGGTGGCTTCCAACGGGGAGAGGGGTGCCGTATGCCTGCGGGGCATTGGGAGTATTCGGGGATTGGTATTGCTGTTGCTGGGCTGGCTGAGAAGGTGCCGCTTGGACTCCGTACTGTTGCGGGGGGTAGGCGTTATAGCTGGTGTCTTCGAATGGGAAGGCCTCTTCGATCCGGAGATTGGAGCTAATCGATATTTTGTTCTTCTCTTCTAGCGAAGCATACTGGAGGTCGTTGAGCGTTGTGGGAGGCGGCAAGTTAGCCTGGTCGTCTGATTCCGAAAAGACAATGGTCTCGACGACGACAAAGTCATTCCAATCGATACGAGCGAACTCAATCTTCTTCCTTTCTTCCTCCTCCTCCTTCTTTGCCTTTTCAGTCTCCTGCCAAATCGCATACTCGGCCCTCTGTTTCGCACGCGCCAGCACGTGGTACTTATCGTCAATGTTCCGCTTAATTTCGGCAATGCGTTCTTGTAGTGCCTGGTTGCCTTTTCCAGTGCTATCGTTTTCGCGCAAGAGGATGGAATACTGATCGACCATGCTCTGGAAGAAGTTGTGGAAGGTGTGGTTGGGTATCAGGAACTGGAACTGCGGGTTGCTGGCCTCACGCTGGGAGAGCTGTGTCATGAATGGGCGGCCATTCTTTGCGACGAACAGGGCTGTTGCTCGCACAACTTCCAGGTCTTTTTGGCTCATACGAGGCATACGCGCTGAGAACTGGAAGTCAGGCGGCTTGGGAGGGCCCTTTGGCTCTTCCTTGGCTGGAGCTGGGGCAGCCTCACCGACGCGACCAGCGGCAATGGCGGTGCCGCGTCCGGCCTTTATTTCTGATTTTCGCCATTCGTAGTACGCATTGTATGGATCGCTCGAGGTCATCAAGAAGCTGAATTTCGGATTCTTGCCATGGTTCTCGCGAATGCGCTGTTCGAGTCCTAGTCCACCACGCATAACATATCCGGCCGTTTTCTCGATCGCCTCGCGAATCTCGCCTGGTGGCGGGATGATAACTCCAGGCGGTGGCTTGATATTGTCAAGTGAAGCCGCCGCTGCGGAAGGGTCGCCATTTGTGGTCGCGGCCATTATGTCGATAGATCGCCGGTAATTTGGAAGACGGCGATATGCAGTTGATGTCGACTTTGGGTTAGATGGGATGATGTTGTTTTTCTCCAGATGGCTTTGCACCTTGTAGGGCGGTTTGACCAAACTGTAGTATGATTGGCCCGTGCGCGTCTATATCCACCCCAATTTGTCCTGGCCCAGGCCATCCAGCGCCGCCCGGCCAAAGCCTTACTGTACAATTGTACTGTGACCGGGACAAGGCTGTTAGCGGCTGACGGGACAGCCATTTCGTGGTTGCTGTTGCATACCTATCAAGACACTGTTGTATACTAGCTCACTAGGAAGACATGTCGCAGTGAAGATCACACATGTACTATGCAGAAAGGGTTCAGTGAGATACTTGGCCACTCTAAGGCCATATGGAACCGATACCCTCAGAGGAAATGCCCATCGAAAACTCTCTCTCGTTCGCAGGACTATTCTCTTCTCTGGGATTTTTGTCTGCATAAGCTGCGTAGAGGCAGGTTTTTCCTCACTTTGGATGCTACGTCTTGGTCGCTCCGGCCGGCTGTTTGTGATGCACATGTCACTCACTGATGAGGTGGTCTATCCCATCCCAGTCTTCAATCTTCAATGTCTTTACCCACTAGACATGTTCATTCCCGCCATCACGCTTCGTCTACGATGAGGAGAAGTTGTGTAGTGGCTTGGGGGTTAGCAATGGTGCACACGGCAGGCCAACGGCCGCTCACATGCGTCGGCGAAAGAGTATACAAGAGTAAAAAGAAAGAGAACTGTGACATTGTCGGGAGCGCGGAACCGAACCGTCAGACTGCAGTTCAACTCGAATGCAAGTGTTGGACCAGTTACATATGTGAGCTGTCAATGGCGCCCAGAAACTGGGGAGCTCGGCCTTGCTTGGGGCGCCGTATATGTATGTAAACGGCGGGCTGGCCAATGGCTTGAGGTTCGCTTGGTGGAGCTCAAATGAACTTCGACGCACGACGGGGGGGAGGGGTGCCAAGGTCCGGGACAGGGGCTGATATTGAGGCCACTTAAGCTCCATCACTGACCCTGCCACCCTTCCACTTCTTCTCTTGGGCCGACCAGGCCACTGTCCACCTCAGCTTCAGGCAGAGCCAGAGCCACGAGATCATATTCCGCGGGTCCATTTCAAAGTTGCGAGCATCACTCGCTCACTTCAGACCACATCCTAGGTTTGTGCCCCTTTCATAAGCTAGACGTACCCTTTTTTCCTCTTCGTCCACTTCCCTTCTCTAGTTTTCCACTGCATCAACAAAGGTCCAAGGCCAGGACGGATTCCATCAGGGCGAAGTCGTCTTTGCACTTGTCTTCCCTTTCCTCTTTCCATTCTATCCTCTTGACTGCCATTATACTTACTCTTCTTCCCCACGCCCAGTTTCCGATCGGCCCCGGAAAGTTCCCATTCCGTCTCGTCGGAACTATCCATGACACGGGCAGCCCTGTCCCAATGATCGTTTAACCTTCTTCGACTCTCGTTAATCTTTAGTTTACGGTCCCACCGATCAGTGACCTCCCTACGAGGCCTCCGAAACCTCCCAGAAGTTCCCTCTTGATCCGCAACCAACTGCTGTCCTACCGATACTTTCGCCAACATGGCTCGCTCCGGCAAGAAATCGCCGGCGCCGCCGCCGGCATATGCCCCGGCCTATGCCCCGCCGCCCGCCTACGAGGCCGTGCCGACCTCCGCGGTGGTGTCCAAAAACAAAAACAACAAAAACAAGTCCGCCAAGGTCAAGGACGACTACTCGTCCGAAGGTGTCCAGGACAATGATCCGTTCTTGCTCCCCGGATCCGACTTCGTGCTCCTCACTATCATCACGATTTTGTCTGCCGTTGTTCGCCTATTCCGCATTTACCAGCCTGACAGTGTTGTGTTTGACGAAGTCCAGTATGTAACCCACCCATTGGAGGATATGGTTGCTCACTTGGAAGAATATGTACTGATTCAATGTCTGCAACAGCTTCGGCGGCTTCGCTTCCAAGTACATCAAGGGCAAGTTCTTCATGGACGTCCACCCACCCCTCGCAAAGCTCATGATTACCCTCTTCGGCTGGCTCGCTGGGTTCGACGGTAGCTTTGATTTCAAGGAGATTGGAAAGGACTACGTCGAGCCTGGCGTTCCATATGTCGCCATGCGCATGTTCCCGGCTATCTGCGGTATCCTTTTGGCTCCTACCATGTTCCTCACTCTTAAGGCAGCTGGATGCCGTAGCACCACTGCCTTCATGGGAGCTTGTCTTATCATATTCGGTACGTCTGAAAGAAAGAAGAACAATCGGATAGTTCATACGACTAACGAACCTGTTCTTTACAGAGAACGGCCTTCTCACCCAGGCCCGGCTTATCTTGCTTGACTCGCCCCTGATGATTGGAACCGCCCTTACTGCGCTCGGCTTCACTGCCTTCACCAACCAACAAGAATTGGGACCTGGTAAGGCCTTCACACCGAGCTGGTGGTTCTGGCTGGTTGTCACCGGTCTTGGTCTAGGAATCACCGCTAGTATCAAGTGGGTTGGTCTGTTCACCATTGCGTGGGTTGGCAGCTTGACTTTGATCCAGCTATGGGTTGTGCTTGGCGATCACAAGCATGTTTCCCCTCGCGCGTTCGCCAAGCACTTCATGGCCCGCGCTTTCTGCCTCATTGTCATCCCTCTTACTTTCTACATGGCCATGTTCGGAATCCACTTCCTGTGCCTTACCAACCCTGGCGACGGTGACGGCTTCATGAGCTCCGAGTTCCAGTCGACTCTGAACTCGAAGGGCATGCAGGATGTCCCGGCTGACGTTCTTATGGGTAGCCGTGTTACCATCAGGCATGTCAACACCCAGGGTGGCTATCTGCATTCGCACCCCTTGATGTACCCCACCGGCTCAAAGCAGCAGCAGATTACTCTCTATCCCCACAAGGATGACAACAACATCTGGCTCCTTGAGAACCAGACCCAGCCTCTCGGTATCGATGGTCAGCCCATTAACGGAACTGGCGCGTGGGATCACCTCCCCGAAACTCCCTATATCAAGGATGGCGCAATTCTCCGTCTCTATCATCTGCCTACCCACCGTCGTCTCCATTCGCATGACGTTCGGCCCCCCGTAACTGAGGCTGACTGGCAAAACGAGGTGTCAGCTTATGGCTATGAGGGCTTCGATGGAGATGCCAACGACTTTTTCCGTGTCGAAATTGTCAAGAAGAAGTCCAAGAGCGGCGTTGCTCAGGAACGTCTTCGTACCATTGACACCAAGTTCAAGCTGGTGCACATCATGACAGGCTGTGTTCTTTTCTCCCACAAGGTTAAACTTCCTACTTGGGCCTCGGAGCAACAGGAGGTCACATGCGCCAAGGGCGGTTCCCTTCCCAACAGTCTTTGGTATATCGAGTTCAACGACCATCCGCAGCTCGGAGCTGACGCCGAGAAGGTCAACTATCGCAACCCTGGCTTCTTCGGCAAGTTCTGGGAGCTTCAGAAGGTCATGTGGAAGACAAATGCCGGCCTTGTTGAGTCTCATGCCTGGGATTCTCGCCCCGAGGCTTGGCCTATCCTCCGCCGTGGTATCAACTTCTGGGGCAGGCAACATCGCCAGGTTTACTTGATGGGTAACCCCATCATTTGGTGGAGCGCTACTGCTGCTGTTGTTATCTACGTCCTTTTCAAGGGCATTGCTATTCTCCGCTGGCAGCGCAGCTGCAATGATTACGCCAATCCCATCTTCAAACGCTTTGATTACGAAGTTGGAACCTCTGTCCTCGGATGGGCTCTTCATTATTTTCCCTTCTACCTTATGCAGCGTCAACTCTTCCTGCATCATTACTTCCCGGCCTTGTACTTCGCCATCATTGCCTTCTGCCAAGTCTTTGACTTTGTGACTGCTAGGATTTCTCTCGTCAAGGACAAGGTTATTTTCAACAGACTCGGCGCCGTTTTGTTCCTTACCTTGTCGATGGTTGTCTTCTGGTTGTTCTCTCCTCTGGCCTACGGTAACCCCTGGACCAAGGCTGAATGCAACCGGGTCAAGCTTTTCAGCACTTGGGATTTTGACTGCAATACCTTCCTGGATAGCGTAAGTTCTATCCCCCATCAAACCATACCCCCAAGACATGTGCCCGAGAGGGCGTAAAGAGATGATAGTGGGAGCCAGTGGGTGTTTTATACATTGGCGGATGAAGGCACTATGGATATCTTGAACTGCCAGTAAGAGTTCGAGCAGCAAGCGACAAGTTACCGCATTCGAAAGATTTAGCTGAAACAGCAACGGCATGTCCTTGGATACTAACACTCCTCGCTTGATGATTAGTACGACAATTACTACGGAATTACCCCAACAAGCCAGACGGCTTCCCAGACCCCAGTTCACGGCACGATTGAGAGGCCTGCTGTGGCTAACGCGCCTCCTCAGGCTCAGAAGCCCATTGTGAACCAGGAGCAACAAGCCGCCAAGCAGGAGCCTAGTGCCAACCCGGTGGGCCAGCGCGTCATCTCTCGGCAGGAGAAGATTGAGTATCGCGACCAGGATGGTAACCTTCTCAACGCGGAGCAAGTCGAAGCGCTCAAGGGCAAGGTCGAGTTCAAGACCAAGTATGAAACGAGAACACGCGTCATCGATGCAAATGGCAACGAAATCCAGCTTGGTGGAAGCGGTATGCCTAAGGTTGTTCGGGCTCCCAAAGCTTCTCAGCCCGTTGCGCCCCCGCATCCGGATGTTCAGGGTACGTCAATTAACCGCCATATGCTGATACCTTGGGTGTCTAGATACTAACGTCAATACTTCAGGCGTTGACCAAGAGACTCCTAAAATTCCTGCTGCCGAAGAGGTCGTTCCCCAAGCGGAAATGAGCGTCGACGGTGAGAAGGAAGCCGAAGAAAAGGTCGCTAAGCCGGCCAGCGAGAGCAACGAAGCCACCGTTTCGCAGGACATCGAGCAGAGTGACGACGCCAGGGCCGCTCAGGAGAAGATCCAGAAGATTGTCGAGCGTATCCAGAAAGTGGCCAACAATGTCGATAACCTGAAGAACAACGTCGCGGAGAAGGCTGGCGACAAGGTCGAGCAGGTCGAGGAGAAGGCCGAGCAGGCCGTGGAAAAGGTGCAAGAGGTCGCTGAACCAGTCGAGGAGAAGGCGGAGCAGGTTTTGGAAAAGGTGCAGGAGGTCGCTGAACCACCCAAGGAGAAGGCTGAGCAGGTTGTGGAAAAGGTGCAGGAGGTCGCTGAACCAGCCAAGGAGAAGGCTGAGGAGGCTGCCGAGAAGCTCGCCGAGAAGGCCGAGGAAGCCACTGAGCAATCAAAGGAGAAGATTGAGGGTGTGACTGACAACGTTAAAGAGGAGGTCGCCGAGAAGGCGGAACAAGTTCAGGAGAAGGTCGCCGAGAAGGCGGAACAGGTTCAGGAGAAGGCTCAAGAAGCTGGAGAGAAGGCCCAAGAAGTGGTCTTGGAGAAGATGGACCAGGTCGAGGAGAAGGCCGAGGAGGTTGGGGAGAAGGCCGAGGCGAAGACCGAGGCGAAGGATGAGCTTTAGATCATTGTGGTGCCTATTTGAAGCCATAAGTATCTCTCCGTTTCCATTTTTCTACCAAATCCAATCTATGTGCAACGGACACCAGGGAAAATCGATATTCTTTGATCAAGAACCAAAATAAAGGCATAGAGACGGTTGGTTCAGCCAGATAGGGAGATGAGAATAAGGCAAGGGGCGAAAAACAATACTAAAGAGAGATCTAGAAAAAACAGATGGGGGGAGTAATGGGTAGCTCTATGGTTCACCCTTCCTTCATACACGCACACATAGCTTGACTTGCTACTGTTTCTTTATTGTTAATCAATGATGTACATCTAGCGTACTAGGTTTACCATTGTGTCTCATTTGAACTCTTTGCCGGTTTGTTTCCTTTGTGTATCAGCCGCACCCGGCTTGCATCCGGACTCGAAGTCGGACTGGGAGTTTGACGTCCGGGCGTTAGCTAATTTGTTCGTAACAACTCCCAAAAAATACAGCTGGACCATTTGTCTGAGACAATGGTCCCTGGGACCCGAATGGCGCTGAGTGTGATCAATTATCGCGTGACCGAGACACATTAATGGAACATTTGTCTGCTTGCATCTGATTCATCTACTCCCTGAGACAATAGGGTCTAGTGTTTAGGTAGGTTGGTAGGTAGTTGTTGAAACTTTCGAGCAATTGTCACCAGCTTGTCATTCAAGCAATCCCACGCATTTTGAGCCGTGTAGCGCGTGGATTCTTGTTAACTGGCTTCCTCTTCAGCGATGGTGTTGACCGTGTTGGCCTTCCAACTTGGGTTTCGTCTTCGACATGTCCTGTAACGTCAAACGAAACGAAGCGAAGACGAACCGGATAAAGTGACTGTATGCCCGCTAATGTGACGGATCTCTAACCCAAAGGAGAAGGCTCCCACTTCTGGGTCACAGTATGGGAGGATGTCAGCCACACCAGAATTTTGCAGGGAGCAACATGGTGCAATTCTCATCACAGAACCGCGTCGGCCTACCATTATTGCTAACACCGCTTAGATTCAGCGCTTTATAGGTAGTCAATACCCTCCACTGCGTACCCCCTTCGCCGCCGTTATTGATCTTACTGGCAATAACGCACCCGCCGCGGCAACGTGGAAATCTTATACAAATGTCACGTCCATGTCCACTTTGGTAGAGATTACAGCGTGGCTGACATTCACATGACATATGGGATTGAATGTGGGACTATGGCTGTGGTCTTCTCCTTTGGGTTAGAGATCCGTCACATTAGCGAGGCATACAGTCACTTTATCCGGCTCGAGCGAAGAGGACGAGGTGAGGGGGGGGGATAAGCGTTGTACCGAATCATGATAGCGCTCTACTAAAGTGGCACTAAGCACCTCACTTTTGTGGTTTCTCTTGCTATTTTGGGCGCACCGGATCTTCGTGATTGCCATCATATCCAGACTTTCAGGTTGGGCTGCTGCCAAGTCAAGCCGTGATGGAACCTCGGGAAGCCAAGACCCCAGGCAGGATTTGTGCTGTACAGTCGGGTCCCCTGTTCCAACAACCCCAAAAATCTGGGCAAAGGGGTTGTTGGAACAGGGGGGGTTGCTCATACTAGGGTAGGGTGCACGGGCCGTACCACCAGAACATCGATTTACTAGTAAATCTACCGCAAAATGAATGATATCGAGATAATTTCAAGCGCTTTCTTTGACTCCCAGCCAGCCATCGAGAGTCTATTATTCTCTCCTACTTTTAATATCCTTTTCCAGTTTCCTTTTGAGCTTACGTATCCCACGTATATCATCAGCATCACCAAGATCTATAGTATTGAGCATAGTTACCAACTCATTAATATAATTGATGGCCAGCTTGGGGGTAATAATTGAAGGTAGGAAGTAAAGTTCCTTATTAGAATTAGATTGGCTACCCCTGTCTATATAGAGGTCTTTAAACCCAGTAATTATTAATTCTAGTATAATATTAGGATTAATATCCTCTTCTAGGGATTTATACTCTTCAATAGGATTTAGAAAATTATTAATAGCTATAGTTGAACGGTCTATAACGTTCAATAATACTGCAGCTTGGTTGAAGAGATTAATAACTCTATTCGGTTGTTGTTGAATAGAGAGTTAGGTTGATTGGGTTAATTGGGTTAATTAGGTTAATTAAGTAACTCCTAATATAGTAGACTTTCTCTAATAAATAGCTATAGTATTAGAATGGAGATTATTATATTAAGCTTATAATATTTATAGTAAGGTAAGACCGAAGTTTATCTCTTTAATGGGATTAAGACTAGGATTGTTATTAATGGTATTGATAATCTACTTTAAGAATTCCTTCCTATAATGCTGCTTAAAGCTAGTAATAATACCCTAGTCCAACGGTTGAAATTGTAATATATTATTAGGGAGGATAAATATAACTTTAATATAGGGAGGAGGGGGTTGAAGCTCGAGGGCAGCCTTATAAGTAATAAAGTTATTCAGTAAAAGGAGGCAAGGCTGGCCCGGTTTCGTACGTTCAAAATAGATATAGAAATCCCTATACTAATTCTCTATAATCGTTATTATAAACTATACTTTCTTATTATTATACTAGTAGATTTTATAAATAGTAAAATTGAACCCCCTCAACGCAACGGGAATTTTTATTCTACTAATAACCTATATTTTTATTACGGGCAAAGGGTAGATAGTAAATATGAATATACGTAATTGTACGAAGGAGAAAGGAAGAGAAGTATAGCCGAGTGCCTAGAAGGCTGGCCTTATGAGGACGGCCGCCGGCGGGTCTACGGACCCGCGGCAGGCAGCGCTCTAACCAATTAGCTGCCGGCAATAATTAGATTGCCGGTAGTAATAATAGCGTACGGTAATTTTAGAAGCTACTATATACAAGCACTAAGTATAAGGTATACAGAGAAATGTCCGCTTCTTGAACACCAAAAGGTAGATCGTTCTGATAGGTTAATTATGAACCTGCACTGCTCAACATTCCAGTCTCAATCCTACAGTTTTCTCTATCGCCGTCCTCTTCAAGTGGGGTATTTTCCTTCTTCCCTTTCTTAATAACACCCTGTAGACTCATACTCTCGTCTCTGAATAGATATCTCCATAGAACCACCACTGTGATCTGCTCGGGATTAATTGTCTTATGAATCTCCTTGGTCAGTATTCCCCCCCCCTCTCCTTTTACTCATCCACCCTTTCATGAGATTAGGACATGTCCGACTATGCAGAGAAGGTAGAGCCATCTTCATCTTCCGGAGGGGCAGCGACGCCCCCGGGTCCGGCTTCGGCTAACGCCGATTCCATAGCGTTATAAACAGCCCAAACCAGATCATTAACCTCAAGCATGGACCCATTTGAGCCTAGGTTACCAGGGACAACCGGGCTCACCACCTCCAAACTGTTATTGTCATTCGCACAAGCAAGCGGCGACGCGCCCTTGGGAATCTTGGCTATGCGTGCGTGCATGTGCCGGTTGGGAAGCCAATACGGATCGAGTCTCAGGGACATCGGATTGGCCGTGATGCTGATGGTGCGGAGGTTGCGCAGCGCCGTCTTGGCTTCGTCCTGCGTGCTGGGGTTCTGGAAGAGGCGAACAAAGCTGTGAAGGCACTGGATGGTCTCGAGGTGGTAGTAGTCGTAGAGCTTGACGGCTTCAGTGACTGGCAAGACACGATTTACATTGATCACGGTTATTCCTTCTGTGGTTTGCGGAATGTCGATGAGTCGGGGGCGGCGGAAGACGAAGCTGAGGTGGCGGAGGTTGCGGAAATGGAAGAGAAATGTGAATGGGTTGGTCGCACCAGGGCGGGTCCAGTCATAGCCGCCGGGTTGCAGGTCCTCGACGCGGTCGAGCTGGAGCTCGATCCGGTGAATTCGGCTCAGCATGGCAGTAGGCGCCTGGGCAGCGACCTCGGGTCGACCTATTCCCTGCCAGGGTGAAGACTCGTAGATGACATTAGATCTTGCAGTTCTGTTGCGAGAGAGGTGCGAGTAGCTCAGCTGGATGGCCAGGGTGTCCGTGTGTGTGTTGAACAAATAGGCGGGAAGCTCCCCTTTTGACGATGGCAGTGGGCTTCCCCAGTACGCAAAAGCCAACTCGCGGCTCTCCCGGTTGATTTGGAAAAGTCTGATTTCCTGGTAGTGGTCTCGAGTTCCCAGGAATGAGCGGTTTCCGGGACCGGTGTAGTTGCTTAGCACCACGGAATTGCTGATCAGACCTCGAGGGGCTGTGAGGTAACCGGTGACCAGAACTGGATCGACCGACATCTTCCAGATCTTTTGTCGGAGCTCGGCCGGTAGCATTACAAAGAGGGAAAATCGCTCGTGAAGCTTTCCATTTCTGACCGAGTTGGCCGTGCTGGACGGTTGGTTTGTGTGATTTAGAGTGTGATTTAGAGAAAGCCACTCGAGATCGGGCAATGGGGTTAGGGAGGGAACAGATTGTCCTCTGCTAGTGCCACGAGTGTTAGCCATGAACACGATAGTCAACCAGATAGATGCTCCGAATTTCTGACTTACGCTTGACTCTCCTCCGGACGACATCGCACATGATCGATGAAATTGTTGACGATGCCCTCGTAGTCGGGCTCGTCCGTGAGTAGACGGTAGAGCACAGATTTTGGTGTCATGGCTAGATACTTGTAATCCTGATAGAGATTTCGATGACTGTGGGTGTTCTTGACTTGTATCGTGATCACAAGTGGTATCCGAGGCGGCAATAACGAAAAGTCGCGGTGTCGATTATTTATAAGGGGAATGAATGTGCGTGTGGCATATAAAACAGGTGGAATTTAAGTACTAGGAGGTCCGGGCATGTTTATTCATATGCGAGGATTAAACCTGCAGGTTCTCGATGCGAACATCTGTGCTGTCCGCAGGTTTGCGTGCGAGTGAATAGGTGTTCGGCGTGAACAGCCCGCAGGTCCGTGAACAGCCTCAGAAGCATTGAACCTTCGCCATGGTAAAGCGAATGAGACGGATCAAGGTCCGCGTAGTAGATGGCTGCCAGCATGAGATGGAAAACTGTCCCAGGCATGTCGATGCTATGATGGAGGCAAGGCTTTGGCCGAAACCTTGAGAATCTTCCTAGAAGCCACTTTACTTTCTTTGCCCTCACAACGCCGTCCACGTTGCCTTAATGCCCCTTCACTGTAAGTTGAGGAATTGATCATGAGCCGCTTGGCATCGCTATCTTAGACGTGACGGGCACTGAGGGATATTTCTTGGTTGCGGAGTTCGAAAACTACCGGTAGTACCAGATATAAGACGGATGGATACTGATCTTAAGTTCATGGTGCATCTTCCCATTCCAGATTGCCAGTGTGCTTCATACTCTAGAGCCACCTTACTAGAGTAGGCCGTCGTTTATATGAGCCTATATGACCTGAGAGCTTTGATTGACTTGCGAACACAGGGCTCAGGCGCTTGCTCTGGGCGACTGCTTGTACCAACACAGCTGGATGAACAACAGGTACTAGAACCGCTTGTTGAATAGCAACATCCATTCAATTGGAAAGTCTGAGTAGACACCGGTAGTTCGGGGTTTGCTGGGGATGTGAGTTGGTTTGTCCATGTTTTAAAGCACTAGCTTGCTTGATCCCACGTTGCTGTCTCCCTAAACCAGACGCAGAAGCACTCTCACTTGATGTAATAGTAGCCGTAGGTTAATATCTGTTGATGATACACGATATACTAATTCGGCCCTGGTGATCGACGAGCCGAATCGGACACCAAATATCACGGAAATGTGTTATTGTATTAAATGCCACATCCGAGTTGAGCTAGATGATAGCGGCAGCATATGTCGTGCCCGAGGCATATTGTCTCTGTCATTTGGATGTCCTTGTGTTCTTGGGTCATCGCCCCCGGTTTTGAGGGGTTTCGAGTGCCTTTGTGGTTGTGATGAACGACGCATCACCTGCACCTAGCACAGACATTGGTATCTTGCTTTATCATCGAAACCTTTTGGCGATCTGATGCTGAAGGTTCTCGTCAGCCCTGGCTCTTCAATGTGTGGGTGGAATGATACGTTGTCAAGTGGAGCTCCATTGCTCCCTCACCTATCTTTGATGGGCCGCTGGGTTGATGATAGTGAATGGCACTGCCACACGGCTGTTGAAATCAACAATCCGAAATGTTCTGGTAAAGCCGAGGCACGTTGGGTACTCTGGCCTCATGTCTTACCCATTGGGAAGAGCAGAGCTGGGGAAACGACAGGAAAACCGGACAGAGATTGCAAGCCTTCCACTGCTCCCGCCTTCTAGAACTAAGAGCGCGTCTTTACGTTGAGCCTGCCGTTGACGAGAACCTTGTAGAAGGCCAGGAGCAATTGCAAGAACGGGGAGTGAGGTTGAGGTTGCCTTTCGGGGCTGAGCTTGACTCCGTCGCGTCGTGTGATGGCCAAATGTGACCCCATCTCACCCGCATCCCGTGCGTTTGATTGCTGCCTGTTAGGTCGCTAGAAATGGCAAAGCAATTGTCAAGCCACAAGCCACTTAGATCACTCTCAAGTTTAAGAGGCTGAGAGATATGGACCTAGCCGTAAACGCCACCGAGGCTTACTGTCGGTTACTGTCGGTGTCGAATTTGGAAAGTACCATAAGAATCGGATTCCTCCATTGATGACCATGAATTATGAAATGCACCTTCTATTTCGCTGAGTCGCACTCGAGTTTACCGAGTCCATTTGTGGTCAAGTACCGCTACCCTGGGTGCCCAACGGGACCCTTTGTCTGGACCCTTCGGCCGTACGATGTCGGGTGCCCTGTGGGTCAAAGCGGAAGAGTGGAGCTCTGGGGTAGAGCCCAAGGGAATGGAAGCCACCTAATCGCGGGGATCTGCAATCGACAGCCGGTAGTACACGGGCTACGTACTGGGGAAGGGTACCATGTGCTGTAACGTCCACTGTCAGCTCAACGTCGACTTCCCAAACTACTATAATATGCTTCTTCCCCGCCAACCATCACGATACCTTACCTAGCTCTGAATAACGGTCAACCTTTAACCGACCATCGACCTGACTGGAAAGATCAAACAAGACTGGCGGTGTACTTGTGGAATTCAACCATCTCTTTGAACGGACAGGTCCCAGTCCACCATGTCTCGCCGCTTATCCATCTTCGGGAGACTGGGTCGCCGAACCTCATCGGCGACGGAAAGCACTGCAATCAGCAATGAGACCGACGGACAAGAAAGCGATGGCAACCTCGCACCGCCCCCAGCCTACACCACCGTAGACGAGTCGGCCACGGCGAACTTGACAGCGGCCTTTGATCAACTAAGCCTTTCCAACGCGGCTTCCGATCCAACTGTCGATACCTGTCTTGCCCATTTGAAGCTGTTGTTCGCCATCCAGTCCATGAAGGAAGAGGTCGGCTATACAGATGGCCTTTGGGGACTGTGGGACTCCCTTGCCGGGCCTCTCAACCACCTTGAACACACATATGCCGATAAGAAGAAAACCCCTTCTGATTCCAAGAAGCCCCTTGACAAGAACCTACTGGAAGACGCCGACAACGCTGCCAAGAAGACACTCGAGAATCTCAGCAAGATCCGCGAGAAGCGATGGGCCTTGTTCCTCGCGAGAGCTACCCAGAGATACGAGGCGTGGTGGAAATCGCTGCCTGGCAGTCAGCCATTGACGGAAAAGGACATGGAGGAAGATACATCCTTTGGATACCAGACATTTCCTACGGATGACAGTGCTACTTTTGATTGGAGCGAGGACAAGCTACCTCCTCTTGGTATGTCACAGACTCTCCTCCAGAATTGTTCTGGGATTACCTAGCTCTTCCTGTTGATACTGATTCTGCACAGACGTATTGATGGTCTGGCATACCCACATGCTCAACCCCCGAGCCTTCCTTGAAGATGCCATGCTAGCTGGCTTGAGAGGCTTCTGGAATAGAGGACTTCCGTGGCATTTGGTCAACGCGGCCATCGACTCCGACTTCAGCTACAATGTAACGGATCAGTGCAAGGCTCGATGGACGAAGCAGACCGGCCTCTCTTGGGACAATCAATCCGATCCACTGGTCAAAGAATTGCAATGCCCCAAATGCAACACCAAATTGTCAATTCCCTGGACAACATGCTCTCGGCCTGAAAACTTCCATAATCAAGCTGAACCACTGGACCTTACCGGCACTGGCTATGGTGACGGCAACCTTCTACACACATGCAAAGGCTGTGATATTACTATCTGTAAGGAACTCCTTTGTGCTTTCAAGTTTGTCAAAGACGTCGAGGCCCTGCTGGGGCCTGCAAACCGGCCAATTCCAGGAACCGTACTGGAACCTACAAACGGGAGACCCGCGATAGTGCCGCCTGAGCCTGAAAGGTCCATCTACCCTCGCACCTTTCCCAACCGTCTTCTCAAAAGCGGATGCAACTCTATTCGGACAAAGGTGATTACGCTCATGACCTCCAGTCCGAACCCTACCATGCAAGACATTCGTGTCGAAATCGAAGCCATTCTTGGGAACAGCACATGGCTGAGGGAGATCAACAATTACTCGAATCCCAGGAGCGCTGCATACAAGGTTGGCCGTGCCAGTAAGCTCAGCATACGAAAAATGATGGGTCATTATTGGGAGAACTTCAGCCCCTTTGCACTCGATCTGGCTGGCGCCGTTGTGCGCCAGGGCATCTTTATTGAAAAGATGTACAAGATCGACTGGCTTCACAGTCCGTCGGCAACCGACACCATGAAGCGTCTTCTGCTCAAATATTCCCGTTTCTTCACCATAATGCAGAAGAATCCAACCAAAATGGCAGTCCCTACCCTGGATATCGATCTCGCTTGGCACACGCATCAGTTGAGCCCGAGCAAATACTACGAGTACAGTATCAAGACAACCGACAAGTTCATCGATCATGACGACAAGGTTGAGGAAGGGAGATTGAGTGAGCAATTTGAATGGACCAGCAAGGAGTACCAGGATACATATGGAGAGGTGTACAGCGAGTGCACTTGTTGGTACTGCGAATGTAAGTTGGACCCGCCAACCAGCCGCTCGAGTTCCTCGTTTCTCGATTCTGACCATAACATCACCCGTCTCCTAGCTATTCGGACCTCGCACGTGAACTCACTTGGTCAAGTGCTGGGTGTTTCCAAGTCAGAGAAAAGTATGTATTCCCGTGTTTTTCCGGTCCGGTCCCTCAAACAAAGTCTAAATCACTGACCAACTTCCTCGCAGTTGCCGAAGCTTTCCACGCCTCCGAAAAAGCCAAGCTCTGCCCACCCGACAAGTCTGCCCACATTTCTTCTCACAACGCCGTGATGCTACACGTCGATCCTTCACAGCCTAATCTAACCATTCAGAACCGTGTGCGCATTCAACTCGCTGCCCTTCACCAGAAGAGACTGGACGACGCATACGCCAAAGCCAAGAAACGTGCCGAGAAGAAGGGCAGAACTATGCCGCCTCGGGATGCTGCGTACTATGACCACTGGGGATACCCGTACTACATGGCTGGGCCCTACATGTACCCCATTTGGTTTACCCCGGGCCTCTACTACGGTTGGGATCCGGGATCTATTGCCGGCTGTGGGACCGGAGCCAATGGGGCTTGTGCTGCGGGCACATGCGGAGGAGGCGTTGCTGCGGGTGGTTGTGGTGGTGCCGGGGTAAGTTATCCTTACTCCTATGATGATGATGGACGTGATGCTAACGTGGATTCGTCTAGGGATGTGGTGGGGTAAGTCATTCTATATGCGTGCCAGTTGGTGCAGGAAGAAGCTCTGCTTGTTCATCAAATGCTAACAGATTCTCTTTGCTTAGGGATGCGGCGGTGGTGCTAGCGGTAGTGCCTGCGGCGGCGGCGGCGGCGGGTGCGGAGGGGGTGGTGGATGCGGAGGAGGAGGGGGAGGAGGAGGAGGAGGAGGCTGTGGTGGCGGTAGGTTAATCCTAAATGAGATTCCTGAAGAACGATCAAGATACTAACATCTGTGGTACAAAGGCGGATGATGCTAGGATTCCTTATGTCCAGGGCTTATAAGCCGTGATGGTTATTTTGACGACCAACGCTTTTTGGGATACGATACATATGCTTTTCGATGCGCGAGCTGCCTCCTTTTGCTTTGGTTAATTCGTCCTGTTTTCTGTGTTATTTACGAAGCGGGAAACCCTGAGTCGCAACAAGCGTTGTCTAGCAGATGATCCATGTTTACAGAACAGTAGTTGTTTTTCATATATTGATTGTCATTCAAGTCCCTAGAAATCAAAAGTATAAGGTATAACCTTCATACTTTAGCGGCCTACGAACAGCTTATACAAAACTACTTCCCGCAAGCCATACGTGCTGAAGTCTGCCATCTGTGACAATCGCTTCAGTTACGACCACATAAACTGGGGAAAGGTAAGCTTGTGAGCACATATGCGAGTATCATAAACTTTCTGTTTGGCTGAATGTATCGCGCACTCAGCTGTTCGTCAAACATATCAACCCTTTTTCGGAAGCAGAAAGACCATGGATAGCAACTATCGTCTTCCTAGCATCAGGAGACGCGACGGCAATGACGGCGGTCTGCCCAACTCTCATCAATCAGATCAGGAACAAAAGCCTCAAAAACAGAATGTGCATGCAATTCTCAGGTAGATGATTATGTCCACCTCGGCTCAAGCCCTGTTACCCTGCTTGGACGGCAACTCATGCCTTTCTTTCGATGGCCTGGAGGTCATCATCCTTGAGACCTCGTCTAGCTTATAGATTTTTCATCATTACAGCATGGCGGCTGCTTAGCAGAAGAAGAGACAGGGGGAGGAGGGGGTGAGGGAGGTGTCTAAGATTGATATGGTAATTTGGAGATGGGCGATGACAGTGGTGATAGGGCTGGGGGCAATGTTATGGTTGGGTAGGTGAACTCTTAGATGCCCTGGTGTTTGGGTTTGTCCGGTTCGTTGGATCGAAAGGGGTCATTGCATCGGAGTGGTTTGGAGCGGTCTTTTGCTAGATCACATAGGTATGTGTGGTGCAAAAGATGACGACGCTCAAAAAAATAGGAAGACATATGAGTGAAGCATAATGTCGAAGGAGCCACCTTGCTGGTCGTTCTTTACTGCACAAAATAATGATGAGTGTCTTACAAGTGCCGACAATGGCAGCCATGACACTCGTGCCTGCCACAAACAAAATGGAGATGAAGATAAAGTTGGGGGCCTTCGGAAAGAGCATTCGGCCAATGTAGCTGGAGAAGAGTGCATTGAGAAACAAGATCTGATCCCTTCGTCTGGAGAGACTGTTCTCCATTCCAAATTCTTTTCTTTCACAATCACGACCTCGAGTTGATTTCTTCATCACTGCACTCGAAGCACCACACACCCGCATCATGAAGTCCAAACGAACCACTGAGTGGGTCCCTTTTCCAAGTCCGTACCCTAAATTCAGGGACTTACAGCGATTCAATGCAACCATCGCCGGCACGGCTTATCCTGTTCCTTCTCCCCACCACCAGAGGCACCCGTCGATGTTGCGTAGGTTGCCCCGGACAGTGTGTCACTTTCATTTTCATTTCAGTTTCAAGCGGCCCGTGATGCCGTCTTTCCGCTTCCAACCATTGTAGAATTTCGAACAGCCTTATACGCCGGCGCAAACCGCCGAGAGTCAGTGTGTTAGGTAACGAGGAGATAAACAATGTGTACCATCATAGCAGATAATTCGAAGGACGCGCAGCCATCCCACTCCGGTACCCACTCGTCCGTCTCGTCGTCTTCGATGCAATCAAGGTCCAGCAAGGAAGCAACTTCTTTTGTGGTTCTGGTCAGTCGTCCATCAGGAAATTTACCGTTTCATCTACCGCCCGGCACCTTCTGCGCCCTCTAACCCTCCGACCATCCTCAGGCCCGTCACCGGATATACCTCGGGAACGTTGAAGCATATCTCCATCGTACCATTTCCCTCGAACCACCAGATCAGCTTTGGTGCTTGCCTGAAAGGGGTAAAGTGATATCCAGGCCTTCAATCAACGAGGCCTGAAGGTATCTCTGTCTCATCTGCTCATCCAACGGTTGTGGGATGATTATGACTGTTGAGAAAATCTGATTGGCCGGAGTCGGGCGAGAGGCCGGTGGATGGGATGCGCGGGTTTTGGAAGGAGATAAACGAGTCAACAAAGGTCATTGTTGAATGGATTCCAATTGCTAACATTCTGATAAGGAATCAACGGCCATCGGATTGTGGAAATGTCGTGTAGTAGTGCACAAGACTGACCTTAGAGGCGACCAGGTTTCGACGAAGCAAATCCATCAAAGCCCACATAGCAGCAAAAGATCGACATGTGCCAAGCGCTGCATATGTATTTTTGGCCGCCTTTGCGTCATCGACCTCACCGTGTTTTACCGTGCCTGACTTACCGCGCAGTAGCTTGCCCAGCCGGGTCCGGGTCCGGGTGACACCTCGTCGGGTTCGGGTGCAGTTCCCGAACTCCGCTTTTTTCTTAGCAGCTGGCCCGCTGCGCCCGAGTTAGCCCGGTAGGTGCTTGGGTCCGATTCCCCGTTCAGCGCTCAACACGGACCGAGACACCCACTGGCAGCAACATCATTTCGAGCAGATGATTTACTTGCAAGATAGGCAAGTTACCGGGTGCAGCTCCCGTCTCATTTTCGGGATTTCTTCCTATAGGCATACTCGGGTTTCCCTGCTGCCCTGATAAACATACTTAAGACACACAAGGAACATTTGAGACATCCAGGAACCGAAACAGAGCAGTCTCAGTTGGACAAAATGCACACACCAGACCGCTCGCTTGGTTTCGGGAGTTCCCGTATCGACACCTGCCTATTTCGCCTCCTATTCCGAGTCTCAAGTCTCATATGCTACCGACATGGAAAAATGTCCGAAATTGTCCATTCTTCAGGACGGTGAAGGATGCAAACCAATGTTAGTGAGTTGACGCCGGGTGTAGTTCCCGCGACGCAAAGACAATCAAAGACTGGTCGAGACCGGTGAACTGGCATTACAGAATCTTCGGTCCGTGAGTCTCCGAGGTACCCATTCGACATCGCAAACACACCATTGTGCTTGTCCCGGGTGCGGTTCCCGTACTCTTCTCTTCCAAGCATCATTTTTCTCCTTTTCTCCCAAATTCCCGACCGATCGATTTGTCTTGTTGCACAACATCACAGCCCTTACAGACGGGACTCCCGTCAGCCGTCGTCCTGCTGCAGCATCGGATTGTTAGGCAAACATATCGGCTCTTTCGGACTCGACTTGCTTACACTGTGACAAAAACATCACTCCCACTCATTCCGCTGCTGTCTTCACTGTCTTTCGAGTACCTCCCTGTAGGTATTCGACTGCTTCGTTGTCTTACAATGACGTCTTCCATTTTTCGAGAGAAACTCCGAAGGTGCCAGATTCTGAAGAAATCGCTACTGGACTGGGCTGCTGGTAGTACAGCCTCAAATGAAAACAAAAGAGACCACAACGCAGTGTATTCCCAAATCAGAAGGCAGAGCGGATGAATCCTGCCAATCCGGAACCAATCCCGCGCACTTTAGTTCGCTCTCTGGCCTCTCACGCACCGCACCGTCCAGTTCAGCTGTTCTAGTACACAGACCAATCAAGTTGCAAACACTGTAGCAAACACACCCAGCCTCCCAATCCACATCCACACTTTCCGCTCTCAGCTCTCTTGGCGTTCAACTCTCCTTACCTCCTCCAGTAGTGTAATCCTGGAGACTCCGACACCCTTGATACCCATCGTTGATTCCACGAATCATGCAGCACTACATAGTACATCAGCTTCTAGAACACCATCGCCACCGGGAGCCGGACAGGCAGGCAATGCAAATTATGCACTGGCTGTGCTGTGCACGCTTTTTTCACACAAGGACAAGGCTTCAACTTCGTACGGTCATTGTGGTCGGTCGTCGGAGCTGCTGAGTTATGCATTGCTAAGCAGAACGCTAGTCTACCTAATCCTCTCTAGTGTTGTAGGTAGTTACATAGTCTTCTTCAGGCTCTGGGTTCTCCCTATTCCATGCCTAGTGTAGTAGGCTTTGTTCACGGTATCTACCATGTTCACGGTGTTTATTGGTCTCCATCTGTGCGTCCTGTAGTCCTGTTGCCCTGTTGCCCTGTTGCCATGTGCTGAACTGCACTGATGCGAGATGGTAAATCGAAGGGGAGTGCATTCCCGCTCCAGTAAAGTAACCATTACATATGTGCCGCCAATGTGTGTTTGCTCGCTGGTCAAAAAGGCTTGCAGATGTGGCGGTTTTGAGGATTTCTTCTTCTTCAGTTCCATTCAGTATTCCATTCAGTAGTATTCCATTCTGGCCATCCAGGCAGTTGCGAAAGAAGTTCACCGCTCTAAGCACCCCCTTTGAAGTTTCTTTCTCACTTTTAAGTGCCAATGTCACAAGAGAAATACTGCTAGCATGTAGACTACCATGCAAAGTTCATTTTACACGTCTCACGCATATCTCACGGGTTTTGAATGCAATAATGTACAGCAGATTGATCAACCAATTCGTCAGGGTTTTTGCGTTTTTCGATTTTTCATGACGATGGATGCTGCTAATGCTAAACTTCTTTGATTAACCGACCGTATACTTTCAAAGAATTGCCCCATCTAGACAGTATGTTGAGTAACTGTAGGAGAAAGAGGATGTGTTGTGGATGATGATGATGATGATGATGACGACGAGAAATGAGCGCGCGGCTAGCTAGCGTGCATGCGAACAAGCGAGCCAGCAAGCAGGCAAGCGACTGAGTGAGTGGGTAAACGAGCGATTCCAAGATATAACACAGTAATTGTTTCTCGCTAAACTAGAATCATACAAAATGCGAGAAAAAGGGGGTATCCGTTGTGATAAAACAGAAACAAAAAAAGAAGTCAACTGTAAAACGAGTCGGTGTTGTATACAAAAAGTGGGTTGTATGAGTGATCGTAGGAGTTTGCTTGATGCCAACTGCATAATAATGTGGCACAAAAACTGTCGTGTCGGTCATCGCTTTGTACGGATCCGAACAGACGGAAAATTCCCAAAACCCCGTTCCCGTGTATTGGGGGGCAATGGTTGTTTGGTGGCCCATGACGGCCGAAGTGCGTGAATAGATCCTGTCGTTCGTTCGGCTGCCTAGTCGAATGATTGTGAGGCCCGGCCTGATGCAGGTTGAATGTTCATGTCGGGTTTCGTTATAAGCTGCCGATGATTGAGACGACGATCCAGAGAGCTGGTGCTGGGGTTCGATGAACCTCGGTATCCAATTCCGCCATATCGCATTTCAAAGTGCAGGCGTGAGTCGAAGACGGGAGTAGCGGCAACACTCGATCCAGTTTCCCCGTTGCTGCTTCCCCCCCTTGCTCACTTTCTCGGTAGTGGTGGTGGTGGTTTTCGTGGACAACTTCCTTTTCTTCAACCAGTCCAGACTTGATGCAGCGAATATTGTGGATATGGCGAAAATTCTGGTGCGGGTGAGGGTGATGGTGATGGGTGCTCCGACATATGCTTTGCCTTCTTGCGACTTTGCGGCGGTACACTGGAACGCACACGGGTGCGCTTGTTGAGACGCGGCTTGGTGAGCTCGTTGTGACGACGATGTTCCCTTCTGTGCCCTGGGTTAGTTTCATTTTACCCATTGAGCGAAAAATTGTACTCCAAACATACACTGTCTTCTTTAATTGCTCCTCATCAAACGCGGCTTGTACCTTAGTGAGCACGGGTGCACTGTCGTTCTCGGGGGTCGCTTGTCTCTTCTCGAGAACAGTTGCAAGCCAATTGCGCGTCTGACTGGGTTGAACGGGTTGACTGGATAGAGACATGGATCGCTCTTCAACCTTGGGTGGTTCGACCTTTGGCATTTCCATTTCAACCTTGCTCGTCTCCTCCTCCGTAACCGGTTCAATTTCGGTCACCACTGGTCGGCTGTCGTCGATTTTGGGGAACTCATCGACAATTTCGGGTAGGGCTGCTTCGGACAAAACGCTGAGGGCGGGCGAACCTGGACCAGAACCTGGACATGGAATGTAGTCGACATATGCTTCCTCCCGCACCATGTACAGATCAGAACTCAGCGGAACTGCGACATGTTCGTACCGCTCCGGCGTCTTCACAAATGCATCCAAAACTGAAAGCGAGCCAAGGCTCCATAGAAGTTCTCCGGAAAGAGGCGCCCTGGAATCGGAGGAATCATTGCTGTGACAGATGCCGTGGAACTGGAATGGTTCTCGTGAAACAGCAGGGCTTAATGGCGGCGTCGAATCGGATAGCGGTCGTTGTATCCAGATGGAGGAGAAATTTTGTGTGACATTAATGTCCGTCGTGTCAATGTCTGCAGCCATGTGGCCCAAGGTCGGACACACGTGTTTTACTGACCTTTCATCGTCATGCTCGGTGGGGTTGAACTCGTCGAAAAGACTCGGCTCACCGTCGTAGGCGTCGTAGAAGATGTCGAGGCTGTGGCGAAGGACAAGGCCGCAATACCTAAAGTCGAGCATGTTGAGGGCCTCCATTGTGGAGTGAGGCAGCAGGCTCTCGGCGGGAAGCTTGTTGAAGCGTGTGAGGATGATACTTGTAAGGCTGATTGATGCCAGGGGACTAGGGTCGAGAGGGACGGGAGGGAGTCGGTTGGTTTTGTTGGAAGGAGAAACAAAGATGGAGCTTGGATGGAGACCAGATGGTGGACACCCAAGAAGGGTTGGGGATGGCAATCCTCTAGTAAGGAGGCCCTGACTCCACAGCCATCAATGAGCCAGCGAGGGGATGCTGGGCGACTGGACGAGGATGGAAGCGTTACTAGTAGTCTAGTGTAGTGTACTGTAGCTGCTAGTAGTTCCAGCGCATTCTCGGCTCTCTTTCCCCAGACCCGGATCAGCTTTATTTCGCAAGCGGAGCGTTGGCTGATCACCGGGAAGTGAGAAGACGCCAGCGCTAGGGAAGGCTTGGATTGGTGTCCGGTGCTAGCGGGGCAGTGTGAAATTTAGCGGCCCCAAGACGCTTGACCCAAGAGTGCGGAACTGGAACTACCTTAGTTGTGCTGCCGAGCAATGCAGACAAGTGGATGATGGAGACGGCGGGCAAATGGGATGGATGCCAGGTGTTTTGTTACTCGGGCCTGAACAAAAGGCATGTATTGTGGTAGGTCGGGGCAGCGACCCGATTCCCCGGGATAACCTAGGGACCCGGAGGTGTGTCGGTGTCTGTGAGACAGCGGCCGACGGGCTGCTGCTGCTGCTGCTGCTGCTGCTGCTACTACTGGCGACAAGGACAGAGAGACACCCGCTGAAGGGAGAGATGGAACTAATTGGAGGATTGGGACTACAAGGGCAGATGAATTGACGATTGGGCCACGAGTGGGCCACGAGTGGGGGGGAACAGTTAAACAGCAATTCGAAGGGGGCAAGAAGGCATGCAAAAGAGATACCTAATGCAAAGCGTCGGGTCGGAGCGAAAAAACCCAAGGGCGGACTGCTGGTGGGATAAACTCGATGTCTTTGGTAGTAGTATAGCTGTATGTACTGTACTGGCAAAACCGGCACTGCGCACACTGGCTTGGCTGGTTAGGTCTGGATACTGCCAGACAGCCAGACACTACCACCTCACGGCGTCAGGCAGTCGGACCAAGTGGGAGAGGGGAAGGATTGGGAATTGAGAGGAATGGATGAAGCCATCTGGGCCATGCTCCCTTTTCTCGACTGCTTTGGCCCTGTTCCCCGCGGCGCGCACGCAACACAACAGAAGAGATTCCCAAAGGAGGCAGTCGAGCGAGGCGGCGGAGAGTTGCCCAAACCCGAAGCGTGCGAATTGCGTCCATGCGAATGGGCAGGTGCCGAGATATTAAGGTTGGTACCAAGCAACAGGAACCTCAAAACGACCGGTCTGGATGAAGACCTCCTGTTGACCTGCTGCTTTGCGCCCAGTGTTTCACCACCGGCTGAGGGTACTGTGGCTCGTACTGGCTGGAACTGGCCGGCTAGTCTGGAAAACAAGAGGAGAGAAGAAACGACACTACAACCTTCCTTCCATAGGGTGCCTAGCTAAGCCAGCAACGGCCCCAAACGGGTAAGGTGTATGCACCAGGGGCATTTATGCATTCTGATTGGCCAGCCTCTGGCCTGTCTACAAGACCGCAGTGACGTGAGGAAAATCACCCCAGCCCGGCACGGCAACGACGGCACCGTCCGCGGTGCGCTTCCCTTCCAAACGACAGGGCAAGGGAGGCACCGAGAGCAGGGAGGAAGCATCATGAATGCTGAGAACCTCTTTCTGAGGGGCCCGGATTTTCGGAATTATAGGTAGGGTGTAACACACACCACAACACACTCGACAGGGGCCCAAAAAGCCCTGGAGGTGCTCAAAGGGCACCCAATACAGTGCAGTTTCGGCCCGGAGCGCTGGAAAGATAAAAGACACAAGTCAGGACAAAAGAATCATTCAAAGGCCCGGTTCCGACTTCGGGTCTGTCCCATTGTCGGTTTTGTTTTTCTTTTTTCTCCTTTCTTTTTTCTTGCTTCTTTTTTCTTCTTCCCGATCTTGTAGGGGGGAGGGAAAATATTACAAGGAGGAGCAAGACATTTCATTTCTTCCGGCTGTCATTTCCACTTGTTTCGTCCTTTCCACAAGACCGGCGTGGAAACGGCCAGGCTTCAGGAATGAAGACAAGGGCATTGACACAGCTTTTTATTGCCAGGCATTTCCACGTCGTTGACTAGGTACACACAAATCTGACAAGACACCCAGCGACAAGAAAACTTGCAGCAGCACTGACAGACCACATAATAGTAGTCATTCGCACAATTGCTACATCTCAGACACGGCCAGGAGCCCAGGACCCTCTGGAGCACACGGGGCGGCGACTGGAAGCGCTCACCAAAAGGTAAATTATTGGAAAAATAAAGAAAGAAAGAAAGATGGCAGGCTCCGAGGGGGAGGTTCGAAGGCTATGGGGGATTAAAAATGGTCTGAAGGGGTCATTTCTGTTGGCGTTAGTCGTCGCAGGTGGTCGGACCATTATGACGCACTTTGCAGGAGTTCGCAGTCGATCTAGCGCACAAAGAGGATGAGCTCCGGCACCAGAGCTCTTCTCAAAAGCCGTTGGAACTTGGACGGCCGGGGGTCTTTCGCGGGTTCAGGAGAGGGAGGGCGCCGACGACTCGGATTTCTTCCTACTGTTTCCACTGTGGACGCTGCACCTTGTGCATATTGGAAGGCTCCATCCAAACCTCCTTCCCCGCGGCGGCGGAACAAACTCACAACCTTCCGCGCCGTCTAGCGTGCCAACTCATGTGCCCACACTGGGGGTTATAGACAAGGGGGGTTAGGTATAGTGTCGACAGGGGTACTAGTGTCGCCAAGTCGAACATTGGCTTCTTTTTGTGGAAGCGCCTGCCACTTTTGGGGCTAACCTTTTTACGACATGGCTCGATCCGCAGCGCATCTTTGCTTCCTCCTTCCCTTCCCTTGGACAAATCAACGAATGGAAGTCCTCGATCCCTCGATACTCGATAGAAAGCAAGATCCGTCACCATCATCATCCACCACGGCACCACACGTGCGGAACAATCCCAGGAGTGCGGCAATCGTCGTATCTTGGCCTGAATGCCTGTATTAGTTAGTAGGACATGGAGGACGATGGAGAATTGGTCGTGAGGAGAAGACTAGATGGGACCCCCACCCCAATTTGTGCAAATTTGCGAGATATTCACATCACAAAATCCCGGGCGGGCAAGTGCCACATGCGGGCACATAATTCCAAGTTGTACAACAGCACAGAGCAGCAGGAGCAGCACACCGCAGCACAGACACTCTCTCGAAAACGGAAAGAATGTTACGTGACGTTACATCCGATTTGCACCTATCAATGAAGTGACCAGGGCATCTGATAATGCATCACCGTTCATGCAACCCAACGCCAAACCCGAAACGACGAGGAGGAGGAGGAAGTCCCAAGCAGGGAGGGTAAGCGCTTTTCAAACACTGACACACAATGGAAACCACCCAACGCACCTGGAAAATCTCTCCACATCCTGGTGGCTCCATAAGGGTACGGCTCCCGGACAGAAATACTCTTCATCATCATCATCATCATCATCATCATCATCATCATCATCATCATCATCATCATCATCATCACCGCCTCACTAACTCGCGGCAGAACCATGATCCCAATCTCAGACAGACAGAAAAGATTCAACAACAACATGTCTGGCTCGTCTTCGTCCACCATCTCTCTCACCCCCTCGTCAAGGCCTAGGCCTGACCTCATGATCCGCTGACGCCATGCCATGATGATGAATGCAAGGAGACGGTGCTCCACGCATGGTCTGTTCGGCTAATCCCGTAACCGTCTACTCCGGTACACCGTCACGCCTCTATAAAAGACTAAGAATCCTCTAACTTGTCCAGGCACAGGCTTTTGTTCCTGGTCTCCCACGCCTTCGACATAACGCCGACTCGCGCTTGTTTAATCCAAGGTGATCAAGCCATGATTTGTCATGCCTCCATCGGCCGAGGTTGGACCGTTCACAATCGTCTTCAAACTCATATCGTCGTCCAAGCGTCATCCGAGGCATCCAGATATCGATTTTGCCAGTTCTTCGTCAGCAAGGCTATGTTCGTACCAGGCCCCGGGTCCGGAAACTTACTTTACCGATTTGGCCTTCTTCTCATCACGTCGGCAATGTCAATAACGTAGCGTTTCTCTGCAGTCGTTGATTACTATAGCAGGGTAAGTTTGTTAGAATGAGACCTCACCACCCATTTGCATCATATACACTGTTTAGTATGAGACCTTACCATCACTTTTATGCATATCGGTCATTAGTATCACTTGTTCACGTTGCATAAGAGTGTCATTTCGAGTTGGAGAAAGCTATGAGTGTTTTGTTCAGATGATGTGTCTGGCACTCCTAGCTCCTAGCTAACTCCCTTTTCCCAAATTGCCAAAACACTTTCCCCCCAAACCGATTTCCGTCCAAAACTCCTCCGTCGGCACCCAGTTGGCCTTGGACCCTAACACTGCACCTCACATACCTATCTCAATTGCCCTACTCTTGGGCCCTTGTTGTAGTGTATCATTCGCTTGTCGGCGCTGAACCCGTCGGCAAGTGGCGTTCGGTCCTGTCCTTCCGATTGATTTTTTTGTTTCAGCGCCCACTTCCCGTTCGTGAGGTCCGTTGGCTGGAATCCGAGATTGTCATTTTTTTTTTTTTTTTTATGGTTCTTTTCTTTTTATTTCTTTTTCTTCTTTTCAGAAGCACTCCTCTTCCTCGAGCTCGACAATGTAGGTCAATGGGCGAGTGCTAGCCCGCCAATTGAGAAACCACCGGAGCTCGCGTGCGTCCAGGGGCCTGTATTCCGGCCCGTCCAGGCGGAAGTACCACCTGTCATCGCTGCCCCGAACGTATTCGGCGTAGTAGGAGATTTCCTCGCCTGGGCACCGAATGTGCTCCATCACGAACCATCTAGGGGGCATCTCCTCTGCCTTGAACCATTTTTCATCTGGTTGGTCCGAATTGATAATGACCCCGGCAACCTCCGCGGTGATATCCTCGGTGACGGGCTCAGTGACGTTCTTCGCGTTGGTCTCCGTGGTGCTTTCGTTGACTTGGCCCTCGAGTCCTGGCTTGGCCTCTGGGTTCATGGTCTCTGGTTCGTCCCAGGGGACCCACGGCAGCGGGAGCTCCTCCTCGTGGTTAAACTCAGGCACGGTCTCTGGCTCATCGTCCCATGGAACCCATGGGAGCGGGAGCTCTTCTTCTTGAGTCTGAACCTCATGCCTTATGGATTCCTAGCCCATAGTGGCAATTGGCTCTTCCTCATTCTGAAACTTTGCGGCGGCGTGTAGTGCGACCTGGTGGAGCTTGGAGGGGAGAGAAGCAACGTCGCCGACGATGAACTCAATGAGCTCCTCGTATTCCCGCCAGTTAAGCTCATCAAGTGTTCCGTCGTCGTTCAAGAAGAACCAGTTGCCGCAGCTCATTTTGGCGTAGCTGGCACCGCCGGGATGCTTCAGAACGGCTAGTATATCTGAGTCGCCGGAATGGTGGGTGTAGTCGTAGGGAGTGCTCATATCCTCTGACTTGTCGGATGGTGTGGACTGGTTGCTGGCCGAGCTCCGGCAGCGCGCTGGTGATGGCGACGGAGTTTCATCCTTCAAGAATCTTCTGTCATAGTGGATGTCATCGCCGGGTTGGACGATGGGATCAAAAGTGATCCCGGTACCCTTTTTGGCGGAGAGGCAGACGGTAAAGCCAGTCATAGCCTGGTACTCGGTTACGTTGTCTGGGCTCGAGTAGATGGTTGTAGGAGAACCGGCCGTAGGGTTGGTTGCCTGAGTAACAGCCGTGTCGTTTGTTTCTTCTGTAGTGTTGGTCCTATGGAAGTTAGTACGAGCACTTCAGGTGAAAGTGAGTTGGTGAGGATGACTTACTCGTTTGAGACCTTGCGGATGTGTTGCAAACATAACCCTACAGGGGAGGCGAAGATGGGCTTTTGGGCATGAACGCTGAGCGGAGTGTGAGGAAGATGCGTGGCCTCAGGAGTTTTTGAGATGAACTCAGCCTCAGGGGTTTGGGCAGGAGAGCTGATGGGTGCGCGCTGAGCCGGGCTATGGTCCGGAGTCTCGATGAGGAATCCCGATTCAGTGAAGCGGGCCCCGGTGCCCTCGGGTGTCTGCGGCGTAGGAGAGTCGGGCGGGCTGGGTCGGGTGTTGACCTCGATCTGCTTGGCCAAGGCAATGGCATCGTCCTCGCTGTCGGAGAAGGCCTCGAGATCCTCCTCGTCCCATTGTTGGAACGTGGCCTCGATGTCTTTGGCGAGGGCAATTGTTTCCTCGACCGGGTCCGAGAAGCGCTCGACCTTCTCAAGTTCGTCGCAAAGTCTGTGAACCTTCTTTGCAAAGGCGATGATCTCCTCCTCGGACTCGGAAAATTCCTCAAAGTCGGTGAGGCTGTCGATGCTGCTGTCGGCTTCGTCGGAGGAAGAGCGAGGGAACTCGATCTCTTCCTCGTCCTCCTCTTGAATCATCGACAGTTTGCAGATCGAAGTGTAGTCTAGTTCAATGTTAGTTTCATCTTTTTGTTGTCTTCGGGTTCATCTTGACTTACTGATCTTCGGTGCGGGACGGGCCGCTTTGGCGATCTTGTTCGTCTTAACAATGAATGAGGGCTTGGACCCAGAAGTGATAGCCGGATTAGGGGTTGGCATGTGGGCGAGCCACATTTGGTCTTCCTCGAGACATTTCTGGAGGCTCTTGAAATCGAGGATATCAGAGGCGAGGCCACCGAAGTAGTCGTTGTCGAAGTTAGTTGACCTAGTGGCACTCTCGGAGATTGTAGTGGGTGTAGAGACTTCGACGATATCGAAGGTTGGGCGGACGTGGCGATAAACATGGACTTCGCTTTCGGTGAGAGCAACCGAGGTGATGCTGTCTTCACTGCCGGCTTTCATGTCGGGGGTGATGACGTTTGTGCCGTCGAGTTCCTGGGCAATGTCGGCGTTGGAAGCAGCCATGGTGAGGTCCTTGTTGGTCATGAGGGTTGCATCCAGAGTAGTGATGGTGACCTCCGGAATGTTGCCGGCCTTCGAGACAGTGTCAACTGTCGCCTGGGTGTTGCCGTCCGAAATAGTACAGTCGCCAGAGGCGACATTGGCGTCCGTGGTAGTGTCAGTCGTGTGGGAGAGAGCGAAGATCAAGGCCGTGAAGCTGATCAAAGAGGTGCTGACGATGAGGATGGTCATAACGATCAGTGCGATGATGACTTTAGTTGAGCTGGGAGTTTCCGTGCGGGGCTTGGAGTCGTCCGTTACTGTGATTGTTGTGTCAGGAGTCGAGTTGTTCATGTTGACGATGTCGATGGAGGCGCTGTCGAAAGTGCGATCAAGCGCAGTGGTGGCGTCAATGTTGAGAGGAGACATATTGTCGATGGAAGACGGTGTGAGGTGAGAAGGGATGTGTGTGGAGGAGAGAATGAGAAGAGGTAATCGATGAAATAGTCGCGCTGTGATGCTTGACTGGTGATAAGTTGGGGGAAGATAATGCGGCAGAGCGGCAAGATCTTGAAAGTCGATAGAAGAGTTGGAGGTCGATTGTTAGGTGCCGCGAGGCGAGTTGTGTGTATGCGTAAGGACGTTGGTTTGACTTGGTCAAAGATAGCAGTTGTGCTTTGTGCTTGCGCAAGAATGTGATTCTCCGAAGTGAGATGGGGAGAGAAGGATTCAGTTCCAGTTCTCTGGCATCAGAAGATGTGCTCTTATACTTTCCCAGGCTGGGCCCGTGCTACTGCGTTGCTGGGTGAATTCAGGTCTGTTCAGATCAGCTGTTCACGGTTTAGTAGTGCAATAACTACATGTTTGCCTTCGAATGTCGCCGTTGAGGTGGGTGGAAGGTGGTGGCAGCAAGGTTCGTGATGCTGTTGACGGGCGACCGTTGGTGTTTTGGTTGTCATGAGCAACGCAGCGACAGGGTGTTACACCTGATTGGTCGAGACAGGCAGAGAGTACCCGGACAATGAAGGTGGCCTGTGAACAGGCGTGAACAGCTGCTCTTGGGGGACTGAGCAGTGGTGAACAGGGTTGAACATGGCTGAACAGGTGCGTGGCCACAGCAACGGGGGAAGGGAATGGAAGAGTGGTTGCTACATCGATTGTCTAACAAATATTCGATGTAAAATGTCTGGCGACAGGCAGGTTTAAAGCTGTTTCCAGCCAAGCTGACCGCACTCGAGTTTACTGAACAGCCTCCAGAGCCATGGAAGCCCACGAAGCTCACGGAATTTGGCGTTACCCTGGTGACGGGCTATATTTCAATGTTCCTGTGTCACTTCAACGACAGTCAGATCTCTAGCTGTCGCCGACTAAGCCAACCAGCCTTCGAGTTCACCAAAAAGACTTCACAGCCGCTGCAGGTGGAAGCTCATCGAAGATTGGAGCTGGACATACCGAGGGTTGTTTACACCAGAGTATCCGAGATGACATGGCTCGCGACAGTCTAATGTAATAGCTCTTGCCGACCAGACTGACGCTGTCTGAGTTCACTGAACAATCCTCACAGACATATAAGCTGGAAATCAAAAGAAGATTGGCGCTTAACTTACTGAGGGATGTTTATGCTCAGCCATCTGAGATTTTCTGACTGGCGACAGTCAGATGTGCAGCTGGCAACGACCGAGTTGACGGGGCCGAAGTTCATCGAACAATTTCATGTTTTTACAGCCGCAGTAGCTGGAGGCCGGGAGAAGACTTGATTTCCTGGACGACTTTTGCCCGGAGATTGAATAATTCACAATGAGACGATGAATTTTGCGTGCCGCTCAGGATGATAGACTGACAGACTGACCAGAAACGTAGCGCCAAGACATCGCGATGCACTGACGGGCGGAGGCCGACCAAGTGCAAGATCATCGTAGGAGACACTCTGCGATAACATCATCGCATCACGGCCGAAGTCTAATATAGCTGTTAATAATGGTAGTTTCGAATTTATGATTGTCAATAAGGGTAGCATAAAACTATTCAGCGAGAGTGGTAGATAGGGACAGGCTGTCGCGGTACGGTCAGGATGTGCGACAGTGCACAAGGGTCTTGTTACAGTGGGGCGCCAAAAAAAACGACCAACTCTTTTTTTACCCGCAAAAAGGGCCAAAACTCGACTTCTTCAACTCTTGATTTCTTAATAAGGTTTATTACAAAAGTTACTCTACACTTTAGTTAAAGATATCTTTGATAGGAGATGCTAATGCAACTTGTCCGAAAGGATGCATCTAAGAAGGGCGCGAAAGCGCAAATACCAAAGTGACTTTTTGAAAAGCATCTCAAATCTCACCCACTAAAATGCACTATAAGTCCACTATAACTAAAAATGCTTTTCATGTTCATATTTGGACAACTGTCATTACACCACCAGAAGAAGGAAACTAATTCTAAGTATATATTAAGTAACTATAATCATTTACCTCTTTCTTTTTTAAGTGCATCTACTTTTAAAGCGTGGTTGAGTATGAAAACTAAGGAGTGAAAAAGTTGAGTTTTGGTCCTTTTTGCGGGCGAAAAAACAGTTGTGTGTTATTTTTGGTCCGGGACTGTAAGTGCGTTCTGAGAGCGCTTCGCGGTCTTGACGTGTTCTCGTTCTCGATGTTTTCCTTTGACATCAAAGCACAATTGATTGTATTTTTCTTGAGGCTTTGACTGTTTCCCCGCGCAATCATGTTGTAAATCAATTGTCCGTCCTGCTTCGCACATTCTCTTCGAAATCGATGTTGGTATGTTTCCGTCGAGAGGTCGTTAACAATGCGGCAGCGGGGTGTTTACGGCAAGTGGTTTCAGGGAAGATGACCAGGTGTTAGTACACCAGGCCGTTTGGGGTAGTACAGTGAGCCTGCACTAACAGCCTCCTGGTGAGAAGTATTCTCGTTTATGGGACCGCGCGCAGGTAGATGCACTATCGTACACTATCGCTACAGGTGTAATTCAGCGCTTTTACTGTTAGTGGGGAAACAGACAACGCAATGCTACAATCGCTTCCGGATTATCACTAATTGCTTGCTGGAAAGGGGAAGGAGTAGAACGTCATTTGAGAAGCAGTCAATCACGCAAGCAGTCATTGCAATCAAACATTCGGACACCTTTAATCATTAGAAGGCACTGTCGCAATTCACGATACGGGTCAAGTTTCACCGGTAGAAGTTCATTGCGCTGTTGATAATGATGACCCGTTAACTCCCCGATCCTTGTCCTTCCTCCCATCCTCTCTGTCCCGATCCCGTCCCGTGCGTGACCCGTCCGTACCCGTACTTAGCCCACAAAGTCAAATCCCAACGTACAGTCCTTCCCCATCCGTCCTCTCAATTCACCAACACTCGTAAACCTCCTCCACCTCTTCCTCTTCCTCAATACTCTCCATCTCCAAACTCCAAGCGCACCACTTATTCATATTCCTCCGCTTACCCAGCACCGCCCTCACCCAAGTCTTCGGCTCCCTCTTGCCCTCCACCTCATCAAAAGCAAATTCATCCCCGTCTCTCCACCGATTGAACTGATCGAGCTCGTGAGCATCCAGCAAGCGGAACATGCCCTCGTACATCCAGTACACCTGCTCGTCGTTGCCAATCACGATTTGTTTCTGCCCGTCGGGGTGGTTGAAGAGGCCGATCACGCCCCAGTCTTCGTCGAGGTCTTCGGGGTCTTTCCAGATGGCGAGGGTGGATTCCCAGGCTGCAAGGGGGTCGGAGGAGTGGTAATTGTCTTCGTCCTCGTCGTCAGCGAGGTCGGTGGATGAGAGAAATTCGATGCCGGTGGTGGGTTGATAGTCGGCAGATTCGGTGCGATCGATAAGTTCGATGGGTTGGTTGTTGTAATCGTCGTCGACAAAACCGTCTTGACCCTTGGATTCCTACTCCTCGGGGGTAGTGGTGTGGTTCTCGAATTGCTCGCTCTCGGACTCCTCTTCATCCTCAATGCTCTCAATAATGGCAATCGCGTTGCTGGTCATGACTCCCTCCTCGGCGTCCGCTTGTTGCTTCTTGTCGAAATCGTCGCGGGTCACGACGGGGGTTTGGCTGGTCCAGTTGATGAACTCCTGGTACTCGGCCTTTGACATTGGGCGGATCTCGTCGTCGTCTTCGAGGGCGTACCAGTAGCCGCACGACATTTGGACATAGCGGCAGTTGAGGTCGAGGCGTTCCATGATGAGAATGACTTCAAGATGGGAGGGTGAGAGGTGGGAGTAGTTGTACATGTTGCCGAAGGAGGAGGTATCGAGAGGGGCGATAGGCGATTGGCTCTTGTCGGCTTGCTTGAGCTCGTTGATGTTTGCCAGTGCGGGATCGTCAATCTTGTTGTTGACTTTGTTGGTGTCCGGGGTGGAGTACACCGTTTCGGGCGTATCCGGAGTGGTGGCTCTGCTCGCATCGCTATTGGTAGTGTTGTCCGTCTCGGTTGACGAGTTGGTGCTGCGCAAGAAGTTAGCGGTTTTGCTGTGAGTATGGGGTAGGATTTGGTTGGATGACTTACTCATTAGACAACCTGCGATTATGGTGAAGGGAGACGATTCCAGTGTCGACTACCTTCTCGGAGCTGATGTTCTCAGTCTTCTTGTCGGTCAAAAGCTTGTTGTCGGAAGCGATGGCCTTGTTGACTGGAGTGCTTTGCTTGGTGACCTCGATGGCTTGCTTCTTGGTCTTGGAGATCGAGTGGCACAGTTCGGGTTGATTGGCGACGGCATGCACCCACTTCATCTTATCCTCCCTCAGAAAGCGCTCGAAGTCGTGGCCGATACTTGAGGCGGAGGCGCCCATGTCGTCAACTTCGGCGACGTCGGCAATTTTGGAAGCCATGGAGCTGTTGACCTCGACAATGTCGATGATGGGGAGGACGTGGTGGTAGATATGGTCTTTGGAGTTGTCAACCTCGATGATGTCCATAATGGGGAAGATATGTTGATAGATATGCGTCTCATTCTCCTCCCTGATGAAAAGCTCCTCATCAGCGATGCGTGAAGTGGCGTCGCGATTGTCGTTAGTGACGGTGTTAACATTGTGGATGAGATCGTCTTGGTGAGAGACTTCGACTACTTGAGCAGACTTGTTGTCCTCGATGATGAGAGGCGCGGTAGCTTGAGCGTCGGTTGACTGGGTGGTATTCTTGCGATTGTCGACAATATTGGACTCGTGAGCTGTTTTGTTGACGTCAGTGGATGTGATGTCCCTGAGGGTGGTATCGATGATAGCGTTCATGCGCCGAGCTTTCGTGATGTTGTCGATCAGGCCGCCTTCCTGACACGAGTCAATGAGGGAGAGTGTTTGAAATTCTTGAGGGGTGCTGAGGATGTTGGGGATCTGAAAGGTCTCAGTGAAAATGGACACTAAAATGGCATGGTCAGAATTGTCTAGATACCCGAAGCTGCGACTATTGTGGACGACTTACCATGAGCGACGCTTGATGCGGCAAAGGATGCGATGGCCATTGCCTTGATGTCAGCAATGGTCGGCAACGCGAGGCGTTGGGTCTGCGCCGTGAAGGCGGAGGACCAGAAGGAGAAAGTCATTGCGACGATCTGAAGATTGAAGTGGCGTATCACGAAGATGATGAAGTAAGATGATATCGAAAGATGATAAAGGATGTTGAGGCTTCTTTGCTATGGTGTGCAATGATGCGTGGGATATCCTTATGTTTTTGGATGAGGGAGGAAGGATTCTGAGGCAGGATCTGGGGCAGCGAGGGAGATTCTTATAGCCTCCCTGGTTGGAACGTGCTTTTAACTGTCGCTGGCGACAGTCGACAGGTTTGGGTGGTTTGTTGACATGGTGATGGTGTTGAGGTTGACATGGCGAACGGATATATGACATCTGATTGGTCGGTTTGGGGATCAGGGGTACGAATAGGGCAGGTGAGGACTGAACAGCACTGAACAACAGTGCAGTGTTACGGATAGCACTTCAGCCCTGTTCAGCTCCGAAATCCATGAACTTCTATGTGGTGCAATTGAGAGCTGTTCGCTTTTTGGGTTGTTGTGAGCGTGGCCCGGCAGCCATACCTAGGTACAGAATAGGTGAGTACTGAACAGCGCTGAACAGGAACTCAGTGCTGGGGATGACACTTCACTCCAACGGTGACTGTCGAATCCTCAATCTATGAGCTTCTCTGTGCTGATATGGAAGCATTTTACCATTACGTTGGTATGAGAGTTCGCTGTCATCCAGCTTCCGGCTTTCTCACGATCTCACATGCCAAGACATACGCTGACGGGGATGGATAGACAAGGGCGACGGCTGTATTCACATCGTCGAAGACACTCAGCCACGATACCAGCACACTTTGTTCAATTGTAAGAAAGGTAATGCAGGTAGATATAAGAAGTACGGAAACAAGGTCTACGAAGTTTTGAGGTCAGTTTACCTATGCATTCAGAGGCAGTAAGATCTCATGGTCATGGCATAGGAGGAAGTTGCTGTACAAATGAACGATCATCAAAGACTACCGGTAGTTCAGCACATTTTGTACACAATGGAAAAATGATGAAAAGAGCGGTGCATATCTAGTCAATAAGCGGAAGAAGAGTCATCTGTGAAGTTTTCATCTACGTCAATCGTGACTTTCAGCGAAGCACTGAAATTTGGTGGCGAGCTTGCAAGTATCATGTCACGTCACAAATCATTTGAATATGGAACAATGTTATCTCATCAGCTGTCATTTATTTCCTTAGCATGATTATCTGATCAACGTTCTCCACCTCATGAACCAGTCCGCTTCAAATCCTTACATACTGAACCACATCTTTATCCTCGAGTCCACTTAGTTACCTCTAATCACAGGAATACTTTGAAGTCTTCCTCGTCCTCATCAACCTCCTGAATAGCCTCCAGTCCCCACACTCTCTCCTGATATTGCTGATTCTCCACCTCAGCTTCGCTAATCTCCTCGCAAGCCTGCTCCTCCTCCTCCTCCTCGATAACATCAAGACCCCAGACCGTCGTCGAACCATTACGATCCTTGTCCTCCTTGACTTCGCAAACCTCCTCCTCAATCTCTTCATCCTCCTCCAGGATGGTATCAAGCCCACAAACACCCTTGCAATTCTTCTCCTCCTCCTCAACCTCCCCGCTCAAATACAACACCGCAGCCGGATCACAGCTGCGCCAATAATTAAAATCCTCAAGCTCCTCATCAAGCATCAACATGAACGCCCCCTCGTACTCCCAGTACCAGCGCTCATCGCTACCAAGGACATAGTTCTTGTTGCCATCGGGGTGCTCATACCATGCCAAAATCTCCCAGTTGTCACCCATGTCTTTTTCCTCTTTCCACACCATGTACTCAGCCAGGGGATGTCTGGGTTCATCCTCGGTGTCGGACTCGTCGTCTGAGTAGTAGGTGACCATCTCTAAACCGCGGGAAGTCGCGACTGCTTTGACCTTTGGCTCTCTTTCATTGTTATGGTCGCTGCTCTCAAGCTGAGTTGCATCCACCACCTCGGGCTCCTATTCCGTGATGGTGGTGGCGGGCTTGGTATCAGGATCGTTCATCCAAGCCAAGAAATCCTCATGTTCATCTGGCAGCATGCGGCTAATTTTGCGGCGGTCATGGTAGATGTACCATTTGCTGTTGGTGAGGAGGACATATTGGAGGCCGTACTCGGGGCGGTCGATGGTGTGGACGATGTCGAGGTCGTCGAGGGAGTCTTGGTCTTTGGTTGAGTCATTGTCGTTATCGCTCGCGTAGTCATCGGCGTCGCTGGCGGTATCAGATGGAGTGGGTGAGGGGGAGCGTGAGCCGGACGAGGAAGGCGCTGTCGGGAAAGTGCCCCTGATGAGCCGAAATGTGGGGAAGCATCGGTAGGCGGTGGGGCTTTCGTCATGAATTGAGGAGTTGATGTCGCGGGAAGAACCGCTTTCGTCGCATTGCTCAGGGGTTTTGGTTTGACTGCGCTTGTTATTGGTGTTGGCGATGGAGGATTGGGAATACTCCGTGTCTTCGGTGTTGGCAGTGTCATTGCTCAAGTTGCTGTCGACAGAGAACTTGGAGTTGTTGGAAGCCGTTGTGCTGCAGAAGGTTAGTACCGGCTTATGCAGATGCAATGCAGATGCAGAGGGATGCGGATGACTTACTCGGTGGAGACCTTGCGGACACGATAAAACTTGTCGGTCGAAGCGACGCCAGCGTCGATGGGAGAAGCCTGACCATCGCGGACAGGGGAAGAGAAGTAGCCGGCTCGAGCGATTTTGAGGGAAGAGGAGGTGGGTTTGTCGTCGAGCTCGTCGATGTCGTCAATGCTCATGTCATCATCGATGTCAGAAGTGATGATATTTTCCTCGGCGTCAGCCTTGTAGACAGGTCCAGCCTGTTCAGAGAAGTTAGCGAGATTCTGGATATCAGTATGCGCGATGTTCTAATTGGTACTCACCTTTCGGGTAGGATCCTGTACAGAAGTCATGGCAATAGGAGCCTCGAAAGACCCGTTGAGGATCGCTTTGATGATGGCAGCGTTGGGGAGGGGCAGGCGGTAAGCATGAACGGCAACACCCGAGGACCATAAAGAAGACATGATGATGTTCTTGTTGGTCAAAATTGGCGAGAGTGAGAAGTTGTTGCGACGCTGTGTCGTTGCAGTGTGCGAGGTGCTTTCGGCTTGGGTTGCGAGTCGATATGTTGACGGTGCAGTTGGGTGTCCAGTTTTAGGATGAAGGAAGAAGAAGTTTTGGGACAGAATTTGAAGTGAGCTCGCGATATTATACCCTTGAACAGGTTGGCTGTCGCTGACACGCTGAAGCTATCCCCACTTGCGACTGCGGGCGAACTGTCCAATCGTTCACGTTATTTGGGTGGTGAGATTCCGTTGCGAGGGCAACCGGCGAGGCGATGGATGCCTGTAGATCCTTGGAGATATGAACAGAACAGGCGCATCCATGTTCAGATTTTGAACAGTGGTGCTGTTTATGGATAACCAGGTTGACCTCAACAGACTTGTGAACAGGTCCACAGTGGTTGGAGGCTATTCAGATTCGACGCGGGCAGCGGAGCAATCCATGTTTTCGTGTGCTATTCGCTGAACAAGGTCACGGACATATTGGCACGGGAAAGTCACATCATGAAGAAGAGAACGAAGGGAAAGAAGGTCTTGGAGATAGGCATAACAATTTACATTGTAGCTCACCCAGCACATAGCGCGGAGAGAGAGGTATGGCAGTCTTTGGCATGATATAGATGTACAGCTTGCACCGAAATGGTACAGCGGGCCAGCGGTGGTAAAAAACGGTGATGACATGACAAACTGTAGGACCTTTCAGTCAATAGACCACAGGTAAGGATGATGAGACATTCTAATTAGAAGCTTTTATGCTCAAATTGTTATCCTCGAGCGCCGCTCAATGTTAGATAGGTACCTCTAGCAGTGCAAATCACAATGATACTATGATATTACGATCAGATCATAGTCACTAGTGGGTCGCAGAGGAGTTCATCACGTTATAGCTTCCTATTTTCTACCGACTTCTTCACCTTCTCATACCTCTTCTCTATGCTCATACGACTTCTCTCATCTCTGACTCCTGTCCTTCAACCCTGACGTGGCAATCTCCTGACCAATTTCCTTCAACCATGACCCTTTCTCATGCTGTATCACTCTTTACAATCAAGACTCCTCTTATTCTTCCTCCTCGGTGATATTGGTAAGCCCCCAACTGTTTGTAGCCGACTTCTCCCCAATTACATCGACTAGCCCGTAGCAAATCTCCAGCCTCCGGCGGTGGAGCAGATCCATCTCGTCCTCTATCAGACGGCGGTACTTTCCCTCGTACTCAAAGTACCATCTGTCATCGTTTCCCAAGGCGTACTTCCTGTCGGTGAAGGCTGGGTGCTTGAACGATTCTACGATGCCCCAGCCTCTGCCCAGCTCGTATCGTCTCTTCCAGCGGAGAAGTTCTGACCAGTCCTCCTCCTCCTCATCTTCGCCTTCCCCTTCAGCGGCATCTTCATTCTTTTCGGGACCCTCTAGGATCTCCAGGCCTTTGGATTCCTAATCCGCGGGTTTGGGAGTCCAGATAGGATTGAGATATCGAGGACGATCTTCTGTCTCGTTGACTTCCGCCTTGTCGTTTCCCGGTTCATTGTTCTGCGAGGCGGCTGTACCAATCGTGTTGACCTCGCCGATCCAGTGCACAAACTCCTCGTACTCGTCCTCCACCATCAGCCGCACGTTCTTGCTGTCCTCGAGGATGTACCAAAATCCACAGTTGAGCTTGGCATACTCGGTGACGTATCCGGGGCGCGTGAGGATGGTCATGATCCATAGGTCGTCGAGGTCCTCTTGAGCGAAGTTGAGGGCAGCGTAGTCGTAGAGGCCGGAAAAGGGGGGCAGCGACGCAACGGTGGGGATGTCGCCTTCGGATTGGAGAGCCGGCTGGGTGTCGTCTGCGTTTTCGGGGTAGACTTCGCTTGGCTCCGTTATGATGATCTCGGGGATGATGGGATGGTGGAGCTTTTCATCGTGACTTGATTGCTCCGTGGAATCACCGGGCGAGTAGATCGTGTTTGGCGTGCTGATAGCGCTGTGCACCGTCTCCGTTTCAGCGGTTGGTAGGGTATCATCCGAGCTGTTGCTCCTGCGAAAAGTCAGTACCGGTATGTCGGAAATGAGGAAATATTTGAAGGACTTACTTGATGGAGAGCTGGCGCATGCACGTGGAAAAATCCGAGTCCGCATTAGACAGAAGGCACGTGTCGGTTGCAACTTCTGTGGGGTTGTGGGGGATGTCTACTCTGGTCGCATCGACATCAATGCCCTTCTTCGAACCAAGCATAACCTTCGCATTGTCAGTCGAAGCCTTGATGTTCTCGGCAGTCTTTTCGAGCCGACCCAAGGTCTTTGTGTTTCTCTTGATCTGACGATTAACCCTCTCTACCGGACTAGGCACGCCCCACATCCTGTCCGGGGCGAGAAAGCGCTCAAACTTGTTGTAATGGGAGCTGGATGCAGATGCGCCCAAGTCATCCACCATCTTCTGGGCAAGATTGATCTCGAGAACAGGTGTCGCCGGGAGGGCATGGTGGTAGGAATGCAGTTCTTCCACTTCGGTTTTGGTGACTTCAAGGGTAGGATCGTCATTGGCGATGACGTCGACAGGAAGCGCGGTTTCGACTTCTTGAATGCTTGTGGCGTTGGTAGTGTCAGTATGGTGAGTGTCCGCCTCTTGGGTTGCATTGAGAGCGCCAGCGAGTTCAATGTTATGAGTTCCTTCGATGGCGGTGTCATGAATGGAAGTGATGTCTTTCTCCTCGGATACTCCAATGACCTAAATAGAGTCAGTATGACATCCACAAACGATGGCGACGAGGAATCATGCTTACCTTCTCGGCCGTAGAGGAACCTTCAAGAATGGTAACGACAGGGACTGATACTGTAATGTCGGGATTGATGGTGAGGGGCGCAGTGACTTCTTCGGACGCCTCGAAGGCGGAGATCACTTCAGGCCCCTTGGTGGCTTGGACGGCGGCATTACCAGGGAGAATTGTGCGAGACTTCTTTCTCCTTCTCTTGTCGGGAATCTAAACGAGATTAGTATTTCAAGCATTTGATGATGAGAGTACGGAGGGGATGCTTACCTTGTTCGATTTGGTGATGCGGCTGGAACCATGATTCATCAACGTGAGGACAGTGAAGGTAGCATCAGCGACGTCAATGATGTCCGCGATGGTCGGTAGAAAAAGTCGGCAGGCGTGAGAGCCCAAGTGCCAAAGAGATAAGGTAGTCATGCTGGCGATGTTAAAATGAGAGAGTGAGATGACGTTAGAGTTGAGTTGTGATGCTCGAGGATGCGTGTCAATAGATGACGGTGCAGTTCGGAATCCTGAATTTGGATGAGGAAGAAGGATTTCGGGACAGGATTGAGAATTGCTGCGCCCAATATATACCCCTCCAACAGGTTGACTGTCGCTGCGACCATGAAGCCATTGGCGACTCTCAACCTTGGTGAACTGTGCTTGTCTGTTCACATCTTGATGGGGTTTATGCCCGTTACTCGGGTAACCGTTGATGAACGGCAGAGCTGGGCTCTGCGCAGTGATGCTGTTCATGGATGGCACATGATCACCTGAGCAGTCTTCTGAACAATAGAACAGGGGCATCGAGGCTGTTCGAATATCATGGCGGCACTAGGTTACTGTTCAGGGAGAGCCGTAATTCTTGTACTCTACGGAATCATGACGGCGTGGACAGCACAGGCAGGCTCTGAACAGTGAGGTTGTCTTCGGGAGGGTGCTCGACCGACGTGAACAGTCTTGTGAGTTCAGGTATCTCTGGACATCCATATAATTCTAAGATACAGCCGACCGACCGTGTACAAGTAGAAGAGCGACATGGCGTAGGGTGAAAGGTACCTAGATGTGCAACAGAACGAGCAAGACATATACATATGCACTTATCATTCTCCCAGGACCTGTGGTTATGACCACCCATGTGAGACTTAAATACATGTCCTTCTAGCGGTGTCCCAACTTCAGATACATTGGGATCATGAGATAACTAAATACCGATCGGTAGTCCATGTTATGAACGCGTGAAGACACTCGTTGATCAAATGACAAGTTATCCCCCCTCCACAATATAGCATGGACGAATCTACATAGCGAAACATGGACACGGATGCTATCTCGTGAATTGTTTCATACATCCAGTAATGTGACAACAGGCGAGTGTAGTTGGGTTCTACAAGTAATTTTTGCGGATTTTGCATAATCGCTAATACCAGTCTCATTAGTAAAGGGTAGAGAGCATGGAAAGTGTCATTTGACAAAGCAAGGTCATCGTATCAGTCACTGCACGTATTGCGATAGTCACTTGGAAGTCAAATAATAGTAGCATCAGCAGTCAAATTGCTATGTAGACCGTTGTAACGAAGAAAAGTCCGCAATTATGACCATTCCTGACTCCAATCCCTTGCCATCTCCCTCCTTCAAACATATCCCTCCTTCCAGTGACCCCTAACTGTTCTTCGTTCATCTCTTCTCTCACCATAGTGAATACTCCTCCTCCTGTTCCTCAACCTCCTCAATGGTGTACAAGCCCCACTTGTCCCATTTCTTCACCTCGTACTCCTCCGCCGCCTCTTCGGCCAAGTCTTCTTCGTCCTCCTCACAGATGGCGTCCAGATTTGGAGCCTTCCACTTGCTCATCCTTCCCTTGGGTCTCTCCAACTGCTCGATAGGCTCATGCAGAGCATTGTTGTCCCCGTCCCTCCATCGGTGGAAGCGGTCGAGCTCGTCATCGTCCAGAGGACAAAACATGCCATCAATCAGCCAATAAACGGCATCGTCGTTGCCGATGGCGAATTGTTTGTTGCCATCGGGGTGGTCGATGAGTCCGACGATGTTCAAGTTGGGGCCAATGTACTTGGCTTCCTCCCACTGTTCGAGCTCGGATAGTTCTTGGGAGTTGTCAGGATAATTGTCGTTGATGGGTTCGTCGGCGTAGGTAAGTAGCTCGATGCCCTTGACATCCTGGCTGGTAGACTCCTCCTGCTCGAGTCTCTCGTTGTCGTGGAGCCAGAAGACGAATTCGTCGTATTCGCCTTCAGTCATTGGCTTGGCAGTTGTGGTGTCCTCGTTGAGGTAGTGCCAGTAGCCGTTTGTGAGAAGGACGTATTTAACTCCGAGCTCAGGACGATCTTGAAGATCCAAAACTTGCGATTCCTAGTCGACAATGTTGATGGTCTTCGTCTCATTCTGGCTGGAGCTGTCTTCGGCGTGGTCGACGGAGCTGGTCTCGTCAATCTCCTCCGCGAGGAACTCGTTGCCCTCTTCGTCGGTAACGAGGACAATGGGAGGGGGAGCCTTGGACTTTTCTTTCTCTTCCGTAAAGCTAGCGAACCAAGCCAGCAGGTCCTCATATTCTGATTGACTCATCATCACAGGGTTTTCGTCTTCATCCAAGCGGTACCAGAAGCCGCATGTTAACTGGGTGTAGCTGACCTTGGTGTCCGGGCGCTCGATCACAATGATGGTGTCTAGATTGGCCATCTCCTCGGCCGACAAGTGGGAGAAGTCGTACCACTTGGAGGGGGAATTGTCGACCGGAGAAAGGGTGGTCGCATCGTCTTCATGGTTCTGAGAGTGTTCGAACTTCTTATTACCAACAGGGGTAATCTGGCTGGCGGCTTCAACATTGGGGGCTGAGTAATTGGTGTCGGGAGTACCAGGGCCAGTTGAAGGCGACTCGCTGTTAGCAGTCTTCCTGCTTTCAGTGGAGAAATTGGTCCTGTAATAAGTTAGCGATTTTCCATTGTAGAGGAGGGATTCTTGTAGGGTCACTAACGCAGTAGAATCCTTGCGAGTATGGTTGAGAATGACTTCTTCAGCCTTAGGAGCAGCGTCGCTTGAGGCTGTGCTCTTTTCCTCATTGACAAGCATAGCCGTGTTGGTGTTACTCAGAATGGGCGAGGCAATGACCGTCGCTTGCCTGGACGGAACCTCAACCACCTCGATAATGTCGGCAGCTGGAAACGAATGGCGGTAAGAACGAACTGCCCTATGCTCGGGGGCAATCTCAACAATTTCCACGATGTCAGCAGCGGGGAAGGAGTGGCGGTACGAGCGGACCCCATTCGATGACTTGATAGCGGGCTTCTTGGTTTCGACGATGGGAGTAGCCTGAGTCGAAATAACAATCTCAGGAGCGTTTTCGAGCTGAGTGGGGCAGGCTTCCTTAGTGTCAGGGACGATCTCCGTGCTGTCGGCGCCTTGCATGGCTATGTTGTCGTCGGCAATTTCGACGTCTTTGCTGGGTTTGACATCTTCGGGGGCGACAGCGAGCTCGGTGGTATGAGAAGCGCTTTCATCGGCGATAATGTCGGTAGCATCAGCGCTAGGAGAAGTGGTAGACATGTTGTTCTTGGGCAATTCAGCATCTTGACCAGCCTGGGTAAGGTGGTCAGCATCGATGTCGTCAGCAGAGGCCTTGTGAGTGAGCAGACATACCTTGTCATCAACGGGATGACACTCATGATCGTCGTCGGCCTGCGAGGGCAGGACAGTGTTGAGGATCATCTTGACCGACAGCGCGGCGAGCGACGCAATGGCGATAGCCTTGACAACGTTGCTAGTCGGGAAGGTGAGAGAGCGAGGGGCAAAGCCCAAAGAGAAGAAAGGGAAAGACATTTTGTCGAGAATGGTTGCCAAGATGGAATATGTTGAGGAGTGATGAGGTGTTGTAAGAGTTTGGGTTGAGATCGCTTGAGTGCAAAGTTGCATGAAGTGATGCTTGTCCGAAAATTGGATGCAGCAGGAAGAAATTCGGGGACAGATTCCGGGTGAGGGGAGGAATTTTTATACCTCCAGTTCTGGACCTCAGGTTGACTGTCGCTTGTAACATTGGACCTGTTGTTGACATGGTGATCGATGAACAGAATGGTTTCTACGTATAGTAAGCACTGAACAGATGTTGTGTTGGTGATAGTTTGGTGGTGGTGACACCCAAGGACGTCGGTCTGTGCGTCCAGCGACTGTGGATGTACATATTGGTCCTTGTAGGTTTGTTAGCGCGGTTCTTGCCCCACATAACTTGACAGGGGGGGACACGTCTATCTACGCGATCTGATTGACTGAAATCGCCTGATCTCAAGGTGAGAATCTGGGATTCCAGCTGCCACACACAAACCTCCCCCTTTATACCTCTACTGGCTCAGAATTACTAAAGTCACTAAAATAAATCCCTTCCACCCTCTATATTCGGTATTATTGTAGGGCGTTTATAGGGCATTTGCAGCCGTTGCATTCCTCGTCTTCCCCCTGTCCAAAACCCCTGTGTGTAGGTACCAAGCTAACGAACCTACCAGGACTGAAGTGTATTACATGTGATTGGTCAGTTCCGCCCATGTCGTCCGAACAGGGCAAGTGTCCACAGACCAGTTTGCTGAACATCGTCCGAACTGCTATCTGAACAGCCATCTGAACAGTGTCGACGATGCTCGTTTTCTCTGAACAGCCCCAAGATATTCGGCACGCCAGCTCGCAATTGTAGCCAGAGTAATCTGATCTTCGGGGAGTTCTGTGGGTTCCATGCCAAGACGCGACTGTGCAAGCTTTGGAGTGAATGTCAGGTCCGATGGTACCGCTGTCGGCGGCTGCCAAGGCCGCCTTTGGCGCTTGTCCCGAGTGTTCGCGGCACAGCAACGACAAAGAGGGGCCCGAGTTCATGGGATAAGTACACTACCCACTCTTGACTGCACTGAGTCGCATCTTTCGGAGGATCAGGTAATGCCGATCACAGTCTGTTCACCGGGCCCGGCCGTCCCGAGGATGCGAGTTTCCATATCACTGCCCCGGACCCGGATGTGGCTTCGGTGTCTCCTGTGTCATCCGCGGCATCGGCGATATTGGCTGCAAGTACATTGAATGGGGAGGTATCGGTTGAGGAGCCATTGAATGCAGTGGCATCGTATAAAGTAGCAGCTAAGGGAAAACTGTACATGACTTCGCGATAGGCTTGAGAAACCGGAATGGATGTTTATTTTCCTCGACGCTCTACCGCTGACTGGTTCTTGCGAAGCTAACTCGCCCTGCCGCATGACTGGGAAATCAGGACAACCGAGATCAGGCCATTAGTCCGAGCCAGGACCTTGCAAATTGAGTATTTCTTTAGAAATACAATCTTGTCGTAATTAAAGAATCACAATTAGCTGAGTCAACCCGTTGAAACATTGTCCATGAAATATGATAATGCGGCGACCATATCTTCAGTCAAGTCCTGCCGAGTAGTTCGCAAGAGACGCCCCATTTTCTCGTAAACTAGGTTGGACATGATTAATCCACTAGACGAGTCAGAACATGTTCGCAAAGGGAGGAGATCACCTCTCTAAAAGGGGACTTACTCGAAAATCACATCAGCTGTCGGGCCACTGCTAGTGACGCCTCGGAGCAAATGTGAAATTCTTTGCATCTCCAGCTTGACATCGAGGGCATATTGTATCGTCATCTCGACGAGTCTCCTGACACCATTTGTGTACGCGGTGTTGTCGACGGGGGTATCTCCCTTGTCTAGCCCGAGCGTCTCCCTGACCTTAGCCTCAAAAATCTTCTTCTCTTCCCGTTTCTGAATCACAATCTTATAGATCTTAGTGATGATGGCGTGCTCAAGAAACAGACGCCCCGGGGATGGAGTACGCGGTCGAGGAAAGGGCGAACAATCGTCCAACAAATACCACTCCAATAATGTGCTGTAGACGCTCGTAGTGAAAGCCCCAGCCTCATTGATGATATGGAGCTGAAACAAGACAAACCTCAAATCACCCAGTAGCGGAGAGTAGAGCTGTTTGGCTAATAGATTGGTTCGTGCGTCGAACCAATCCATACGGACGGGTTTGTGGACCCTGATATCGGCCTGCTCGTTAAGTGTCTCGGGTGCGGCTCCTTCTCGGCCAACTTTACTTGGGTTGTTGGCCATGGTGATAGTGGGAAACCGGTCGAGTGGTATGGACGGGCAGCCGATGTGTGCAGTTGGAAAGACTTCTGCGATTGAAGGCGAAAAGAGCAAAGGATAATTGAGCCGTAACCCAGGATGGAAGAAAAGAACAAAGAAGGGGAGAATGGGGCAGATTAGAGGAGGGGAAACGGTGTCCACGGTCAACAAGACCTACAGATGTGTCTGAAGAAAGTTCAGGTAAGTTTTAATCACGAAGCGATGAGCTGGAATGATGTGGGAAATGATTGATTGATGGCATGATTGCAGAGAAGAGAATTGGCGGGCCAGGCCAGGTTCAAGTACTTCTTCTGATTTGGAATGATGTTGGTGGGATGCTCTTTCCAAGTTTTTCATGCCACATATCTTGGAGAGGAGTTAACCAATGCATAACAGACAAGGAGAGGGTGACGGAGATATCGGATAACCTACGATAGGTATGTGTTAAGGTGCATGAGTTGCATGTTGATTAACAATCCAGTCATGTGAAAAGAACAGCATGCACCTGCAAGCGTGCCGAGAGGATGATATATTGACCAAGTATTGATGATTGAGCTGGTAGAACAGGGACAGGAACGATTACATCGACAAACTCGACCCTAACTTTCAAGGAAATAGACAGCCGTCGACACGACTCCAACTTTTTTTCGACATGCATACATGACATTGAACCCTTCCTCAAGGACAGTATCCCAACCCTGAACACCCCCACTCCAATTACCAAATGGCAGCCAGCATCCTGTTCCGCTCCTCGGCAACCTCTCTCTCCCATGGCAAGGCCTCGTAGTCGACGGAATCATCCAGCCAACAAACATCCCCCTCCGGTGTGACCAGCTTCAGCTCCGGCGCCTCCGGGGCACCCCAAGCAGAATAGTACTCAGGCTTTGACCAGCCGTCCTCGGGAAATACTACCCAGTTGCATCTGGCCAGAGAATACGTTCGTTCCGAGTGGCGCACCCACATGTCGATGTGATCGGTTTTATCGACAAAGCTGTGGTGAGTCCAGTCGCTGTTTGCCAGGCGATGGGAATGCCAGCCAGCGAGCGGGTGGCCGCTATCTTCTGAAGTGTTGTTCGCCTCGGTCTGGGAGTTGTCTTCCTCGTTGTAGGTGTCAATGTCGTTCTGGGCCCAGTCATCTTGGGGCCAAGCGTCCTGTGACCAATCGTCTCCATTGGGAGGAAGGTCTTCAACATCTTCCATTATATTTATGGGCGAGTCATACTCATCGCCGGTCAGAGCATCGAAATACTCGTGGTAGGAATCGTCGTCCGAGTCTCCAATAATGTCTGTGGTCTCAGACGAAGTGGGCCGAAGACAGTAGACCGACGGAACCTGGACCTCAGGTCTGGATGTACACTTCTCCAGTTCAGGAGAGAACTGTGTCGCAACCGATCAGCTCTGAACTGCGACAATGAGTAAGGTAAGAAGAAATACATACCATCGATAAATGGATGTTTGGGTCCATTGATTCGAGGATGCGATAGGTATAACACATCTTTTTCGTTGTATGTAATCCGAATAGGAGTGGTGGTTGTAGTGGTGTTCTGGAGTAGTCGCTATATAGAAAACCAGCGCAAACGAGTCGAATTAGAACGGAAGAAAGGGAAACACCAAAAAGTCCATCGCGGCCGAAATTAAATAGGTGGTGCGCGGGGCCACCCAGGTCCGCACGACACTTCACTACCTCTAGGCATTTGCCACCTGACACTTGCCATCGGGCTGTCGGACAGATGCCAGAGACCATTCACGAGCAGAGAAACCTGGGGGTATTGCCATTCACGAGCACCAGAAGCTGGAGGTACGCTTAGCAACCGTCGAGTGAATGACACCTCTGTCTGATAAGATAACTGCCCCGCCGTGGGACGGGAAATCTGCTTCACCTTGGCCAAGCAAAGGGAATCGGCTCTATTTGGGGGTAGTCATTTCCGATACTTCATCTTGAGACGTAGGCATTGCTGGGATGTCATTGTCGTTGCATGGTGGTGGTGCACTTGGGCATATGGTCCGTCTACTGCCATGACAGTCAGAAGTGAAATAGTTCGAGAGAAGCCTCTTTACGCAGTCAGCAGGAAATGTATGGCAAATAAAGAACAAGTGATATCATAGAGACAGGCCGCTTGGATCAAAGATAAATACAAGGAAGAGAAGAAAAAGATTATACTAACAAGAAAGCTATAATTGATTGTGCTTGTGCACGTAAAAGCATCCGTCCGTAACCCTTGTTCTCCGCTGATGAACCCCTAAAGTGCCCGACAAAAGACCTGAAAGTCTCCTACTTCTTTCCTCCATGCTCGATGTCAGTCTCTGATAAGGTATCCTTACGAACCGCTGCTGCTCAATCCGTAGACATAGACCACAATACCATAGAGCCATCAATATCTCCGCTTCGATCCGTCCCTCACAACCCAGTCTGCCATGCCCGCCCTCACACCTATCCTCTTGTCCCCCTTCAATCCCCCCTTCGTACCCGCGACAACGCCCCCTGCATCGAAAACCGCATATCCTCCAGCGAGTAATGCCTCCCCTCCGGATCCGTCAACACCAACCTCGGCACCCGCCCATCCACCGCATCAGGCATCAAAACATTAATTTCAGGTTCCCGATACCGCACCCACTTGCACTGCTGGAGTTTCCGTCGAGGCGTTCCGGTCGAGTTTCGTTGGTTTGCCCTGGTGTTCAGCAGTCCCCTATGGTCAACGACACTGAGCTCGTCCCAGGTCTTATGCGACGTACGCTGGCGGATACGACGACGGGGCGTCTGTGTCTTGGGCCTTTTTTCGATACTCTCTTCCGCCTTGGGTTTCTCCTTCTCCATGTCCTTGTCGGTCAACTCCATGTCGAGCACGCCTCCAACGGAAGAGTTGGACACCTCGGGCTCCTAACCCGGGGTGCGGGCAACTCTGCTGTTGTAGACGGCCATCTGTATGGGGGAGGTAAGGCGGAGTCGAATCTTGGATGGGGTCGGGGTGTCGGCCTGGACGTCGACGTTTTCAGGTATGGTGGTCTTGCGAGGCGGGGTGGGAGTGTTGAAAGAGATGCCTTTGGCTGTAGCAGGAGGGCTGAAAGAAAAGTGAGTTAGCGGTCGCTTCTTCACACACAAAGGAGGGCGACTTTGAGGGCCGAAATACCTTCTGATGAGACGCTTCTTAGGGCTTGGGCTGTGAAGCACGTCAAAGAGAGATGTGGCGACCGATTCCTCCCACTTCCTCTTCTTAGGGCTGCCAGAAACGAGTTGGTTGTCGGTCGGCGAAGAAGTGATGCCAATAACAAAGTGAGATTGGAGCGTGACACAATCGAGGATCATCTCATCGTCAGAATTGGCAGTCGGGGGGTTTTTGTCCGTTGACACTTTGCTCTCATCCGACTTTGATGCGCTCACGTCCGCGCCCACATGCGTCATTCTAGGGTCCTTGTTTTGCTTCTTTGTCGCGCTTGTATCGTCGTTTGTGCAATCCTTCTTTTCGCTCGTAGTGGAAGCACTGACAGGCTTGTCGCACTCAGAAGACTCAATGGATGACTCACTCCACGGGTCCTGATATGTGCTGACGTTCTCCGTAGGCGTCGGTTTGGTGGCTTCCCCTGCGCCAAAGATATTCCGAGCTGAAAGCAATGCCTGGGATCCGAGTACGCCGATAAAGGGTAGAAAGAAGTCCATTTCTGTCTACCGTGAGTGGTTTGTTCGAATGCGCGCTCGCAATATGGGTAGTCGTTGATGCTGGTTGTTCAAAAAAGTTGGCGTGCCGTGGTGTTGAAGGAAATGTGATTTTGTGACAAAGAAAGTAATGGCTGGTAACGAAGCTGAGTTGGGGGAGGAAACAGAAACATAACCTGTACTAAAAGAAAGTGCGATTGTAGAAAGTAAGCTGTGAGTGATGGGCGGGGTCACAGGCATGAAACCTTGACCGTCTATTTCCTGCGGCAGGCAACATAACCTGAAAGTTATCACAATACGAACGTTGAACTTGAATGGGAGGGATTTTATGAAACAGTGTGAAATGCACAATAGAAAGTGAATGCGGGAATACAAATACCACGCCGATGTCTTCTTGATTTCTTTATGGCCCTCAAAGGCTGGATCGTGGGAGTCTCAATAACAGCTCGCTTCATTTTCAGGCACTCATGTATGGTTCGACAAATGCCATGAGGTTTAGCAGATCGTAGTCATACAAAAACATCATAGTCACAATGATATAGCCACTCTCCCTTGAAGTAACGTATAGTCAGCCTTTTGTATCTCTAGTTGCCTCGAATCTAGTGATCCTTCCATTCATGCTGCCAATGGTAAACTCATCGGGCACTTTTGGGCGAGATTTCCAATTTCCCTCACCGTCGACTTCCATGACTAGTCCCATAGTCATGACTCGGTGGGATCGCGCAATGAGAAGTTGCCCCCCTCTGGACTCGTCAAGACCAGGCCTGGGACTTCCACATTCCCCGAAAGCTGCTCAATGGGCCTCTCCTCCGGCACCGGAATCCATGTGCAGCGATGTCGTAACTTGTGCCCTCTCCTGTCATCGTTTTTGCCCCAGGCACTCAGCAGACCATTTCTTGCCACGAACTGATGTTCATGCCATTTCATTTCCTGGGGTCTCTTCCGGCGCGAGCTGCCTTTTTTTGTATTCTCGCCTTTGATGCCCTTCTTGCCCTCAACGCTTCCCCTTCCATCTTCGCTGGCTTGGCCCTTTTGGTCCTCCTTACCTTGTTGAAGAATGAGAATCTTTGTAACTTGCTTTTCCATCTCCTTCAGCCTTGCGAGAACCTTTTTGACCTCTCGGTTGTAGTCTTCGAGGGTGTCGGCTTTGAATAAAGACGTCGAGCCAGTAAGGCACTGGCGAATTGATTCTGCCTGCTTCCGCTGACCCTCACCCGAATCAATGACTGGCGCGTTACTCAAGCCAACGGCTTCGACATGCTGCTGACCGTTCAGTTGGCGGGCCTTCGACGCATACCTCAATCTGTACCAGTGTCCGTTATCCAACAGGACGTACTTGCTCCCATTTTTCGACGGTTCGAAAACGCGAACCACTTTGGGTCCGCAGTTATGAGGACGTTTAACGAAGTTATGGGTAGTCGACGCACTTTGTTGGCCTGCTGATGGAATCTTCGTGATCTGAACACCTTCCGGGTGTTTGACGTACGGCTTCGGGCATGCGCTAACGGGAGTATTGGGCGCGGTCATTTTCGATGATTCTATGCTTGATGTCGAGGTAGTTTTCGTCTTCTTTCTTTCGATTTTGCCACAAGACAGTTAGGGTGGGTTGCATGTAACCGGGGGGGAGAGAGGGGCTCAAGGTGAACTACCTCTCCGCAAGGCGCTTTTTAGAGCCTTCTCCGGCCAGTTGATCGGGCTGGGTTGTATTTGCGGCCGCAAGTATTTTGTCGGATTTCAAGCACGCGCTCGCCTTGCCGTTCGTGCTGTGTTCGACGTCGCTCGTCGCTCGTCGCGGCGAGGTCGGTGTCCGCGAGGACTTTGGCGTTGTTAATCTCGGCCAGAAGCGCCGTTCAGCTCCTGCACTTGTTCCAATCTAGCGTATGGAACAGTATTGATCTTGGAAGGCGAAGTGAATAACCAGCGTGCTGTCGGATATGGGACGTCGTCGAAATGGGTCGTGCGATCGATTACGCGGGATCAGGATGTTGGAGGAAGATTATCGTAAAGGCGACAAGGTAAGAAGACCGATATTGGTGTTTCTTTAATAATATAATAATAATAATAAAAGAAAGGTTCAACCATATCTGGGAGAGATTTGAACCTTCAAAGCGCACGTAACGTGTAGGATCATGGATGGGAAGGAAGTAGTAAGTGAATGCGATGGGGGGCAATTGCCGGGCCGCAGCCTCAGCCGCCGGATTGAAGCAAGCAACACAACGGAACTCGTAGGTGACGAATGGTAGCAAAACCTGGATGTCTTGTTGTCATCTAATTACTCACCAAGCGACTGCACTTCTTTTTGTTTGTTCAGGTTCAGGTCGAATTCGTACAATGCAAATAGATGCAGAGCATCGTATGGGCACGTCAAGTGCCCATCTTGTTTAAAGTCAAGGCAAGCCTGCGACATGGACGAAGGGAACAGAAGTGAGCGAACCATAATGTGCTCGTTTAATCCACTTTGAGTAGCTTGATGCCAGCTATAGAACTATCTTCTTTCACAAAAGTAACGAGCAATGAGAGAAGATCTTGTCACCTTGTATGACTTGCCCCCGTGGTACCTCAACTAGAAATCTTCTTGCTCGGCCTTTACAATCGAAAGATCACCCGAGTTCCTGTAAGTTGTGTCCTATCTCCAACTTTCCCGCATCCTCCTTGCCATGGCCTTTCAAGAGCACTGGATGACCTGATCTGACCGTTACCGGAATCGTGCAACCGGCGCCCGTTTCCTTTCCTTGTGCCGATTCCTGTCATGACCTTTGCTCCAACCATAAACCAATGCGCGTACTACCAGATTCCCATTGTCTATTCATAGTCCAAAGGGTCGTGTAAGGAGTAAGACTCTCCTTCTGGGCTCGTCAATGTCAGATCTGGTACCGATGAGTTGTTGAGGGTTGGCAAAGCAGGTACACGTAACCAGTTGCATTGCCCCCGCAGCCTGCGTCCCTCTTCCTGACGTCTCCTTTTGCGAGTGTCGATGAAGCCGTTCTCATCGACCAGGCTATGGCTGGCCCAGGAGTTGTCCTTCTTCCTCGTCCGGCGCGATTGGCGCTCTTTGTGCTGTAAATCGCGCGGGCAAGTCTCTCTCGCCTCGCCAATGCTAGGCTCTCTCAAGAAATATAGATCATCAATGTCCTCTGTCGTAAATCTCTCCAGGTCTTCGTCACTCAAAACGTCGGAGAACCAGTCTCCGTCATCAGAATAATACGCTGTATCGACCGCATAGGCGTCGACTCCTGGATCAGGCACAGAGTCATCGTTGGACATGAGTGTGTTCACCCTCCAGCTGATGAAGTCGCTATACTCCTGGTCGGTCATCTCGCTGAGGCTCCCATCTTCCTCCAAGTGGTACCACAGACCATCGTCCAGGCGTGCGTATTCCAGTCCAGTTTGTGGTCTCTCGGCGATTTCGACCAGCTTGGGTTCCTAACCCGCAGCCTGGTCATCGCAACTGCTGTAGAGGAATGACGCTGCCTCTGTATTCCTGATCGTGAACTTCTTCGGTTTCGGAAAGGTGACGTTGGGCGACTCTTCGGTTTCACTGAAATACCTAGTGTCCGCAGTGTTGGGTCTGATGTCGGTCGACTGAGATAGCCCTAAGTTTGTAGGGATAATTGTTGTGGAGATACTGCCATGGCCATTTGTTAGATGTTGTGAATAGTCACTGATTGGGAGGTTCTTGGTGTAGATGACTCTTTACCTTGCACTTTCATGCCTGTAATAATCGGCACCAGGGCAGTCTCTGGGCCCAGCTAGTGTATCGCCATCCTTCTCGTCAGTGATTGATATGTTAGAAGCACAAGCTAGGATGTGCCTGCTGGAGGTCTTCTTCATGTGTGTATATATGTTATCATGGCTGTCTGCGTTCTCGGTTGTTTGTGCTTCGTCGGTTCCCATCTTCGCGTCCACGCTGTGGTCTGGATTGCGGTACTCGTCGGTAGTCACGGATTCAATATTATGTGCTGGTAGAGGCGCGCCAGCTTTGCTCCCCTCTTAATGAGCTGCGCCGGCGTCGGCCGTAGTGCACGCCGCGACTCTAGCGAAGTCGAAACTCTTCAGATCGATAATGGCGGGTGGCGAAAGTTGGATCGTGAATTAATTACTTGCGGAAAGTCGTATTGAGAACAAAAAAGCATCGAGTCAACGTTGTTGGAAAGTGTAGGTAGGTACGTGATGCGTCGGGTGGGGCTGCCGGAGCCGGCGCCGGAGCTTCGCCGCCTGGATCCCCGGGGCAGGCAACAAAGAGCCAGCCCGGCAGCAGCTCCTGACGTCACAGAAGTAGTCACCAGCTCTTGGTTCTTGAAGGATGGATCACGAACGTACCATCTTCTGGAATTAGACGATGAATTAAGCATCAATTGTCACTTGTGTTCACAGTTTAACAAAAACGGGAGAAGGAACGAAGTATCACGGCATGATCACTTCAAAATAGAGTATCGACATTCAATAGAATGAAGAGTTTAAAGTAACAAATCACAAGTAGTTCAGAGTTTATTCACGGATGGCAATGTATCAGAAAATCTTATGTGGCCAAAGAGTTTGTATGATTTGACTAACTCTCGACCTTTTTCCCATCCACCCCCCCATGATCCTAGCGTTTCCTACTCAGACACAAACGACCATCGTCAGCTTATCCTCATTCCATAATCCTACATTACGAGTCCATCATCACTTTCCTCATCCCTTCTTTGGCTCTCTTGGCCCCCTTCCTTCCCCACCCTGTCGACCCCTAGTTCTTGTACTTCTTGGGATCCTCCAAGAAGTACCGTCCTCCCTCCGGATCCGTCAGCACCAGGGACGGAATCGGCTGCTCCGCCCTATGAACAAACTCGCGGAGCGAGAAGGGCTTCTTCACCCAGGTGCACCGATGGCGCAACCTCTTCCTCATCTTCCCGAGCTTGTTCATTTTGGTATCCAGGCGGCCTTTTCCGTCGATCAAGGCATTGCTGGCCCACTTTCTGCTTTCAAGCTTTCTCTGTTCGCGGCGTGACAACCGCGGCTTGCTTGCGGATTCGTTGTCGGTCTTGCTGTGGATGCTTGACACGATCGTTCTCTTGACTTCAGGCACGGAAGCCTGGCTCTTGATGACTCTGACCGGCTCGGGCCCCTAACCCGTAGCGCGGTCATGTCCCTGGGAGTTGGCCAGCGTCACATGCTGTTTGATGTGTCTTTCGCTGCGGTTCGGGGACTCGACGAGGTTGTCTTGGTTGTTGTGCGCGGTCGTGGTTGTGTAGGTTGGGAGTGCGACCCGTGCATCCGTGGTCCAGATGGATTGCTTTGGCGTGGCTGGGCTGTGCAATTGTTAGCAATGGAAGTTTGAAATTTGAAGATAGAATAAAGTGCAAGCTTACCTGAAAGGACTAGCCGTCAACCAACTGGTTCTGTAGCCATCGCTAGGCCTGGTGGGAGTTGGAGAGATCTTCAGCTGCGACATGGAGCTGGTAAGGGGGTCGACGCGGTCATTTTGACCGAGGTTCGAGGTTTCGACAATGGAAGAGGTATTCTTGTTGTTCGTCTTCATGATTTCCTTGTCGAGGGTATTGTTGGTGATGGGAATGTTGATTGCGACTTGCTTGTAGGAGTCAGCCGGCTTGTTGGCTTGTGGAAAGCAGTCTCTGAGCGTTGCGCGACGGAACGGCTGCGCTTCTGTCTGTTGGTATGGGTGATGAATGGGTGTCTCGATAGTGGCCTCTTGCTGCTCGTTTGCGCGGGCCAGGGCGCGATGGTGCTGAAGAGCTCTAAACATGCTGAAATCGTCTTGATTGAATCGAGTTCTGCGGCAGCGCAAGTGGTTAGTCGGATACTAGATCAAGAGTGATGGGGTTGGGAGGCGCATTGAGGTGGGAATCTATACTTACAATTTTGTTTAGCGACAATGCCAGTCAATAGCGTCGACAGTGAGGTAGTCGTGGGGTTGGTCGAGGAGGGGTAGAGTATGTGGGTTGGATGATCGATGAGCGATGCGAAGTCTTTGTGCAGGTGTGCAGAAGAGTCGGTGCAGGTGCGGGTGCAAATTGAGATCCTCGTTGTGAGATGGGGGAGGAAGAAAATTTGGAGAGGGGAAGTTGGAGTGGCTCGACATTTATATCCTCCTCCGGACGAGAGGCGACTGGCGATGAATTCCTGGCGACATGGGACGATTTAGGTGCGACATTAGATGAACACCAAACGACAGAACTGGACTTGTCAACTGTTCGGGTCCGAACAGTCTTGAGGATTCTGAACAGCCATGAACAACCTTGAAATTTGAATAACAGCCAGTCCACGACAATTGCTCAGCCATGGCTGTTCAGAGTTCAGTGCCTCACACTCTGCTACCGCTGTTCACATTCAGCCGACCAAATCTGACCTGTTGCAATGTTCAATAACGTGAACAGCCAGGCTGGGTGCAGCTGTCCAGAGAAGTGCAAGTCAGGCAAAGCATCCACAGAAGCCTTTCGGTGGCACTACTCTACATCTTCGTGAAGATTCCGAGACTGGCTTCAAGTAGGTAGCTTCTGAACATGGAACTCAAGAGAAAGAGTAACAGAATGATGTACTAGCGAGTTACTCGAGAGATTTGAGGACATCAATTAGGAGACGGGATAGGTTAACTGGAAGATGATCGATAAATTCGCGTGGGTCCCGTCCTTTCAGCTCCCTTTCGTCCTTCCTTCCCCGACTGGGCTCTACCTGTACGTCCTTCCCCGTCCCTGGCCCGGCCACCTCAGCACTACTCCTCAATTTCCTGAACAGTTCCCAAATCCTCCACCCTCGACCTCCATGCACATTGCTGTACTACGCTCATGAACCGCTTTGTCTTTCTCTCCATGTTTCGTTTCGACTCGGACTCGAACTCCTCCAAACCCTCGATGGAAGAATCATCATCGTCCTTCATGGCGTCGTCTGACTTGTTGACGACATGGCTCGCAACCGGGTTTCGGTCACATTTAGGAAACCGCAGGTGCTTTGCGCGCGCCCTGAAAATGTTTGGGCGACGCGGGGGATAATATATTCCCACAGGCTCGGTGCTTGCAACGGATTTTGAGGTTGGTTCTATGTCGGGTTCGTTGCCCTCGACGTGGCTGATGTGACGAGTGATGGAGATGGATGTTGGCATTGTCTGGCTGGGAGTGACCTCTTTACGCTGAGACAGAGCCGAGTTCGAGATGTCACTCGGCGTTTGGGGACTGCTGGCATGGGTGCCTAGAGTGCCGGATCGGTTCTTGGCTGGAGACCTTTCGGTGCAAGGGGACGGATCCTCGACGACGGTGCTAGACACGACGGTATGGGTTAGCATATGGTGGGGGTTTACATCAGCAAGCGGCTCTTCCGAACGTCTCACCTTTCCGTACCAGCCCCGTTACTGAAATGGAAGCCAGCGACATCGTTTGCCAGTCTGTCGGTGGATGAGCCGTCTGCTGCCATATCATGCTCGTTATGGGTAGATAGTTGTACGAGTTTGTCATGGTTGACAAGAATTGCCTTATTTTCTTCGTTAGCTTGAGCTCCCACGCTGAGCTTATGGGTATCCGCTCTTACTGGAGCTTCTTCGGCAGCGGCTAGGAGGCCAGAACTGGCTGGAACCTCGCCGTCCGAGTTGAGAACAGCCGGGGATGTCATGATTGAGACACTAATGTGGGTGGATGAAGGAAGGGTGTCGATGATTGCGCTTGGTGCAGAGCAACAAAAAATAGGCGCACAAAGAAATTATTTACTGGTCTTTTGGACAGTTCAGAAAAGTAAACCTGTGACGGTGAACTAGCCATCTGTTCAAATCCGGAGGTGAACAGCCCTGAAGACGGGATGCACATGGTGAACAGTCTTAAGGATGATGAACAGCCATGAACAACCCTGATACTCAAGGTACAGCCCGCTGCCGTCGGTCGCCCAATCTTCTCTGTTCAAACCTTGAAAGCGACTGTCGGAAATTCTAGTTCGTTCAACCCAGCGAGTTCAGTTCTGTTCACATCCAGCCGCCCGACTCCCTTCCTGTTAGTCTGTCGCCAAGATCCTCTGTCGCGAACATTATGGTTGCAGCTGACCCCAGCTGTCGCACATCAGTCTATCGACTGGCGCTCTTCATGTGGTATCGCTGAGGCAACTGGCTTGTAGATTAAACTCGGATCCTGCTCAGCCTAGTTCCCTGATGCCACTGAAGCGACATAGTTAAGTGATGACACAATGTCCATTGTTCTTGTGCCCTTTGTTGTCAAATGCGTCTTCTCGGTGGAAGTGGTCAAAGACCAATATATTATCACAATAATGAACAAAGGGAGCGAGGGGGTAACAAGTAGAGAAAACATAGTAAAGAATAAGTTACTGGATGACAGGGGAGGCTGTATTGCACCACGAGTGGTATCAGAGTTGGTAAACTCGAAGTCCGATCGATCTTCAGGAAAAAGCCGCGGAAGTGGGCCCGTGAGTATTTTATCCATGTAGGTAAGTATGCGTTGATAGCTCCTTCCTGTTCTTCGTTCATCTGCGACTTCCCCCATCTTGTGTCCATCCGCCAGATGCCATTTTCTGTCTCGTACAATGAGATCACGGCCAAAGAAAACCAGAGGCTGATTGGATTGAGATGGGAACAGACATGGAGTAGGTAGGTCAATTCAAGGTATGCGTATGAGGGACTACATACTAGTTGATCAGATGCAAGAAGAACTCCATAAAAATTGACATAGTACCTCGCAAGTGACGTCCCGCACACCTTCGCCAACCGCCGAAACCCTTGATTTGCTGAATTAGCCGTTTCCCGGAGACTTGATCATCAAGCAACCCTTATTCCATTACTGTACCCATCCGATCCTCGCTGTCCTTTTCAAGTGACCTTCCGTGACTAAGCCGCCTCCTACTCCTTTCCTTAGACTCGCCCCCACTGGCAGCCGTTACATGTACGGACTAAACCGCTAATCGTCAAGCGCAAAAGCCTCGCCCAAATCCTCCACGACACGGGGCCGCCAGGAATACTGGCTCACCATGCCAAGAAATTTCGCCGTCTTTTTCTCCATTACCTCCCTGTTCTCCGACTGGAACTCTTGAAGTTCTTCTAGCGTAAGCCCGTCCCCGTCCTTCGCAACGTCCTCAGTTGCGTGGGGTGCCAAAGACGCAAGCACCTCTGGGCGCCAACGAACGTTGCGCCGAGGAGCGCGTTTGTTGAAAATGTTGGGTCGGCGCGGAGGATAGATTGTGGGAACGGGTTCAGTGCTTGTTAGAGCCGTGGTGTTTGACTCGTTGGCTACCTCTATCTTGGTCGATGACTTGGTGGATGAGGTGGTAGACAGGTGTGGTTGTGGAAGACTACTCGGGACAACGAGGTTAGAGGGAGGAACTTCTAACCAAGCAGTAAGGGGTTTCATAAGGTATGGTGCACTTACACTTCTTCTGCAGGTGCAATGTAAAAAGAGCTAGCAGTCTCACTTTGCTGTATACCAACCGGTTTGCTGTCTGACATCAAAGCTTTGTCGTCATGTCGGCATTCGGGAATGTCGATGTTGGCAGGTGTGGCCGCATCTTTCTCGTCATGGATGTTCAGACGCTTGGTGCTTTTGACGACATCAGAAATACAGAGGGTATGCTTGTCTTGAGGAGAGATGGTAGCGCATTCTTCCTTTTCTTCCGTTGGGAGTACTTCATCGGGGGTCGTAGGCATGGCGGCCTTGTCGACTAGGGGAGTGTCTGCAAGATCGTTAGTGATCACAACAGGGCAGTTGGAGTTGTTATTTGTCTGTACCTTTAGGCAATGTCATGTTGAAGATACCTAATGAATGCTCTTCTGATATATTTGGATACAGAAGACGGATGCTCGTTCGGTACCTGCTAGTAGAAGAGGTGTTGTTCCGGGGAACTTGAATTGTTGAAGTTACGCAAAGAAAGAGTCTAGATCTTCAAAATTGTCATAACCAGGGAAGATGCGAAGGGCCAACGAAGTAATTGACACTAGCCTGGTAAAAACCCCCCGAGGGGGACCTGAACAGCTAGCATTTTAGCGGCAATAGGAGGTTTCTGGCGGTGGTAATCACTCCGACAACTGTCAAGGTCCCAGAATCTTGAGATGTGGAGATGTGCCTCGTTGCTGTGGTAATACCCGGTTGGCCCTCGTCTGTTTGTTCAGGTTCTCCGGGTCAGTCGGCTTGGTAATACTTTGCCCTTCACTTGTCAGGTAGCCGACGAGATAGCTGGAAGCGTAAAGAACGCTGTTGGTGCTCATAACATGATGATTGGATGTGGACGGGAGAGATTGACGCATAGCACATGCCAGGCTGCTAGACACCCCGTATTGGAGTTGAAGGGGAAGATATTCACGAACAGGAAAGGGTCCAGAGATCAGGAATGGCACAGTGAAACGAACGTAGGAATTAAAAGTAAATGCAAGTACTTCGCTGGATAGGTATCTATGGTTTTGAATGCAGAAAGAAAACTTATGTCCAACCCATTAAACTCCATCCATCATGAAACTACCCCAGAAACTCATAGTTCCACGGGTATAACCAAAACAACGCTCCCTCAGTGTAGTAACCGTTATCTTCGGCACCCGACACAACTCTATGTCCGCCAGCTCGTCCAGGTATCCAATCGTGCAAACTCGTCAACGAGTGTTTCGGTCTTGCGCCAACAGCGGGCCTTGACCTCGTTCTCCTTCTCGCTCAGTTGGGAATTCCCATCTTCGTCCTCTCCTACTTGGATTCCCCGAGCTCAGAGTCGATTTTCTCCATTTCCGACTCGATTTCTTCAATCTCCGAGTTAAGCATTTCCAGCGACGGATCAGGAACTTCGTCTGCCGCATCAAACTCAGCAAGGAGTTCATCGTGATCATCCGATTCTTCCTCCGTCTCGTCGTCCTCCTCTCGCTGGTCCCGGTCCATCTTCCAGGCAAGGAAGTCCTTGAACTCCCTGTCCGTCATATGCATATACCCGCCGTCTTCCTCCAGCAGGTACCAAAACCCATTGTCGAGCTGGGCGTACTGGGTGTTGAGCTCTGGTCGTTCGACGATCTGAATGACCTCGGGCTGCCAATCTGGTCTATACTTGGAGATGTCGAAGAAGGCGTAGACGGGCGCGGCAGGCTTGCCTCCATTTGGTGGGGCGGCAATGGCACGTTGGGCATCTGTTAGCCCGGTTGGCTTTGCGTTCCTAAGTAGGTACGGTAGAGTTAGCAAAGCCTAGGTATTCAAATAGGCTGTGGTGACGGCAACTTACTTGATACTCCATTTTCGGATGTAATGGGGCTGACCCTCGTGCTTGCGCTCGAACAAGTCCTTGAAGAGGAGAGAGTGTGACATCTTGAGTAATGGATGTTGATAATCGACACAGTGACTCGGATTCTACCGGCTGGGTAGTTGAGAGAGGGCGAATGTCGGACTGTGAGAGGGTATAAATCGGTGTGCGGTGTTGCTTGCTGGTGTTGACTTGGTCGAGGTGAATTCTGGTGTCGAGTTGTCCGGGAGTCTCGCTGGAAGAGGTGCGGGAAAGGAGAAGAATGGTTATGGGTGTCAAGCTCGAGGAGATATGGAGGTTCAAAGAATTATTCGGATATGTCGATGCTGGAGGTTAGTTGTCCTCAAACGTGGCTGTCAGGATTCTGAAATCAGGAATATCGCGGAAATAAAGCGAAGAGTTGAAGAGAAGCTTGAGTCTAAAGCGCTAGAATTTATATTTCAGATTTTCCACCACGGCACGAAAAAAAAAATTATCATCCATCGGAAGTCCGCCCTTCACTGGTACCTCGCAGGTTTGATCGCAGATTATGTATGACCCAAAGTCGTCCGAAGTCAACAGGAAGTCCGGTAAATTGGACTTTGATGCGCTCTGCATGCCGGGCTGGGCACCTAGGCTTGGTGGTCTGTGAACCTCACGCCCAGTCGAACGGAGCAACAGGCCACAGCTCCGCAGGTATGTAGAGATACTGCAGTAAAGATGCCCATGTTTTTTGGTGACTACCTGTGAAGTTATGGTTTTTGTTTATTGCGAATGGCCATCCTAATAATATGCGCCCCTTGAGGTCCGGTCGGTCGAGCCCGGGTTACCGGTCTGCCGGGATTCCACCCAGTGCTTGCCGATGGCGCTGCGACCTGCAAGTGAATGTGGCCAACGCAGCGCCATCCCCTCGGAAGCTGCAAAACCTAGCGAGGACACTCGATAGAAAAGCCAACATTCATTAGGCCCCATGGCATACAAATACCAGTGATCAGTGCGTAAACGAGTAAACTAGCTCATCCTCGAAATCTCAAATTGATTTACGGTTTTGGACGCTGTTTGAACGAGTTGTCCCGAGCCGGGCACTTGACAAGGGAAGTCGCGAACATCTCGCTCTTCCCGCCCCAACGGAAAAACAGCCCTGTAGCTGCCCTGTAGCTGCCCTGTAGCTGCCCTGAATTTCAGCGCCCATGCATGGCATATTTTGAACTTGGAACCACTGCCCCGGACATACAAATCTGCACCTCCCATACCTACCTAGGTCTTCATGCCGACCTCCGCAGTCCGCTCCGGCCCGAACAAAGAAGACGGAGGAGCACCGCACGCAGGCCAAAAACGCTCACGCCATGCCATGCCATGCTATTCCGCCAAAATAAGGGAAGAATATCCCCTTTTATGTACGAGATTGCTATTTATCCATCTGGCTGCACCGTCACGCACGCCCGCAAGTTGAAAGAAAGAAAGAAAGGAACAAGTAAGGCAGTTCGAGATATATTTACCCTCCCGCATCGCATCGCAGTGCAGTACCGTAAACAACCGAGTTTGCCCCGGCCACCACCAAGTCTCTGTTTTTTTTAGACCCCCTGCTGGCTGTTTGGTTGTTTCGGGAGGGGGGGAGCACGCCGAAATTGGTAACCTAGTGGACAAGCGAAGCGATTCAGTTACTGAGCTAACGAGGGCTCTGCGGAGAGAGTAGGGGGTGGTGATAGCGTCACATCTAAGTCGTCCGCTCGCTTGTTATGTAGTGTATAACTGCGTGCAAATGGCATAACACCACGGAACTCGTATCCCGCATTAATATCGTGCTCAGGTACCCAAAACATGTGCACATCATATATCCATATTTTGGGTTTGTACTCAATCAATTGCTATCTCGCCAACTTGTAGTTCATCCTCAATCTGTATAACCAAATGCTAAAACTTCAAACTATTCGCTGATGCTGAATGATGATAACGGGGTATACGCTACGCTCAACAGTGCTTTGATCTCCCCTTCCAACACTGCCAAACAAAACAAAAATAGAAAAATGATGTCACAAGTTATGCATAAACAATCAACAGCCATAACCATAATACCTCTCCCGCCCATTTTCCGTCCATATGGTGTGGTCCAAAGACCGCTGTCAAAAGGCAGCATATCGAGCAATTCGTTCTAGCTGTCCCTCTGGTGGATATTGAAGGCCGATAAAAGCTAACCTTGAGTGGCAGCACCCTGAAAAGCAGCTTCATCTTGACCGGCAGCTTCACCTTGAGTTGTGGTGTTCCCTTTGACGACCGCTTCCTGCGGACTTGGTCTCCTCCTGGAGACTCGGAAGCGTCGAGCTTGTTACGATATTCCCTTCCGCAACAGGAGCCTGCGAAGGGACTTGTTCTCCACGATCACCATCTCCCTTGAACGAATCCAACAACTTCTTTTGGTTTGGACTCAAAAGGCGTGGCCCCAGCCCTGGCTGATTCGGGCCACTGTGTGAACTGCTCGTCCTTCTGGGCCTCGAAAGCCTCTCGGCCCTTGGACCCTTTGGGGGATTAGAACCTGACGGATACGGCTCATTTTGTGACCTGCTTGGGTTGCGAGGGTCGTAAAGTTGTCGATGATAGTTTGGTTGAGGATACGGCCCTTGTAGATGTTGTCCAGGAACTGCATCATTGTGCACCCATACAGGTTCCCGTGGCGACATCGAAGATCCTTGGGATGGGTTGAATTGTGGTTGGAATTCATGCGAGCCTTGCTGTGGTGCGTTTAAATGTGGTGGAGGCGCATTCCACTGCGGTTGGCGCACGTATGTTTGTCCTTGGTAGCCACTTTGATATGGTGATGTTTGGTGCGAGACCCGAGTCAGTTCAGCAGGAGGTTGAACAGGCACAGAGGTATGGTCCCAAAAGCTAAGATGATGAGTAGGACAATAGAGGAAGCCGTGTTCCCATCCGCACCATTGGCAGAGAAGGGGACGAGCTCGGCTGAGTGACCCCCTGGTGCAGGAACAACCTGTAGTACATGGTCAGTATGTATTTAACGCAGAGACTTGAGGTGCAAAAGCTTACGCAGCTTTTCGAATACCCAGTGGCAATGCTCGCAGAACACGCCCGCGAAGCCGGTTTCTGGGGGTTGGTTTCCGAAGTTCTGCGGGTGAGTCTGGCCTGGGATCGTGCTTTGAAACTCTGCGGGTAGCCTTGATACCTGAGATGCATTGTAGTCTTCTGTAGGATGAATCACAGCTATCTGAGGGACTCGAGGTGACCTTGGTGGTTCGAGTAGCGGGTTTCTAAGTCCTCCTGACTGCTCCTGTTCTGGTGCTGAATTTTCGGATTCGTTAAAAGGACTCGAATTCCAAGACGGAGCGTCAACTGAAGGATACTGGTCCTGCTCGGGTACACGTCCCCAAGCCGGATGTCCCTCCGGCGGGTCTTCCTCGCCATGATTCTACCTCATGCGTTAGTAATACCCACGATATCCGATGGCTGGACAAGACATACCTCATGAACTCCTGGAATTTGACTGCTCAAGCCCACCGCAGAGCGGCGCTCCCTTTCCCTTCCCCTTTCATGTCCTTGCTCCCGGTTCAGGTTGGGTTGGGCCGAGGACACAATGAATGGAACCCAGTCAAGAGGTTTTTCAGCCTTCACTTCCGCCTGCACCGCATCAAGCATCCGCTCCTTCGCTTCCATTTTTCGTCGCTCTTCTGCGATTACTCTACGTATAGCGCGAACTTCCTTCTCCAGTTGATCATCAATAATCTTTATCTTCTGAAGCTCTTGCTCTCTGATCATGAGATTGCGATCCCTCAGATGGACAAGTTCCTCCATCTTCTCGTTCTGGCGCTTCGCTACTTCACCATACTCCTCGGCGCTTTCAATCAACTCGAGCCTCTTTGCTTTCAAGTTCAAGCAAATTTGGAGCATTTTATCCTTGTGCTTTGGTTCCGAGCCATCAAGATTGAAAATTGGCTGGCCAGCACGGGTTCTCTCCTCCTTTTCCTTGACCACCGGGTTTGTAGTTCCACTCTGGAGAACTGGCTTGGGTTTTTCAGCTTCCACATACTTATCCTCGGGTCCACGTTCTTTAACCCTTTCATATTCGGCCATTTCACGTGCGATCCTTTGGGCCGCGAGGTTGTGCCGCTCGAATTCTTCAGCCTTGAATTTTTCGTGCATCAATCTCTCGCGTTCGGCTTCTTCACGCTCTGCCGTCTCGCGAGCAAGCCTTTGACGATTGCCTAATTCACGTTCGAATACCTGGCGCTTAGCTTCCTCATGCTCGGCTTTCTCGCGCTCGGCTTTCTTGTGTTCAGCCCTCTCGTGCGCAAGCCGTTCTTTTTCAATTCTCGCGCGATCAAGTCTTTCACGTTGGGACTTTTCACGTTCGGCCTTCTCGGTTGCAAGCCGGTCTTGTTGGATCTTTTCGCGCTCACTTTTTTCACGTTCGGCTTTCTCGCGTGCGACCCGCTCCTGCTCGGCCTGCTTACATTCGGCCTGTTCACGGGCGATGCGCTCCTGCTCGGCCTTGTCACGCTCAGCTTTCTCATGTTCAGCCTTTTCTCGTGATATACGCTCCTGCTCAGCTTTTTCTAGCTTAGCTCTCTCACGATCAGCCCTTTCGCGCTCAGCCTTTTCCTGTTCGGCCTTCTCAAGCTCAGCCTTCTCACGTTCAACTCGCCCATGTTCGGCTTTTTCTTGCTCAGCTTTCTTGCGCCCTTCCTCAGCTGCAATCCGCTCACGTTCAGCTTTCTCGAGTTCAGCTTTCTCGCGTGCGATGCGTTCCTGCTCAAGCTTCTCGCGCGCCTTCTCACGTTCAACACGCTCCCGCTCGGCTTTTTCACGCTCAGCTTTTTCTTGTTCGGCCTTCTTGCGCGCCTCCTCAGCTGCGATCCGCTCACTTTCAGCTTTCTCACGCTCAGCCTTTTCGCGCTCTGCCCTTTCGGCCTTCCCTCGTGCAACGCGTTCTTGCTCCGCTTTCTCGTGCTCAAGTCTTTCCGCTTCGACTTTCTCGGCCTTCAGCTTGTCTTCCTGCGCCTTAGCATCAAACATTTCTTCATGCTGTGGTGGAACGTATGGTGTTTCCTCGACCTTTTTGTCGTCCATTTTTGTAACTGGAGTAGCTTCAGGTCCAACATCTTGCTTTGTTTTGCTTGATTGAGGCTTAAGTTGAGGCTTCTTGTCAGTTGGAACTTTAGCCTGGGCTTGATCTGCGCTTTTCTCCTTCTGCAATTCGTTCTTTTTCTCCCTGAATACAGTTGAGGGTCGAGGCGGTTGAGACTTTCTTTGAGCACTTTCTTCAGAGATTTTAGCATTCAAATCGTTGATCCTTTTCTTCCAGGCAGAAGGTTCCGGTTTTTCTACTTGGGCAGGAGCCTTAGGACTCTTCGTAAGTTGGGCTGAACGAGCTGGAGGTGCTGGCTTCTTCTGTACTGGAGCTTGATGCTCTTGTTGAGGTGAAGGCTGTGGATTCTCCTCCGCTGGAACTTGAAGCTTTTGCTGAGCTGGACCTTGATTCTTCTGCTGGGATGAATGCTGTGGCGTCTTCCGAGCTGGAGACTGCGACTTCTCAGCTGGAACTTGAGGCTTTTCCTGAACTGGAGCTTGATCCTTTCGTTGGGGTGGTTGCTGTGACTTCTTCTGTGCTTGGGACTGTGGTTGCTTCTTAACTGGAGCTTGACTCTTCTGCTGGGGTGGATCCTGTGGCTTCTCCTCGGCTGGAACCTGAAGCTTTTGCTGAGCTGGAGCTTGATTCTTCTGTTGGGGTGGAGGCTGTGGCTTCTTCTGAGCTGGAGGCTGTGGCTTCTCCTTAGCTGGAACGGGGTGCGTCGTTGGCGCCGGGCCTTTCATGTTCTTCTGAGATTGACCCTGAGTGTTTTCCGCAGCCGAAGCTTGAGCCTGCTCTTGAGTTTTTTCTTGCGATTTCACCTGTACCGGAGTCTGGGTCTTTCCGCGATCCTTGCCATCTGGCTTCGGTTGAGACCAGGCTTGCTGCGGCTTTCGGGTAGGCGATTGAGGCTTCTGCTGCGGGTTTGCCTTAGCGGAGCTTTGAGACTTCTCTTTAGGCGGGGCAATCTTGATAATTTGGGGAAGTTTGACTGATGGAGGGGCAGCACCCAGAGCTTCAGGCTTCACCTGCTGTGATTGAGAGGGCAAACTGGGCCATGCCTCTTCCACCTTCGCCTGCTGAGTGGAAGCAGGTTTGGCGTTGGCATGCATTTGCTTCTTTATCTCCTCCAACCACTCCCGTCGTGTTTCCTCATCTTTTTTCTTAGCCTCCTCCCGTTTAGCTTCCCATTCCCTGCGCCTCCTTATGGCCTCGTAAAAGTTTCTTTGTTTCTCTGCTTCTGTTAGAGGTGTGGGAATACTCGCTTCAGGAGATTTGGAAATGGCCGGATCAGCAGGCTTGGGAGCGTTCGCTTCGGAAGGCTTGGAAATATCGGCTTCAGGGGGTTTAATGATTTTTTCAGGAGCCTTGGGGACGCTCGCTTCGGAAGCTTTCACAACGCCCGGCTGCTGATTCCCCTTCTTGATCTCTTTGCGCTTTTCAGCCCCAGCAGCCTCGAGTGCCTGGCGCTTCTCAGCTCCGGCCGCTGCGTGCTTGCGATCGGCATCTTTGGCGGCTTCGCTTCTTGCTTCAGCAACTTTCGAAGTCTTCAAAAATGGCACAAATTTGTGATTGTCTCTTGTCCTCGACGCATCACCTCTTGATGTAGCAATAGACGTGAGTTTTCCCCCTGGTGTAAAAGTCTTGGGGGTTTTCTCGACGGTTGTTTTAGCCGAAGTAGCCTCTTCTGCCTCGCGAACGATCCTTCTTCTTTCGGCTGCAGCTGCCTTTTCGTTCACGGCCACGTTCCAATTCCCAAGTTCAGCAGCCTTGGCCTTCTCCGCTTTGACGGCGTCCTGCCTCACAAGCTCAAGGAGTCTGAGCTCTTCACGGGCTTTGTCTTCCGCCTCTTGATACACCTTGACCTTTTCAGACGCTTCTTTTTCTGCAAGTGCAGCTTTTTCGGCCAATTCAAGTGCTTTGCGCCTCCTGTCTTCAAGCGCTTCAGCATCTTTGGCTTTGCCCTCTTGCGCGGCTTTGCATTTTTTTTCTTCAAGAGCCTCGGCATCTATGCGGGCTATGGACATCTCAGAATTGGCCGTTTTGACCTTGTTTTTTTCGGTCTTTGTGAGCCTTTCGGCCTCTGCAACTTTAGCCCTTGCGTGTCCAATTTCCTTGAGCATTTCAGCTTCAGCAGCCTTGATCCGCTCTCCGAGGGCTTTGTCCTTTTCGGCCTCGGTGGACTTGGCTAGATCGTCAGCTTCCTCTGCCTCTCTGCGCTTTGCATCCTCGGAAGCTTTTGCGGCTTCTTCTTGTTGGGTTTTGGCAATCTGCTGTGCTAGTTTGCGATCCTCTTCTTCTTGCTCAGATTTTTGCCGCTCCTCCAATGTCTTGGGCTTGACATCCCCGTCATTCTTTGCGGTTTTCTCTTCCTCGCCCTTAACAGTTTGCTCTGCTAGCTTGCGCTCCGCATCTTCTTGCTCAGATTTTTGCCGCTCCTCCAATGTCTTGGGCTTGACATCCTCGTCATTCTTTGCGGTTTCCTCTTCCTCACCCTTGACAGTTTGCTCTGCTGGTTTGCGGTCCGCATCTTCCTGCTCGGCTTTACGCCTTTCTTCTGCGAGGGAATTGTACTCCGGAGCTTGATCGCCCCTTGCCTTGAGGACCTCTGGCTTCTCGGGGTTATCCGGTTCCTTGGCAACCTTTGGCTTCTGGTGCTCAATCGGGTTAACTTGGGGGCCATCCGTCTTCGTTTCCCCTTTAGCTACCTTTTTCTGAGCGTTTTTGGCTTCTCCCAGTTTTTCGTCGAGTAATTTGTCCAAGGCTCTTCCAGATTCAAGTGATTCCTCTTTGCCAGCTTCAGAGATGTTTTGCGGTGGAGAGACTCCCGCTTGTGCTTGCTTCATGAGAGGTCCCGCGGAGCTGCTGATATCTTCTTCTTCATTTTGCGGCTCTTCGAGTGCATCCCACGGTATTGGAACATTGTATCCTTCTTTTAATAATTTGATCATGATACTGTTATGGCGGCTTCTCTTTTCAGCCATGTGTTGAACGTGGTCCTTGTTCTTCTGTTCATCAATTGACGTTGAAACAGCACCGCCAGTCCCAGTTTCAAGCAACGTGATCCGCTCACGAAGTTTCTCTGCTCGTTTTCTTCCCTTTTTGAAAACTCTCGACAGGTTTTCAAAGAACGTGCCTTTGTCGAATGAGCTAGTTAATGTGGGAATAACGCCGTTACCATTGTGCAGCGGGGTGGCCAGCGGGGTGGTCTCGGCATCGAAGAGAGTGCCATCCGAAGATGAGGCAGCATCCGTCGGTTCTGCGATTCTATCGCCGGGCAAATCGTTGGGCGGAGTGTCTTGAAAAGCAGGTGCGTTGGAAGCAGTCTCGGAAAAAGGAGCATAATCGAACATAGAGGCCATCGTACCCATAGGGGGCTCTGGAAGTCCCCGGGACTCGTCTTGTAACCGTCTTTGAAACGCGTCCAGGGATTCGTGTTGCGACTGGCCTTCAGCAACCTCTGATGTATCCGACGAATTATCGTCCGAGGAGTTCAATAATCGAGGTGGACGTAGAACATTACATAACTCGGGAATATCCGAGGACCCGGCTGCAGGTGCTTTACAAACGTCAGCCTCAATATCTTCAGAATTGCTGGTCATGCATGTTTCGGTACATACCTTCATTATCGGGCTCAACACGGGTTGTCAGTTCAGCTTCTCCTCTTGCCCAGGCATCGATATTCTGCCGTTCACCATCTCCCAGACTGCTCCAGTTGCCGTCAGCATTGAGATACTAACCATCGTTGCCGATGAAAATGTACCCGTTGTCTTCGCTGTTGTCATTCGCTGGATCCTCTTGCGCAAATTCCGGGACGGCGGGTCCATGACTTTCTGGTTTGACCGACTGTCCCTCACCAGCAGACGATGGCGCTATACCACCGGGCGTGCCTTGTCAAGCAACCTAGTCAGCTGATATGTGACTTGGAGAGGATGTCATTACTTACCGGAAACTGTAGTTCTGTCTGGATTGAAATATAAGGGCGGGAAGCTTTCAGGGTGAAGCTGAGCTGGACTAAAGTCGGTAGACATTTCGGGAGTAGTAGGGCCCTCCAGAACCATTTGTGGTGGTTCTCCGCGCAAATCAGTTAATTGTACATCAGTGTGGTCTTCTTCCCTTGGATCAACTGGTAGAAAGTTGTCGTGGGAACCCTCTGACTCAGACGGCTCTTCAGGTATTGTGCTAAGCCTGTTGTCATTGTCACTAGAGCTCTGACCCTGTGTACAAGACTCGTAACCGGTCTCCTGTTCATAGTCTTCCAGCTCCGACCCTGGCGACTCCAGCTCCGGGAAGTCTGACTCTGGAGGTGCCACATCCGCAGCAGCGGGTGTTACCTCCCCTGGTAGCGGGATTGTAGTGACTTGTACGTCCTCTTTCTCAGCGGGGTCCTCAATGTCATCTTCAGCAGCTGGTTCCGGTACCGCTGCCGGTGGTGGTTGTTCTTGGCCAAGTTCTTCCTCAACCTCATCGGCCTACGATGGGACCGGCTCCGGAGCCTTGACTTCGTCCTCGGGCTGCTCTGTGTTGCTCGCCAGGGCTGGAGGTACTGGCGAGGTGGTCGCGGTAGGCTCAGGCTCTGGGAGGGGGACGCTGTCTGGGAAAAACTGCTCGAAGACGAGCTGCTTGAAGTTGTGGCCTGCCATTTGGGGCAGCTACTGGCGAGTGATCGGAGTAGTGTTCTTGGAGGCTCAAAGCAAAGAAAAAAAACACGCGACGGGGCACTTAGGGGGCAGGTCTGGGTGGCTGTAGCAACAGGGTTATTAGCTTCCACATTCAGTGAATTCTTCAACAGCTACGACAGCCAGCAAGGGAGGAGGTATTAGGGATCCTGTACATACTTTGGCTGCTCTCAATTCCAAAGCGACAACAGATATGAGCAATAGCGGTGCCGTTGCACGCCGAATCGTCGCAAGTGCGGGATATGGTCGTGATTTCGATGGTCGTGATACTGATAACGAGTGTATAGCGATAGTTGACGATCGTAACAGCTGCTATGCTGAAGATGCTGCCAAAAAGAAAGCCGGCGCGGTGACCTGCGGCGGAGAACAATATCGATGGTTGGTGTTTTTTGGATAAGGTGGCTTCGGAGAGGGCTGCGGTCATGTATTGAGGTGCCCCTGGGCTGATTTGGGTTGCCGGCCAGTGGCGGGGTAGGCGCGCTTGCTCTCGACATCGTGGCCATGGCGTGGGAAGCTGCTGTCAAGAATTTAGAAAATTGCGATTATCAGTCGAGCCTACTATGCAGGATGGTGGCAGAGGGAGGAACATAACTGAAGCCGGATGCAGCTTGGGTGCGAAAAGTGCAGGCGGAGGTCGCGACCCATCTCAAGGAGACCCTCACGCATTTTGCCGACCCCCTTCTCTCAACTCACAACAACACGCCTCAAGATCGTCAATTCTGACCCAGTCGCGGAATTACTTGCGGCATCTCCTCCACTGACTGGCGCCAGTACGTGCCTACTCTCATGTAATCATGTCGAATACTTCCTGTCGCCCACTCGCCGCTCTTTTTGCCTCTCGCTAGGTACCTGCATGACTGAGTCCTAGCAGCTTCCCTTCGGTTGGTTGCCGAGGACTCGCCCCTGGATTGGCCTGTTTCATTCCGGTCTCTGCATGCCCGTTTAACGTCTGCTCTATGCGTGTTGCTCCTCTGGTAACAGCTCGATCAAGCGGTCGGAAAGACATTCAGAGTTCTGCTTTTCCTTAAAGCAGTGCAAGTAAAGAAACACTGGAATACTAGAGGGTCACCATTGTATTAGATAAGTCTCACGTCACATCATTGCGAGCGGGATTATCATGTTGTTCAATTTTCATATTTTTTTTGTGCCGTCTATCATTTCCATCCGTCTACAATCTGATGGCTATATGATCAGTTTTCTCCCTATTTTGACGCTTTTTGTTTTTTCAGTACCCTAGTTTCTTGTTTTAACCCGGTTCAAGCCTTCCACATGCTTTATGTCCCGCTTCCCCCTTCCCCCTCAGCCACTTCCAGAACCGTCATCCTGTCCACTGCACCCCTACCAATCATCATCATCATCATCCAAATCCGCCCAACTCCTCGGCTCATCCAAATAAAACGTCCCTCCCTCCGACACCGTGACCATTATCTCCGGCACGCCCTCCAGCTTCTTCTCCAGCGGCGCAAACTTCGACAACACCCAATTATCCCTCTGCAACCTCCGCTGGCCCCTCACCACCCGCTCCCTCTGTTCCTCATCTATCACCCTCTTCCACGTGTCCAGACAGCCATAGTCATCGATAAAGTTCAGACTGAGCCACCGCCGGTTCATGCATAGCCTGTTCCACGGCAGCGGGTCATCAAGCCAGAACGTGTCGCCCTCGGGGGTCGTGACGGTCAGCTCCGGCACGGGAAGGGACGGCTGTTGCTGGCTAGAGGCATCGATAGGGCCCAAGTAGTGTGTGATGGTCTGCTTTGGCTTGTAGGCTTCGAAGAGACCCATCCAGTGGCAGTGCTGGAGGTATTGTCGGCTGGGATCGAAGTTGGCGTCGTGGACACGCTGGTAGGTGTCGAGATGGCCCGTGGCGTCGATGAAGGCGTGGTCTTCCCAGTTGAAGACGTAGGGCTCGAGGTCGTCATCATCTGGGTAGACGGTCTCGGTGTCGTCGTCGATGGAGCCTTTCGCCAGTTCTTGGGGCTGCTCGGGAGGCATGGATGTATTGGCGGCGACGGGGCTTTGTGTGTTGGCTGACTCCAGACCAGGGTTTTTGGTGGCTTGGAATTGGCTCGGGTTGGGTTCAGCCGGGCTATAAACCGGGTTTTCCGGTTTTTGGAGTTCAATGGCCGTCTTCTCCTTAGCATCGGCTTCATTAGCCAACTCTTCCTGTTCCTCAATCTCGGAAGGCTCCTTCATCCCGTCCTCGACCTCGCGCCTCTCGCTTCCCATCTGAGCTTCTCCGTCGACTTTCGAACCCTGGGTGTCGGATTCAAAAAGCGCCTTCACCACGCCATCGACAAGCTCAGCTGGGCACCCCTCATCCTATTGAGGGACTTGCTCCAGTGAGCTGTCAAGGCGGTCCGTCTCTTCATGATCGGATCGAAAAGCGATGAAGGCTCTGGCTCTATTGACGGCATCCTCTTCGTCGTCGGAGAATTTCTCAGCGTCGCTAGTGGCCTTGTTGGAGCCGCCACCTTCGTGGGAGGGAGAATAGAGCGGAAGGCGAATTTCGGAGAGATCTGAGGAGCAGCGAGAGGACGGAAACGAAATCTCGGAGGGGAGATGGGTTTCCACGGAAGTGACGGAGGTTAGGCTGGTAAGAGAGTCGATTGACTCGCCGAGGTCCAGAGAAGAGACGGTGCTCTCCGAAGGCGGAGAGGTGTTGACGTCGGGAGAGTAAGCCCTGGGATGGAAGTTCACAGCCATTGTGGTGTCCGCTTCCTGGCTTGTGGCGTCGAAGCCAGGAGAGGTCTTGTCCCTGCGAGCAGGCGAATCGTCGCCGTCGCTGCATGAGGGAGGAGGGGATGGGTACGCAGAGGAAGGGCCCCTGATGAAGGAAGACGTGCGGGTTTGGTCGATCGAGTACCGTGCTCTTCTTGACTTGGGCTGCTTGGACTTAATCCACCGGCGGGTTTTGGAGTCGTTGGTCCTTCTGGTCCCGCTGTAAAAAAGTCAGTATTCGCCGAAAGACTGCTGAGCTCGAAGTGATAAGAGTCCGAACATACCTCAACAAGAAAAACGGCACAAAGGATTTAACAACCCCAGCGACATCCTTGACGACCTGACTCGCAGTAGCGACAGGCTCTTCGCGAGCGCTCCTTAACTTCGTCACCACCTCGACGGCCTTGTCGACGACGCGAGCAGTAACGACAATGGGCGCCTTGCAGACGGCTATGATCTGCTTCCGGACAATGTCGACATTGTCAATCACCTTGGTGAGGCCGACAGCCAGGGGGTTATCGCCATGGTCGTAGTCAAAGTCGGCTTCGATGGGCTGGAAGTAGCCGACGGCGTGCGAGATGGTCGGGCGGAGGATGGGGGCGACGATCTGGTACATGAGGGGCGTGGCGAGGCGGGCGACCGTTCTGGTCAGGAAAGAGAACATGCTGGCTTTGTTGTCCAGCCTTTGGGTGCACTTAATGTCTGGGGAAAAAAATGGAAAAGTGACGGCGGGTGATGTCTGCAGACTTTGTCGGATTGGAGTCTGTTGGTGCGTAGTTGCGAGACGGAAAAGGTCTGTCGAGTGTTGGTTGACTTTTGTCGGATGGGAATGGTATTTCGTAGTTTTGATGACGGAAGAAGTTCAGTTGATCGACAAGCTTTGACGATAAAAAAGGTATAAAAAAGGTTGAGGTCCGGAGGGGGGTTTGCCTACCTAAGGTTGGAGCATATGCACAGAGGTTGCGTAATTGCGGACTCCGGTGCATGGTGAAGGTGAAGAATATCAGCTGGCAGCAGTCCGGACTTCCGGCAGGCTATCGAGGGCTCGAGAACCTTGGTGTTGAGATGCAGGTCAGTTGATTTCAGTCCAGGTGCAAGGCTGCAAGGCCTCTATACATGGGACGAAAGGGGAGGGGCAGAAGGGGGAGTGAAGGGCGGTTTGTTTACTTTCAAGGTATGACGAAAAAGGGGGCCCGTGAAGGGTAGTGCGCACGGACCATGAAAGGAAGAAGGTTCCTTGTTTTTAATGCTGGACATTTGGTATTCACTCAATATTAGCTGCACATGGGAGGCGTCTTGATATGATGACAACGGTAAGTCAAAGGACATCGGCTATTTTCTTTCTGTGAGACTTTCATTGCTTGCATTTCCGTAATCTTTGTGTTGCTTCCATGTCCGTAATCCTTGGAGTGGTGAGGGACAGAAAATGGCTGCACGACAAATGTGACGAACCGTTCATCTGCATTCAGACACCTGAATCATAGTTTGCGCACTGACTGTTTCTGACTTGCGGCCAATATGAGACAAAGCGCTTGGCGCTCCTTTCAACAAAGCCCGATTAGCTCAGCTGGTTAGAGCGTCGTACTAATATCGGTTCTTCTGATATCAAGTCCATGCGAAGGTCAACAGTTCAATCCTGTTATTGGGCATTTCTCTTTTTTCATTTTTGTTGATGCTGTCCTCATCTGCAATATTTTTCCTTCAACAGTTAGTTGCCTTCTTTTGGTCTCATACTATCTTTTTGGACATTTCGGGTCGCATGGAAAAAGCCTCCATCCAGGATATAGCGGTCATGCAAGCAGAGTTGGTTTTGTAGCTTGCCATGCGCATTTTCAGAATATTACATTTCGCGCAACCCCCAAACAGCTTTATCCCGAGCTTGCGCAGCAAGCAAACATTGACTTTGGTTGGTATAGCTTTTGGCTTTGGGTAACTGTTCATTATTTACTTCTAGAAACCATTATCACCCCCTGTTTGAGTCCGTCTAATTGTAGCGCTTTGGCAATCTGCAGTCGTTGGAAACAATACAGGAGAAAAGAGTATACAAAGAACGTAGTCTAACGCCTTCGCTCGTATAAGTAGTTGGAGAAGAAAGGAACGACAGAGAAAACGAAACGAGAATGGATTGCGATACCATCGCCATTACTCAATCAGCATCCAGATACTGTCCCACCCCGGATGGGAGCGAGAACCTGACTCTGGTCGGACTCTGCGAACGTGAACGTCGCCGCGACCAGCTCCTCCCTCCCTCCGAAAAGCTTGAAGACGATGACGACGATGTGACACTTGGTGGCTCTTCGCCAATATTGTCCGACAACCCTAAGCTACTTGTCGCAGAAGAAGTTGACTCATACCTTGGCGGTTGATATCTCCTTGTCGATGTCGATATCGCGGGTGCTGAGATAGAGGTGGCATGAACCGCAGGTACTGACGCTTGGACAACGCTCACGCTAGTAGGTTGTGATCTCCTAATCCGTCTGCGCTCGTGAGCTACCTGCCCGTGTCCTTGTGGGTGTTGTAGAACCCGCTCGTGGCTTCTTCGACTGCTCCTTTCATGGGCTTCTCGTCCGGCGACGTATATCAGCGGTGGTGGATGGTAAGGATTATCTTGACCATATCTACCCCTGACCGCTGGCCTGTCGTCGAGGTCGTCGTACTTGTGCCTTGACTTTTCGGGTGGATGGACGTCATCAGTTTCCCATTCTTCAGTAGTAGGGCTGGATACGTCCATCACTGCTTGTCGGCCCGGATGCGGGAACTCTCGACGTCGAGAGATAGAGAGATCGCGGTGATGACCTGGCTGTCTAGTCCCATGTGAAAGTGGGCGGAAATCCCGTTCAGAGCTTTGCACGGGTGCATCGGATTGGATGACCTTGACCACCTTGGGTGTTGTACGTCCTTTTTCCACTTCTTCGCTTGGTGCTGCTCGCTCTCCACGGTCGCCGCTTCGGATTCGGGCCATTGTTGGCCTGTGCGGGTAGCGCATGGTTGACGAGTATCTGACAGGCATGGTGGTGGCGGCTTTGGCTGATGATGGCCAAGTTGATGCTGAAGTCTTTGGTGTTGAACGGCGACGGCAGAGACGCCAGATGATGAAGGAGAAGATGATTGTGCCGAAGAAGACACCGAAGACGATTCCAAGTGCTACGGCAGAAGTGTGCGCGGATGATGTTGTTTCTGCAAGCACGGGCGACGAGACACTGGTCGGAGTTTCTAGGATGGCGAGTAGCTTCGTCGGGAGGAAGGGTGTCGCTCTTAACGTGGTACTAGCTGTGTCAGTCACAGAAGAAAGGGCATAACTTGTCTCAGAGGGCTGGGATTGACGTTGACTTGGAGCTGGAAGAGTGTTGGAGATTTGCTGAGGTGCCACTGCTTGATGGCTTCGTTTTCTTGGTGCTGCCAGTCCCATTTTGTAGTACAAATATTCAAAGACAGCTCCTGGAGATCGTGAGGTTTGTTCTCAAGGTAATGCTGGTGTTGAACACGACGGAAGACAACCCAGAAAGAGCGGTAAAGAACTCGGAAAGCAGTTCCTTCCATTTTGAAGCCTACCTTGTTATCTTCCGTTGATGCTCTTCTTCGGTGAAGCTATTGGGTTTCCATTGTCCATTCGGAAGCATGTTTACCTCCAGGCCGTAGTCTAAGCACCGCACCTGTCTTACCGTCGTCCGCGTCAGTAAGTCGAGGAATAGCCGCAAACGAACCATATTCTCCCTGCTGGAGATCCCACTGGCTGACCCCCCTGACCGCTCAATATTATCACCTCGATCATCGATATCCTGGTCCCTCTTCCGAGACCTCCAAATCACGCCACAGTCGGATCGGAATCTTGCTCGGATCGCGCTCGTTCTAGATGCGTGGGCATGATGCGAGGCATGACGCTTGCAATCAGCGCGCTTGCCCACTCAGGGCAATGGGATGGACAAATAGGGCTGCCAACGCATGCTTTGGGTGAGTGGGGACCGGATTGATGCTGTTTTCTTAGACCGACTCCGACGGAACGGGTCGAACATGTCCGGATGTTCCTGGGATTCGTGAGCAGATCGACCATTCGAGGATATGAGGTAAGAAGCCACGGTGGCACGACCTGACCCGAGAGCAGGAGCGCCTTCGAGTGACAGTGCCGTTTCCATTTGCCTTGACCGTGAAAGACTGTGAGCAGCCGAATAGAAATTCAAGGCGACATCGTCAGATACGAGCGAGTGGATGTGAGTCGCGCGGCGATTGCCATGGCCGGCAGAGAGCCATGGCTAGGTAAGTAGTCATGATCTTGACCGCAAGCCTAGGGGAACACAGCGTCTGTGGATAATGTTGCTTGCGTTATCCACGAACGCAAATCGCTGAAACAGGATCGAGGGAAAATCCGGGATTGTGGGAGAAACTCACAGGATTGGAACGGCTGCTATTTATCTCGTCAGGTACGACAGAGCGGCGGGATCCACTAGGCTGAGAGGCGTCAATAGGATCATGCCAGATATGAAGTGGCGCCTGCACGTCTGCTTTCCGCATATTGTCTGTGCCACGCGAGATCCGAACGTTTGCATTATGCATCTTCACCGCCAGGGGTGCTGTGGCAGACTAACGCATGTACAATATCTTGACATTGTTCAGCTTGTGGCTGAAAGTTGAGGCCGGTGTAAAAGTCGCGTGTTTGGTTGAAATGCTACAAGGGTTCAAAATGAGTCAACTTCTTCGGTGTTGCGAAGTTTAACCAAGAACAGGACACGATGGGAATTTCAGGAAAAAAAGGTGTAAGTGAGGGAGCTTGAATGGATTGCAGTACTCAAAGCAGCTGAAATCTTTACTATAGTAGAAAAAATGAGTTTGATTGTGAAGTTTAGTCTAGTATAAAAAAGGAGGTCGAGGGGAAAAGAGACTCGATGTGCGACTTCCGATCGTTCTCTGTCCACCCTCAACATCATGATATAGGTTCCTACAAACCATCAAATGTCTAAAATCATCCAAACATCTTGCCATCCTATACATAATCCATCGTTTAACCGTGAACGGTGATCTGAGCAGATCCACTGCTCTGGTATCCCTCAGTGGCCACGATCTGGTAGTTGTGGGTGCCCAGGTGCAGGCCAGCCTTGGCCCACGCGTTGAAGTGGTTGGCCATGGTGACGGTACCACCGGTGCGTTTCTGCTGGCGGACCGACCAGTACTGGTTGAAGGTGCGGGTGCCGTCAATGGACGGCTGGTTGTAGCGGGTAGTCTTGTAGATGTCGTAGGTGGAGCCGTCGGTGTAGACGGATCCGAGACGCTGGGAGCCCGACGAAGGGTTGTAGGTGCCAAAGTTCTCGACGACGTAGTACTCGACAAGCGGGTTGCGAGTCCAGCCGTAGACGGACAGGTAGCCGTTGCCGGAGGGTCTGAAGTTACCCGAGTAGGTGATGGTGCGAGCCGAACCGGGGTTCCAGCCCTTGCCGGCGACAAAGTTGCCGGCGTTCTGCCAGTTCACAGAGTAAGAGCCGCTGGCGCCGTTGGCGTAGTTGACATTGCCGCCGTTGTCGGTCCAGAAGGAGTAGTAGAAGCCGTTGTTAAAGCCGGTGCTGCTGGGGGTACCGCCACGCTCGGCGAGCTCGGAGAACTCGGTGGCGTTGAAGGGCATAGCGAGGGCACCGGCAGCGCCGAGGAGGAGGGACTTGAGGGAGACCATTGTGTCTGATTTATTGGAAACTCGGGGTAAGGAACGGCTGAAGGCTGATGGCTGATGGCTGGTGATGATGATAAAATAAACAAAAGTCGAAACACGGCGATCCTGAAGGTCTTATATATCCATTCAAGCTTGTCTTTCGAACTCCTTGTCGCCGCTTTTGATTGACAGGACCGATTTAGGCAATCCCATCGTTTCTCCTGGTTAACTCGTTGTCGCCGTTCCTGTCACCTTGGAGAGAGCCATCCTGGCGACTCTGATGCCGAGATCCGGATGCTTTGCCATTGTCATAGCATACAATTTAGTTCAAACGTACCTGGTCCCTGGAGGTGGTCTCGGGTAGGGTTGTATCGATGACACCCGAAGTTCACGCTTAGTCCGGTCCCCGTACCCAAGATGGGAATATGTAGTGTAATCCCATTCTACACTACCCCGGCTTTTCTTGGCGGAAGAAGTGGCTCCGTATGTGGCCTTCAGGCTGAATGAAGGGATCACTGAGGCCCCACAGCGTAGCTCGGTCACGGACGTCGACGGCTTCTCTCGAGCTTCCATTTTCGTCAGTTCGGTGTTTGAGAATCCTTGCAGTGGTTATCGCAGACGGAGGCTGGCCTTGCTGAAACAAGAGATATTCCACCATTCAACCCTATCAGGTCCTGGAACAGGGCAAGGTGTCGTTCACTACAACCTTGGCACGCTTCAGTTGAGCATTTAGCCCCTGCTGCCCTACCTTTTGAGGACCTTCACCCTCATCGACGGATCGCTACGTATGTAGTTTTGTTCTTCAACAAGTCGGCTTTGTCGTTCGGTTGGGTGGTTTTACAACATTTCCGACTCCCGGGACGTAGGCCGAGCTTCTTGCTTGTCCAGCCTCATCTCTGAGCACCCCAGTCAGAGAACATGTTGTTTTCATCCTCCAAAATCTCGGTTGGTCGCTGAACATTTATGCGTTGAGTCGGTGAGGGCGATGATGGCATGCTATCCCGGGCAGTGGGCTGTTCGGCATCCCCTATAACCACTGTATTTTGCCCACTGATCGAGAAAGACGGAGGGAAGCTTGGCGTGCCCCTGTTCGCCCCACCCTTCAATTTCACACCGATTTCGGTTTGTTTCTCGGGACAACTAGTGTCCCCGCACTCTCGGTAAGTGAGCCGGGGAATCTGCAGAAAATCAAATCGAACTAAGCGAACCAAGATATCAACCAATCTTTTCCAAAACAAAGGTGGGTGGAATTCTGCGGTGAGGTGAGAGAGTCGGAAGTCTTGACTAGAGGTACTCAGGCGAAAGAGCAGTCCGGACAGCCCGCGCCTGCCTTTGAATGCATGACGGGAGCACAGAGACGAGAGGAAGAGTTGACAACTCTTGGAAGGAGCAACTGGTCACAGAACCGGATTGGACCTAATCGAGTAGAATCACATTTCGTCGACTTGTCGAAGCCAGTTCCAGCTTTGGATTTTCTCTGCTTATCCCCAAACCTCTTCAGTTGAACAGCATTCATCCGGAGTCCAGCCAGGTATCTCGGCGGCAGTGTAGGACGGTCCAGGCAATCCACAACCACCAACGACCAAGGAGAACGAATGAGCGAACCACAACCTTGATTCGCAGCTGAAGGAAGTTCGTTTGACCTTCCTGAACAATCCCGGGAGCCCTTTCCGCAGTTTCCTATCGGCGTTTGGTTGGTTTCTTGCTCTTTCTTTGCGAGTGTCCAACAGCCACAACGTCTCATTTCCGTTCCGCTTTAGTACTTTACGCAATCCAGAACAGAGCTCGCACCATCCATAAGCAACTGTTGCGCCATGACCTAACACATACGACCATACCCACTGGAAAACTCGGGATCCCGTCCGCTCTCCCATAGATAAGCCAGTGAGGGCCAGACTAGTAGTTGGGTCGGTGACGACC